AAAAATATTAGATTTTGAATATCACCCTTCCATTTTTCCATTTTCCATTAAGATTCTATTTTTGTTTTATGAATTTAATCACGGTAACCCCGTCAGCCTGCGAAGATTGCTTTACAGGGCTGTTTGAAAAGAGCTGCGTATTAAAAACCCATTTAAAAATTTTGTTATCTAAATTAGATAGCTGCAAGTAAATCTAAGGAAGTCCAAATCAAATTCAAAAGAAATGAAGAAAACAAGAAAAGCAAAAGCAAATCTCTACAATGTTTTCTTTGAACCTTGTTGAAGGATTGAAGATCTGGTGCATGCCCGGTGCATGTTTGACATTTATGCTCAATTGGGACCATAGCTAAGGCCCACGGAAGGAAGTGGAATTCTGCCCTTTGGTGTTATGAAAAGAGGAACACGCAGTACAGTTTCAGTGTTTCTTAATCTCTATGCATTTTGAGTTGAGCTTTCTATAATTAGCTTGGACGGAAATTCAGGTGCAATGTAGACTTGTACATTATAGTTCGCTGTAAATTATTTATGGAAAAACTGTCAAAATGAGGCCTTTCTGGACATTTTATAACAAGAGGCGTCACATACGTCGTCTATCGGGCTGTAGATTTTGTAATAAAAAAATTCAGAGTGGCTTGAAAAAGTTCAAACGCGACGGGTTGCAGTATAGTAAAGTAGATACCTTATGTCAGACACGGATGAAATACAGTATTATGATCACAAGGTAATTCAGTTGCGAATTCAAAATAACGCAAGAGACAAGATAAGCGTTTGGTGGGCCCCTATCTTTGAGAATAGAGAACAGCTGATCTCTCACATTGTGGATGAGTCCAAGGTGAAAACGAACCGTTCTGTCTTCACAAATCAGGATTTTGTGCATTGATAAAGACAAAGTACAAAGACTCTAATGTAAATACAACCTTGCTATCTTACCGTTGCAAGTACTTGTGATGTAAGCTGCGCAGACACAAGGAAACACGAACATAAACAAGTGAATTCCCAGAAAGAAACACAAGTAGATCTCTTTAATGACGTTATGTTCATTCCCAAAATGGCTTGCGACAACAACCAAAGCAACAATGGTCGTTAGCCCATACAGGATCCAATGGAAGACGAACCATAGCGAAAAGGAATCCACTGTATCACTAACGATCCTAGCGAATTCTTGGTGCATGACGATGGAAGAGTTCACATTTTCTGTCTCCATAGCCTTTATCCTTGTCTCCAAATCTCTTGAAAAGGCCCCTGAGATGAATAAGACCTTCTTAAGTTTTCTCTAAATCATAGTATTTCTGAAAGGTATCATTTTTTATTATCACATAGTAATGTGTTTTCCTAATACCCTTCGATGTACTGGTTACTGCATACCTACCCAGAGCAAGCGACGATCCTGCAAACACGAAGCAGGCCACTAATCCGGTCCATTGAGTTATCAGCTGTGATCCTACACCTGTTGCCAGAAGGATGAATTTCCGGGACGAGATCTGATTCCGGACTAGATAGTAGAACATCGACACAGAGGCCGCATAGCATGTACCAATAATAACCAGGAGCAACACCAAGGTACAGAGCCTGCTCTTGCTGATATCTTTTTTGATTGCCGTCGGGCCGAGAGCGTTTTTCTTCTTGTTCCTTGCTACGTACAGTGTTGCAATCATAAACACATACGAAAAGAGACCACCGATCGAGGCCAACGTATATGCAGCATTTTGAGCCTTTCGCATCGGGTTTGTATGGGTTTTGGTGTCTATAAGAAAGCGGCAGTCGAAATTCGGACAGTTGAAGACAGTGAACAGGTCGTACACAAGCTGGAAACATGACAAACACAGCAACCATAACACGTACATGTAACAGCAACTCGAAGGCACCCAGTAGCCTGCTGTACAATAAACAGTTTTTAAGATGGCAATGAATGCTTTTTCTCCACGACTTTGGTCTTTTTTTTGGCGTCCATTTCGAAATCTTTGTTGGTAGCTTTCGACCAAAGCGTTATCTTCGCCTGCACCTATTTCTGCTTGCGAGCAGCAGCTCATCTTGTTTCCTTACAAGACGTTTTCCGTTGAAAGAGCTGTACAGTGTAGATCGCATTCTGAATCAAGCCCAACGCTATTGAAGGCTTATGTCTCGTGATCTTCTTCATTTGGAAGTTGGTTTCAAATTGCATCGATGTTATTTCTTTGAAGTCTCGTGACTTAACCTTGAAACAAGGGCATTCCCCTTCGTGCAGCCTGTATGGAAAATCTGAAACCCTTACTGTTAGATAGGATTTGATTCGTCTGGACATTTGCACTGGACATTGCTCACTTTGTTCAGTGTGTGGACATCCAGAAAATTTTGGGAAATGAATTCGCGCCAAATCCAATCCATTGCATCAATTGCACGTGCGCCATTGACTGGGCAATGTTCAGTAGAGTGGCAAAACGACTGGACATTTCTCTACAACATCTGTGAACAAAAGAAATTTAATCCTGTCCACTGAACATTTTTGACGGCCTTCAAAATCAACTGAACAACGCTCAACATCGCTGAACAAGACTGGAAAAGGTGGCAAAACGACGCAACATTTACTCAAACTCAACATTTTTTCAGCAAATCAAGTTAATTACAAGTTACGTCATTCTTAATTTGTTTAATACAATCAATAATGTAAATTTGAAAAAAATGAATACAAAAAGGTAAAGATAAACAAAATTTACTTAATTAGCTGATGGGCACATGGAAAGAACTAAAGACAGAGCTATCAAAGCCATCTGCCCAGATGACGTGATTGGACGATATAAATATATTACAAACTTTTTAGTTTGAATAATAACAGTAAGAATCAGCAAAGGTTAAATACCAGCTGTAAGTGTTGAAGTAACTCAAAAGCAAAATAAAATAAGATAAAGTAAAAGAAACTGAAAAAGGGTTTAAAGCACGTACGATAATTTGCATCAAGCTCAATTAGGTTATGACTTTAAGAAATGGACTCTAAAATGTAATTTTTCATTTTACTTTTGAAGGATATTTTATTCTTGGCTTTTTTTAGATCTAGTGGCAGAGAGTTCAAAAATTTGATACCATCAAATGTAAGGGTATTTGTCCAGTGCACGTTCAGTGAAAATGTCCACTCGTTTTGCCGGTACTTAACATCTCTCTCAAAAACTTTTGAAAAAGTTATATAGCTAATTGTCTCCATTTCTCAATATGAACTTCTCTGACTTTTTATGTGCCTACAGAAAACATTTTTCATCCCAGCATGCTTTAATAAGGTTAATAGAGGAGTGGAAAACTAGCCTAGAAGCTAAGAAACACACTGCAGCTGTACTTATGGATTTATCCAAAGCCTTTGACAGCCTCTCCATAAATCTACTAATTGCAAAGCTAGCTGCTTAAGGAGTTGGTATAAATTCACTCAAACTTTTACACAGTTATCTCACTGACAGAAAACAAATGGTGAAAGTCAGTGGATATTTAAGTTCATGGAGGCCACTTAATCAAAAAGTGCCTTAGGGCGAAATACTTGGACAATTGCTCTTCAACCTCTTTATTAGTAGAGACATGTTCCATGTTTTTCTGACATGTTTCTCTTCATCCAGGAGGGCTCTATATGCAACTTTACAATTTACGATTTCGATTGACTTAACATAATTTGATAACTTTTATGATAATTTTTATCAGTAAGCCGTGGCCGCTGCCCTCATACCAACGAACTACGAATTAAAGAGCAGCAGGAAACTAACAAATTAGCTAATGGTAATTCCAAAGCTTCTGACCATAGAAGTGTTTAAATTTTTTATAAGGTTTACATCAAAGGTTCTCACAACAGACACAAAGGAGTGGCCGCTGGTTCAGAGGGCCTGCGTGGATTGTGTCAGTGGTAGCTGATTCAATCTCGTGTGTTAGGTCGACATGATTCGTCTAAAATTGACAAAACTGTACTGGATAGGGGTAGAGTAGATCATGTTTTTTCAAGGCAGGTATACAACACTGAAATGAGCCGTCCTTCTTGCCGATATTTTTGCAGTGGATAGGTTCTCTACCACTGTTGCGTCCATATGAAGGCTGAGCCAATTAGCCACAAGATCCTTTTTCACAAGCCTGTGCATATGAAAGTATGAATCAGTTGCATACATTTAGACAAATATCAACAGGATTTCACATGTAACATCAAAATATTCAAACTCTAAAACCATACAACTGTTCAAATCTAACATTTCCTAACATTTCTCCAACTCACCCTTCAACTTCATATCGAGATGTCCAACTTTACACTAAATGCCAAACGATGACGCAGAATGCAAACCATCATGCGTAGCTTCATTATGAATTCTATTATCCCATTTCAAAAAATATTCAGTTTGAGGAGATCAAAGACCAGACATGGCATGAGTAAAAGTTCCTGTACCCCAAGGGTCCTTGCTTGGCCCAAGGCTGTTGCTGTCTATGTAAACGTTCTGCATAAGATTTCTTCAATTTGGATACTAAACATGCATGGAGGTGGCTCTAAATTATTGTAAAAGAAATATCAGCATCGTGTAGCCGTCAAAGTATGAAGATTCCTCCCAAACATAGGATACAAAAATATGATGTAATATAAAGTAAAATCCATAGGACAGCTAAAGACAGTAAAGCTTGAAGAAAATGATGTTAATGTTGTAACAGAATCATAATGCTTAGGTGTCACAATTGATGAAAAGATTTCATGGAAAGAACAAGTAGCAAATGCAGCAGCTGATATAATAATTAAAACATTTCGTTTTCAATTCAACTTAAACTATAATTACAAATCTCACTATCACAAAGGTAATTTACAATTGGCTAGCCTGGGTTTACAAAGAAAAAGACTATCACAAGCACAAAAAGAAATTTAGAAAAAAGGAAAACGTTTGTTGTTCCTTTGTTTTATTTCTGCGGCAGAAAATGTAATAGTTAGTACGGATAGTTAGGTTGGATAGTTTAGAGATCGTGAGGCGGAAATGATTGTCGCTGATATCTAGAGCTTTGCACATGTCGATAACAGAGGAGCAGGAGAGACCAGAGGTACCTAGGGAACTGATAGAAAGATTAACAAACATGATAGAAGAATAGGCGTAGCTTAGGCTGTGAACAAGATAAGAGTATTTCTCTCTTTTACGGCTAGCGTTAACATCCAAGTTAGTTTCGTACCCTACAGTAAGCTAGAGTATGAATAGGCGATTGCCAGAAGTGACTCATGTTATAATAGAGGGTGAGAGAAAACCTGAAAGGTCTACGTAAAGAGAGCAACCAGACGACTGAGAGATGTTCCATTTAGATAGGTATTTTCACGTGGCAAAGGAGTTGCTCAGATATTTGATATTAAAACTGTAAATGTTCTTAGGCATGTCGCTTTGAACCGTGGTCCATATTTTAGAGGCCATAAGAAAAGAATTTATCAAAAAGGGAAGAAAGAACGGTACCTTGAGATACAAGATGGTTTTGAAGGCGTTCTTTGTGTTCTGATCTAACAGCCTTCAATACCTTTCTAGTATTCCTGTATACTTCATATCAGATGTTCATGTTCTTGCTGGTATTTTTCCACAAAGATTAGATGTTTTTGGTTGGAGAAGATTTAAGTGCATTACGATAAACAGTTTGACACTGCATGTCTGACCGTTGACATAATTTTGTGAAAAAGTTCAAGAGTAGCTGGTTTTTTTCTCCCCCCTCATAATGGAGCATTTGCAAACTGAAACCAGCGCTCTGGGGTGAACATGCAATCTGGTTGACTGTGGGGAGAGAAACCAAGTTGTTTGTGTTTTTCTGCCTTTATGCATTGAGTAAAGGTGTTTAAGCACAAGTTAAATAGAAGGGGACTGAGGCAATGACCTTGAAGAACTCCACGTTTAACAAGAGTAGCAGGGGCAACAAATTTATCTGTGATAATAGAGGTTTTAAAATTTATGTAAAGACTATCAAGATCGACCAATAATGTATTTCTACTTTCATTTTCGCTAACAACTTCGTTTGCTACACTTTTGCTCACTTAGATTCAATGAATCTTATGATTTCTTGTGAGCTTGCAAGATGGCTATTCAAGTTTGGGACGCAGCCATTTCTTAATTCTTCGTGCAAGTGAAAACGTTCAGGAATTGCTAATGCTTTGGTTGCTGGATTTACCAAAAGTAATTTACAAATAGTTACAATCTTTGGTATTAGCAATCTTTGTGCTTGATGAACTTTCTTGATATTGTTGCACCAGGCAGTTGCCTAGTTTCGGTATAAAGAATTCACACATTTCATACTCCACGTTTATGAAAATATTATAGTTTTCTACAATTGTATCAAAATTTGCGAAAAAGGGTTATAGTAGAGCATTTACACTTTGCTACTTTTTTGCATTTTAAAGCTATCAAGGGAGTGCTGATTCAAGGGACAATACCTGCTCGGCAATATTCTAAATTTGTTTTGAAGCAGGTACTCCAAATCTCCATGTTAATGATAAAGGGGAATGTACCTTTTGTCTGCTGCCGAATTTTCATGCTTGCTTGTTTGTACAGTTTTGTTAAGACTTCTTCTTAAAAGATGGATTGTAATATGAAGATAAGTTAACATAGTTAACATTTTTCTATGAAAAAACTAGTCAACATTTTTCCAGAATTACTTTTTTCCTAGTTTCGGATACAAATCAATTTTTCATGTACACATTTTTTTATAACACCTCTGGAGGGACCATCATGGAAACAAGATCGTACTGACCTTTTTAATGCTATCCCTGCCATTTTTAACCTGGGGTGTTTTTAGTCTATGCTTTTAACTTCTATCTGTAAATTTTATATATCTGTAATTAGATCTTTTTCTTAATCTTAAATTATAATTTATTTGATGGCAAAATTATACATACATACATATAAGTACATATAAGACAAGACAATCGACTAGAGATTCATATTTTGTTCTTCTGTGCTTCTAGATGTCTTTTCCTTATGTTTGGTATGAAATCATCAGTTTTCTATTTTACCACACCTTCCCTGTAAATTTCAAGATAAGCGGGCACTTATCAGAGGAAATACGGTATTTATCTATTGAGCATAACTTCGCTTGAGAAAAGTCCCCCCTGTCCCACCCGGTTCGAGCAGCGAGTCAGAGTGTGTTGTTGTTGCTGTTGTTGTTGTTGAAGCTGCACATGGCCTGTCAGTTTGTGCTGGAAAGTTGAGGCAGGCAGCAAACATGCAGAGGTCACCGACTTGCGGGAACTGCCTAAGAAATTATGAATTCAAAGGTATTTATGTTGCTCTTTTTAACCTATGCATCTCATTGATAGGTGCTCTTATGGAGGGATGCAACCAAACGGGGGGCAAAGGCGGGACTGTTTTAAGGTCAAGGACTCGCGAGTTATGTTTTGGCATCTTCACAATCGCTACTGACATATTTTAAGGCTCAGCTTGTCTTTGCAATAATTTTAATCTACGCAATAGTTTTATTGGTAGTGCTATGCTGTCTCGTTTGTGGCATTTACAGTATTCTTGTCGTGTAGGTTTTTGATTTCCCAACGCTGAAATTCGATAAACATAAGCAAAGAGGAGGAACTGATGCAAATGAAACATCAAAACAAAGCTAATTATTGTGTAGATAAATTCATTAGATATTTATGCATTATTATTCATTAGAATGTTTTGGATTCAAATTGCTGGCCAGGTTGAGCTACCTTGAAGTTTCATTTACATTTCATTTCAAATATCGATACGGTTTCTTCAATAAATAAAGAAGTTGATTTTTTAGATTTCAGACCAGTTGGATCTCACATCCCACTGCTGCTGTCATGTGGTCATCCATTTTGTGAAGGATGCCTCCTGAAACTTGGCCGACAAAAAGACTCAATCCAGTGTCCTCAATGTGAGGTATCATCAAAGCTGCTGTTCTTGTTACCTCAATCAGGTTTCCTTTAAGGGGTGGAATTGGGGCGCCTTTCTTGATGGTGTGTCATTAATTCAAAAGTGTTTCACCGATCAAATATCAGGTACCTAGTGTACCATACTGCAATGATGAGCTATGTAATCAATAAAGCTGGAATAAAACAACAGTCTCTAGTCATGAATAGAAAATTAAAAATTGATCACAGGTGTGCAACATGACAAAAATTTGTTTGACAACTTGTTGCTATGACAACAACTGCTCCTTATCAATTAGTTAACTAAAAAAGGCACATTAAGATGATAATAAGAGGCCTTTATCTAGTATATTTAACATCAGGTGGAAATTCAAAATGGCAGGCATTGGAAAAAATTCTAAGAATAAGTAGAAATAAAAGTTACTCTATTTTTAAAATGACAAAAGATTTCGAAGTAAAATTGTGTATGTGTGTTTCTCTCATGGTTATCCACTTCTCCAACAAAAATGAGCAAATTCTGAGACTTTGGGTTACATACCTGTCCTTCTTTGATATTGAATGACCCAAATGCACTTCTAACTTAAAAAAACTTTCTAAACTTTTCTCATCATGTTAGATGTTGCAAAAAGTATGAACTTGAATACAAAGGATTTACTCAATCAGTGTGATTATTTCATACCATTTACTGTGAAAATTACAAACACCACATTTGTAAATGTATTGAGAATTACATGTAGTTGCAATACCAAGTAGAAAAAGCTTCGCCAAACAAGCTCTGCTCTTATGCTGGTAGATTGGGTGGTACCATAAACACAGAAACCTATGGGCAAAGGGAGCATGTGTCCCTCATTTTCAGAAACAGAGGTTGTATGCCTATATGCAGCTCATAGAGGCACCCTTTTCTAATTAATACATGCCCCCTCTTTTCAAATGCTTCCTGTGCTTTTAGGTAGGGCAACTGTATTCTTTTCTTACAGAAAGAAACCAAACTAGACCCAGAAGGAGAAAGAGGTGTCAAGAACCTCCTTCCAGACATTTATTTACTTGGTGTTCTGACACACAACAAAAGGGCTGCATTAGAGAGGTACTTTCATGTATTTTCATGGTTTCTTTATGTAATTTGTCATATCCTTTACATAGTCACAATAAATAGACTCATTAAAAACTTCCTGCTTTTTCATAAAGAAATATATGTATACAAATATTTGTGTGAACATATATTGAATTTCTCTTCCTTGCAAGCCTTTTGCTATGTACTGAAGGATCATCAGTATTTTGAAAGTTTTGGCATTTTGGGGTACATCTTTGTTACCTATGCCCCTGAAATAAATTTATTTTAGATTAACATATTTATATAAACTACATTATTTTTAGCTGGTTTTTGAAATTAAGAAGTCATTTTTAGAGCTATGTAGAGGTACAACCAATATAGAGTCATGTTCTTATTTCTCCCTACAACTATCAGAATTATCCCAAAAATTTGCTTGCAGTGGTCAGAACAGAGTTGTAACAGGTCCTCTGTGGAACTTTGGAAGCATTTACCATTTAGCTGCCGAAAATGAAAGGGCCAAAGACAGTTCAAATGAAGAAAGTGCAGAGGGAGAAAACAAAGAAAATTCAGGTATTTGAAAAAGAACTTGTTAGTTGCACAGATTTTGTTTTGTTGTTTTGATGCTGTGAAGTCAACTCCATCCATTCTCTTCTGCTATTGAGAAACAATGAATGTAAAATTTTGCATAGTCTAACAACTTACTTTCTATTTCAGTTACTCACAAGATATTAAATAACAATTGCCTGAACTTCTTTTAGACAATTAAACAATAAAATGGACCCAGGATATAAAATACTCTAAAGGAGAATTGTTATTACTGCAAAAGTTGAATGCATCCTCCCCCAAAAAACTCAACCAAGTTTATAGCACTCTTTTTGAAAGCCACCTCTGCCATGGCAGTTTAGTTTGGCAAGGTCACTCCAATGCCAAGCTAACCCAGTTGGTTGCACTGATAATAAGGAAGGTACAAAGATGGCTGGACCTGTATGTGGCCCAAAATCAAAGTATAACACTGGAAACCATAATGACTGTCATATTTCAAAAGTTTGAAGCTTCTATTTCTCTGCCATACAAGGCTGGAAAAATTACCAGGCAACCATCAGAAAAGTTGGTTCTTTCATACAATTCAAGAGTGGCCTCAAAACTTTTTCATTTTTTTAGAGGTCAAGAAGGGTCTTTTGGTAGAGCAGCACCATAATTTTTTCTTATTTTGATTGTATGATGTTATTGAATAGATAGATGCATTAATTCATGTCTTTATTTCGCTGAAAGTATTCCCTTTATAAATATCGATGAATTTAAAAAATCGTAGTTATTCATTGAAAAATTAAGTCAAAGGCCAACTTTTCTGAAATTTGTTTGTTTTTAAATCACTGAGTTGTTTTTTACAGTTGAACAATCCTACCATCAATGCAGATATTCTTTGCATAAAATATTTGGGAGAATATTTCACAATCTCTATGTTTGGAAGTAGAATTAGAAGGAAACATAATGTGTTTTCTACCAATGGCTTATAATGTTGCTTTTAACGTTTCAGGAAATGCTGATTCTACCAGACAAGTTTTATGCGAAGAATGTTCTGGGGTGGCAACCTGCATTTGCCATAGCTGTGATGACTGCGCGTTTTGTGAAAGCTGTTTTGTTCAAGTAAGGATGGAAAAAATACCAGTCTCAAACAGTCCTTTCATATGTATAAAAACGGCCAGTTTCTTGCTCACATTCATATCAACTGTCGAGATTAGAGAATCAACTTCTGGAAAATTGCTACAATCATTGCTAAAAAATGTTGGAACACCAGTTAACAACCATAAATTTAACTACAGAAACTATCAGCGCTGTCACTAAATTCTCCCCCTTTCCTTTAAACTGTTTTGATTCCTTTATAAAAAGCGTTTATGCTTCCATTTCTAGTTAGATTGTTGCCGGCATTCAAGCAATGTTGTTATCGTTAACATCATTGAGAGGAAAAGCTTTAAAAGATTTGTGCCTGTGTTCTAAGAATTTCACTATAATTGTCATGGTTATTCCAGATTTTATCAGTTTAATTTTGGTAACTTTTCGTCATCCAAACAAATCAATCCATGAAAATAGTTCGCATCAGGTTTATTGCGTATAATGGCATTGAAAATTGTCTCTCTTTGGTAATTTTGGTATCTTTGAACCCCGAGTGCTCAGTCTGCCTACAGGTTTCTAACTGCTAGGTGCTATTCCCTTGTATTCATCTTGACTCAATATTGACACAGTTTATAACATTGTAATTGTTATACCAATAGCTATCAAGATAATAGTAAAGTCATAGTCGCTATAATAATAATAGAATTAGTAGAATTCGAGGACAATGCGGTGTTTTATTTCAATTGCAGTGTCACAAAGCTTTGAAACGACTACAGAAACACCAGCCTTTGCCATTGTCATTTCCAAGGTTGGTGCTTCCACGTTTTCGATTCTGCTGTTATTTTTAAGTGTAGTTATTTTCTACTAAAGGCTTATATTCTCTTATTGAAAAATCTTTTCGTGTTTTTGATATTTGTTTTTTGAATATTATATGACAAAAAGAATGACTTAAGATAAATAAAGAAAAAGCCCAAACAGATTTATATCATTTCACCAACTGAAATGTTTTTTACAACTCGTATCAAATTGGCTTGAAAAAGAAAAAAGAAAAAAAAAATGCGATAAGATGACACCCATTTATCTCATCTTTTTCAGAAATTATGTATTTCTATTATTCATAAATTTAAACCTTGTGTTTTGAAAGCTTTTTATTATTATTTATTATTTATTATAGTCCTAGCTTTGTGCAAGACTTTATTTCGCCTGAAATAGTTAAAATAACAGTGAAGATCAGTGTTGATTGATGATTGATTTAAGAACATCTCCATTAATAGACATCAGTTGATTTCCAACCTTTTTTATTATCAGGTCTTCCCTTTGTTAAAACTATCTTTAGGTATACTTTGTCTTTTCAAATTAGTTCCCGATTACGATGGTAACACGCAATCTTGCAAACTACAGCTACTGTCAATATTCAATCAAATCGTAGCTTTAACCAATGTACAATCATTGCCAAAAGTATTCGGAACACCAACCAATTTGCGTTTTTTTATATTTTTCAATTCTTTTCCAGGATACTCCTTTTTCCGCATCCCCATCCCTCCTAAACAATGTTGATAATTTAGAAAAATAACCCTTTAAGTCGCAGAAAAAAGCGTCCTTCCTCATCCCCTACTTCGTTTTGTAGTAAACCAACATTGTTCAAAGGGGGAGGGAATAGCTCAATTTGCCCTTGGGAACTGACGTTAGTGTACCAAGACTTTTGGCAAGGATTGTAGCTAATTATTGGTTTCAAATCCAGTAGCCAATCAAATTGCAGAGGTCACTACCAGTAGGCAATTGAATAGCCTAACTCATCCATTCTTAAGGAGAGATTGCTAATTAAAAATTTTGCCTCTTTTTGAAGGAAGGTGGAGTTGGAATGCTCGGATCACAGTGGCCGTGTCCTTGAATTTTTTGACAAAACATCGAATCTGCCAGTTTGTGCACTATGTGTTATTGCAGAGAAGTGCAGTGGACATGAAATAGTTCCCCTTGGAGAGCTGGTATGGTCCAAACATATGTTTTCCCGAGCTGCTTTTAGAATATACGAGCAGCAGATCTTGTACTAGCAGCCTTCACACGGAAAATTCGAGCATGTTTTTCCTTTGTTTAAAACCTTTTTGCCCATTGTGTATTCGAAGCTTACGTTCTAAAAATAAAGATAGCAACATTTCCATTTATTATTCATTTGCTACTACAGGATGGAGGCTTACAGGAAGAACTACAAAGCTCGATTCTTAGTGCCAAAGAAACACTTGCTTGTTTGAAAAACTCAGAAAAGGTAATTTAAACTCTTTATTAATTTCATAAAAATGCTTCATAGTATTTCGTGCGTTCAAATTGGTTTTTAAAAACATTGCTAGATCATGATTTCCTCAAGTACTGTTATTTAGTCTACGAAACGAATTCGTTATGTAATCCGGCATCTCCCTTCGCAAGTTGAGCTGCAACTAATTTTGTTTTAGGTTATCGCTTGTTCTCTGCCTGAGCTCTCAATCACGGCAAACCAGTTTCTGCAAGATGTTCGAGAATTCTTCAATCGTCTGCATTCAGAACTACAAATAAGGTTGGCCCTACCAAGTCACTTATCAATTATTCACTATCGAAGCTTAAACTTTCCAATGCACATTATTTGTTTGCATAGTGTCTAATAAAGACTGCCACGATGCCTTTGCTTTTGTTTACTTTCATGCATAGGCCTTGCTTATAAGCTTACATATCATACTTGTTTTCAGGGAGGCAACTTTACTTGAACAGGCAGCCCAGAACTACGCGCAAAATTTTGGATTCACTTCAATCGTAAGTTGTTATCGTGTTGCAAAGTTTGCTCGATTCATTTTCTGCAAAAGCCGTAGACCCTTTTTGGAATTTAAATTAAACCAAAATACGGTAGGAAAAAACCTTTGCTTTTTTTCTTCCCAAAGCATCGAAACTAGTGAAAGAGTTTTCAGTCAGTAGATATATTAGAAATGCTGACTGATAAATCAACTTGTTTCCATGTTTGCGATTATATTTACGTTAAACAGAAGCTCTAATTCAGCTTTTTCTGCGATAGCAGATTAGAATTTGCTTTCGTGATTTCGCAAACTTCCTTAAAGACATAATTAAGATGAAATTAGACAGTCCTAGTCATCCACTTAAAATGCTTAGAGTATTTTCTAACTATCAAAGAATTTTTCTATGTTCGACGTTTTTGTGATGATTTAATATTGGAAAATGGCTATTTGTCAATTGAGAATCTCTGCAAGGAGATTTTTCCTCAACAACTTTACGTTCAAGATCTTTGTACTGTCAATCAATGGCGAAACATGACAGCTTATTTTAGTTTGATTAGAGATAATCGTGCAGCCACACGCTCTAAAAATAATGTTAATAATCTCTTTTATACGCAGGTACGATGGAATAGCAGTCAATCTCGTTAGCATTCACATTGTTTTTAAATTGGTTTGATACATTGTACGTACCATCCTTGATTTGGTAGAATTTTGTTTAGTTTATCTTTCAATAAGCAAGTCTGTTTTTCATCTTTTTTTACCTCCATTTTAGATGATGGATTGTCTTGAGAAGCAGAAACTTGTGGAATCAACAATTAAAGGTCCATACGCAATTACCTATGCTCCGCTTTCTATCTTGATACACGCTGTGATTCTTCTTGACATTTCCTGCTTTTGATCTGTGTAAAGACATTCGCATGCATCCTATTTTTCGTAGAGGGAATTTGTTTTATATTTAAGAAATAAACAAAATAGCAATCAATAGGCCGATTGAAGATACGTGAAGCGAAATCGATTGCTAGTCCAAAGTACAAACAAGGGAAAGATGCCATATACTTCAAAACTAATTCCTATCTAATTTAGTATCTTACTTTTCTTGTAGTTTGCTATTTCACCTTAAAAAATCTTCATAAAAAGGAGCAAGGACTTTTTCAAGAGTAGGAGCTTATTCTTCCTTCAAATATCTTCGATTGGTTTCCTCAGGTCTACTTCGAACTTGTTTTGTAGATACTCCTAAGGCGAAGGTTCAAATTTCATATTGGCAGATATTAGATTGTCTTGGTCAGTTCTTCACATCAAAATTCAAGCTGAAACATAACTGCAATAATTGTCTTCATTTTTAGATTGTGAAATCTTACGTCAACAACCACAGATTTTGAGGCTGAAAGTCAACGAGGTATTATTTTTAAAGTTTTGACTTGATCTCGAGTCTGATGCTAGTTTGACTGAAAAGTCAAGTCTGTATCTGTGATTTTTTGTTGTTGCTTTATTAAATAACAGCTATTTAAATTTGGCTATTTCCTTTTAGGAAAGAGGACAAGTTTTGTGTGGGTCGCCAATAATTTAAAATTTTACCCCAACCCCCCCCTAAAAGAAAGCTTAATCCAGCCCAGTTTACAAATCTCCTGAATCGGGTATTTTCGAAATTTGCTTTCAGTCTTTTTTTTCCTAAAAACAAATTTGTTTTCAATTATACGATCATATGATTTTATCAACAGCTTTTGTCAAGATTAGAGGAATGCAAAAGCATTGCATGTTTTGCAAAAAAGGTTGAGAGGAAAGGTGACTACATACGGTGAGTCTATTACAGGTACTTGTTCCTTTTTAGATTCTAATAGTTTTTCATATACTGCTGCAAATGGTATTGTTATAATGTATTCTTACAGGCAAAATTTAAATATATTTTTTTACTGCTTTGCTTAAATGACTAGCTTCGTGGTCGACAAAGAAAAGGCAGAAGTTCTTAAAGAAATCGGAGGATTGGAAGTAACCGGAGAGAAAATGTAAGTTTCCCTTCTGTAAATGTTTCTGTTAACCAAAGACTGCTTTATAGATCTGAGGGAACCATCTTGAACAGAGAGATTGGTAACAACGTAACTTTTTATCCACAATTGTAAATGATTAAACTGCTAAACATTTCGATTCATCGGTCTTTAGTTTCGTACTTCCATTTCAGTTTTCTAATTTGTCCTTTTCAAGGTCTTACCTGCAATTATGATCCCCTTCAATTCCAGTCGACTTACTACGAAAAGCTTATTACTTCTTCTATGTGCCGCATATTTGAGTTATAAACCCCAAAAGTTAATTATCGTCTCCAGTCTCAAAATTAAGCAAGAAATCATTTGAAAAAAATGCTATCTGCTGAATACCAAACGAAATGAAGACAAAAACAAAATGTTGCTGGCAGTTAGTATATGTTGAATCTTCTTTGGAATTTATTTTCCATTTTTACTAATGTGAAACCTCATTTTGCCATCTTACACGATTGGCCCACGAGACGGACTTGAAGGGAAAATATTGCCTTCTGTATTTCAAATGCTGCTTGAAAGAGGTAACTCTCTTCTTTACGAGAGATTTCTTTACAACGCCTAGGGTCCAAATGCTGAAACTTGCTGATTTAACAGATGAAGAAAGGAATCTCATGAAAGACGAAGCATTTAGTTCAAATGATTTAATGACACCCAGTCAAGGAAGTAACTTGTGTGATGAGCTTGAAGCATGTCCAAGAATGTCTGGTACTGTGTCTTTTATGTCAATAAAATGTCCCAGTTCTTTTGTGATTACCTGCTTCTGATCGTAAAGCCTGGTTTCCATATAGCCGTATGGCTGCCTGCGACTGCTTTCTGCCATCTTCCATCTTCCATCCCTACGATATCGCCGGCAGATAATCTTTTATGGAAACGCTTTCTCACGGTACCGCAGGCAGCTGTTTGAAGTGCCGTAAGACTGCCCGGAGAGCCGGGAGAAAGTTGAACGAGTTCAACTTTTCACATCTCTTACGGCAACCTCCCGGTACCGCCGGCAGACAAATTACAAATGGAAACGCCTTGCCTGCGGCATTTTTTTGTTCAAACGAATCATGTGATATGCAAGAACCAATTGAAATAGGGCCTTTGGAAATTGTTATTGTTTTTCATTGTCGCATCTTTCCAAAAAACATGGCGTGGCCCTCGTCTTTCGTAGTCGAAACTTCGGAACAGATCTCAGAAATTAGTAGTAATGAAAAACTAATGGACTGCATAAGAAATTATCGCTCCATGTACGACAAGAAATGCAAGGACCATAAAGTTCCTCTCAAAACCTGTGGATTCTCTTAACTTTATTGCGTCTTCTTCTGTGTCTCATGTAAGTAGCAATATGTATTCATATTGAAGCAATAATCGTTCGTTTATTGCAGCAGCCATGTTTGTTGTTGAATTTTGCCCGTCAGTTTTTCCCGCTCAAACTTTACCTAGTTACCGGCATAGTTACTGATACCGCAGGCAATTGCAAGCAAAACGTTTCCATTTGCCGGTGATACTGTAAGGGTGGAAGATGGAAGATGGCAGAAAGCAGTCGCAGGCAGTCGCAGGCAGCCTTACGGCTATATGGAAACCAGGCTTAACATCCATAGCTAATTATCAGGCTGTTGAAAACATTGTCTAAGCAGGCATCTCATTTTCTTGCACTTAAAAGTCTTAAAACATCAAATCGCAACCCTGAGAAACAGTTTTTCACGCTTTTCTGTCTGTTTCTACAAAGTGAACTTATCTATTTGCCACCGAATCTTTTTTCTGTTATCGGTAGCTTGTTGTTACTTGTTTTAGCTAGAATCTGCAGGCGTGTTGATCACTGGCTTTTGATTAAGTGGAAATTAGATGCAATCGCAAAAGGTGTGCCAAGTTTGGAATCCAAGAGAGAACCAACGATGCCTAATGATTGCCTTCTGAAGAAAGCTGAATGGTAGTGTGACATAATGTGGTCCTTGTCCCAGAGCTATCCATTACAAGTTGTTGTTATCTGTTATGCTTTGCAAGATACACGAAGAAACCCTAGCTGTTGTTTCTTATCAATCTTATTGCAATTTTTTCTTCGACAGGTTCATTCGAATTGGTATACGTTACTTATGTGAAGACGCCTGAAAAATTTTACGTTCAGAGTTGTTCGAATAAAGAGAGACTCCAACACATGATGCACAACTTGAACAAGTACTGCAGAAGCTCGGATAAACCCGAGGACCTTGTCTTTTGTCCAAGAAAAGGTATTGTTTAGATCTACTATGTATGCTCAAATTTTCTTAAACTCATTATCTTAAAAGCTTTGCTCGCGACACTGCAACTTTCCTCTTTTTCCAATATTTTTCTGTTGTTTTACCTTTAACCGCCCCTATAGCAATTATCTTGAATACCTATCTAAAACGAGTGCAAGATTCTTTCTGAGTAATCAACTTTAGTTGAGAACCTATTAGAAACCACAAACTGATCAGGTATTTTAAACGCTTTTTCAAATATGAATGACACCCCCATTTCAAGATCAATTGGTGTATCGAGCTCTTTATGTAACTAACGCCCTAATCTAATATATGAAATTGTCGTTACAGTAAAACTTGTTGAATTCTTTTTCAGACGAATTGGTATGTGCTCAGTTCCTTGCAGACAACAACTGGTACAGGGCCCGTATTGTCTCACCCAGGTCTCAGCAACAGCCCAACACTGTCCCATCATGGGAAAATGGCCTTCCAATCGAAGTGCAGTATATCGATTATGGGAATACAGAAAGTCTGCCATTGGCCAGGTTTGGTTCTTATTTTGCGCCTACTAGTGGTACCAATAGATATTTGGATGAACACTTATTGTTTGGGTTAAAGGAATTTCTTAGTCAGTTTTTTTCGTGTATTAAAGTTATTTTTGAGGTTGTTATTCAAGTTTATAGCTATGAATATTCACAGGTGACAAGCAGAGGATGAGACAAGTTCAAGACAAGTGTCAAAATTTTCTGAATTATGCTTTAACTTTATCGACTAGATTTGGCTAATCAAGTTTTAGTTGCCAACTAATTTATCAAAGAATCTAACAATGGCCTAGTCTAAAATTAGCTATTGCCAAGTAGCCGTCAACTTCATGTATCACCTTGGTCTTAATCAACTTGAATATGCTCCTTGAAATTGAATCTGGTTGCTATCTTTTGTCGACATCGGCTGCTCCTATTAAATGACTTTGGTCGCATTGAATGGTACACTGTTATTAGCGTACAAGATTTTAAGAACAATACAGTTTTACTAAGTTTTGGGGGAAGTTGCGAGATTTTTCTAGTGAGCAAAATAGTCCGTCGTGTTGATTGAATTGATTATAAATCGGCTTATCCCAACGAGGTTTCAATTTTCTTTGTAGATTAAGGAAAATGAGACCACAATTCCTGGAAGTGCCCGAGCTTGCTGTTCCTTGTTCTCTTGTGGACATCGTGCCTCCAGAGCAAGTAAGACTGAAGCATTTCATTTCAGTATCTGTTACTTACAGAACAAACCTGTCTATTCAAGGAAGCTCACAATGACATGCCAATGAGCTTGTAGTTGTTAGTTGGTTGATTGTCATCAGATCAGGATTCGACCTTGGCTTGTTTCTGTAGCAATAGATGTAATATGTAGAGCTTATTATGGTGGGTGATAGTTATGATAATTAGATAGAAGGAAGCGTGGATGTGCTTTTTCCAAAGCAAAATCGCTGCTTTAATCGTTGCAGGAATTGGAAGAGTGGCCAAAGAGAATTCAATAAACACTCTCAGTTCAAGTTGAAGTGATTTTATTTTTGCAAGAATTTCAGGAAATGACCTTAATCAACATAAATTGGTTATCTTTACGAAGCCTGTTTTGTTTATTTAACAGCAAAAATCCTGGCCTCTTAATTCGACCAAGGCGTTCTATTCGTTTGTGGGAGACAAGCCGATGCTTATGAACGTAGGTAGTTTGTTTTCTAGTTTGCATTCGCATGTGACGTTGCCATGCACGAGACAGACGTCGCGTTAATTCGTTGGTTTGTAATCCTTGTTTATCTTTATATGTAGGCTCATTGTCCTGATTAATAATGAGACGTTATTACCCGTGATGATTTTTTAAGCATGAGGCTTTATTAACCCACTATGGGCTGAGATTGTGCCACCTCACATTAGTTAGCTTATCATAGGGCCCAACTAGACTTCAACCATCCATCTACCAGTTGTTATCTGTTTTCCTTTATATCCTCTAAAGGGTGATATTTGGCACCAATCACCAGTGGTGCTATCTCTACCGGAATATACTTTTGAACCTACGTTCATTTGTAAATTTGTTATTAATCAAGAGCAATAAGCAATTCTGTCCAGCGAACATCAGCTTCTCTCATTAAGCGTCCTCTTTAATTGCAGATCCAGTTCCAATATGATGGCAAACTGTACGTTGACCTGCGACGTCCTGATGATGATGAACCAACGAGAGATGACGAGCGACCAGTCTCACTTAGAGATGCCCTCGTTTTCATGGAGTTTGCGAGGTTTAAATCACCTAATTCTATGGCTATTGGTGAGGCATCCTAAACGCTGTCACTTTTTAAAACAAATCTTTTAGCCCTAAACGCCTAAACGTTCCTTTTCAAAGTTTGCATGAATTTTCTTAGTTTGATTTTCCATCGTAAATATTTATTGATGGAAGTTTGTCGTTTCATATTTTATTTGTGGTATTCTTGCTTTGTGCTGAATTCTTATTGATGTCATCACTGAGACGTCTTATTGAAGAAGTGTTATTGGTGTCATCATTGAGGTATACCCTAGTTGAAAACAGCGCGCGGAACCATTATCTGTTAGGCTCGTTCTATATCCTGAACAGTTCATTCTTGCAGTGTTGGTCACATGTCCTTTTTTATATGCTGCTATTAATCTTAATTTAACTCTCATTTTTCAGAGCCACCGAAAGCATCAAGAAAGTACAAGGAGCCGGTTCTTCCCGAAATAGAAGAGAATTCTGACGTCCTAATAACCCATGTGGTCAGTCCTGATGAAATTTACGTCCAAAAGGTACCATAATTTTAGTATAATTTCACAAGAATCTCAAACTATGTTTTGTAAAAAGTTTTCTTGCTAATGGCGTTTTGATATTTTACAGCACCTTGAGAGGACGATCACCAGAATAGTTTCAGAACTATTATTGTATTTCTATATCCCTTACATAATTTTTTCGATTATTCACTAATTGCTTATTATCTATTTCCAGTTTGCTTCACCCATCGCTGAAGTGCATGAAGAATTGGCGAAGCTCTATGCGAGAAATCGTAAAGATACAAACACCGTTTCATTTCCTTATCGAAGTAAGAATTGTTTGATTTGATTGTATTCGATTGATTGTCTTCCTATCCTTTTAAGCCTTGTAGTTTTAAACGACTGCTTTTGCGAGTGTTGTCTTATCAGTCTTTCTTAAGGCGATCTTCATTAAGGTTTTCATAGTTTTTTACTCAGATTTTAGTCGTCAAAATCCATTAAATAAACATTTGCTAATCATGCTTTTTTTATTATCTTTCTTATGACGAAGCTTCTTTTGCTGTTTTGCAGACATGGTTTGTGCAGCTAAATTCTCGGAAGATAAATTATGGTACCGTGGTTTGATAACGCGTGAGTAGAAGGGACTTATTTATTCATTTAATTGGTTGCTTGAAAGGAAAATTCTCAACATTCTTCATCACATAACTCACCTCCTCATGTCATTTCGTTCCAACTAGTCAACTTTCTCAAATGAATCAAACTATTATTTGTGTACACTTATCATAATTGTGTGAATCTAACTTAATCAAATTTGAGAGATGTGACCCGCCCGGTTGTCATTCATCGGTATGTATGTAGCCATATTAAGTGTATTCAAATCTGTCTAAGCAAAATACTCAACCAAGTCTCCAACCCTTTCATGTTCACTTTTCTAGTCTCTGCACATGAGAAATATTTTAATAAACTGTTTGCTGCAAGATGTTTACCAAACTATGTATATTCTTTCTTTAAAGTTGCGCACATTGCTGGCTTTACTCCGATTTTACTCGTGATCTGTTTTTGCGAAAAGAAGTTCTTTAAAGAGAATGCAAGTTGCTTGTTCTTCATAGTTAAGCGCTTCATATGAACTTGCTCGTTTTTATGGGATAATTATGTTTGTTTGCGAGGCATTTCTACTCATTCAGCTCATTTTTCTTGCCAGATGTCTACGATGACTGCAGCATCCAAGTTCAGTTTGTTGATTACGGAAATTCTGAAAAAACCATGCTCACTCAAATTCGAAAACTTCCAGACACGTGTCTAACTCTTCGCAAGCAGGTGTGCCCGTGAATATTTTTTATCCATGCTCTTCCTTGTGTACAAGACGCTGCTAGCTCCCATTAACTCGTTCGACTGAATACGGTTCATGTGACACTTTCATTTCAAATAACTACAGCTATGAAATTCTTTATTTCTACGCTTCATTGACTACCATAAAAGAAACATAAAGTGTGTATCTCGGAGTAGCAATTCAGAACCGTCCTGTTCTATACATCACAACAGCATGTGCGCCTAACACTCTATGGCCGCCCTGTTAACAGTAATCTTCATAGAACATGTATTTCAATGCTTTCCCATGTATCTCAGAAAAATCTTTTTTTTTACCCGTCCTTCATCGTCATACTCTTCGGCATCTGTATCTTTTGACACAAGTTCTTAATTTAAATTCCTACTCATTTCACTGTTAATTTACAGGCTCTTCGCGTCAAATTGAAAGATGTCGGATATCTTACCGGCCAAACTGACTGGTCTCCAGAATCAATAAGCTTTCTCACTGAAGCAATTTTGAATAAGCCACTTGTCCTTATGACTAAGGGTTTGTATTTTAAACATATCTTGTTCAGCGCTTCTAAGAATTCTTTAGCTTGTATTAAATTTGATACTTTCCAAAATATGAACAAAATACTTCTTCTCCTTTACAAATGCTGCTGTTTAACCCAAATTTGAAAATCGATTTTGTCAGTGTAGTTTGAATACAGCTATCATTTGTAATCAAAATTTGTTTGTCATGTTTTTATAAGTCATGTATATTTGTCCACTTCATTTTCAAGTGTAATTTTCACTATTTCACACACCAAAGAATATCTTTATGATTTTATTTCTGTGTTTTGCAAGTAAATGAAAATATATTACTATTATTTACAATATCTACATTTGGACATTCTTGAAAAGTTTACCAAAACTAAAGTCTTTTCATAGAGCAAACCTTTGCTATTTACCGGGGCTGAAATACTCATGAATTCGTTTGAAATTGTTCATACTTATTTGTTTCTTTTCAGCAATCGAAGATGGCGTTCCACTGGTTGAGCTCTGCGACACCTCTACCGATGATGATATATACATCAACCATTTGTTGGTGCAAAAAGGCTTCGCAAACAGCACAGGCATCAGGTGTGTTGTCGTGCAGGCATGAACTGCACCTATTAGAATATACCTACTTCACGATAAGATAGATCTCTGATGGCTTAAGGTGGTTACCAAGATGACAAAACTGATGCTTTAACCACAAGAAAAGAGCGTAGCATCAGCCTGTATGTTAGATTCATGTACTATGAGAGGATGGCTTAGTGGTAGGGGGTCGCGGACTACCTGTCCAAGGATCTGGGGTTGGAGCCCCTGACACAACTACACTTTCTCTTTGAGCGAGGGAGTCACATACTCTCTGCAATTCCAGGCGTAGGAATCAAGAGGTCTGATCACAACGAAAGGAAGGACCAGGACACTGTTCGATAAGCATTTCTTTTCAGTGTCCTAGAACCTACCTTCGGATGCTAGGTAAAGACAAATTTGTTATGCCCATCAAGTGTTTAAACACTCTCATTGTCTTTCCTGCTCAATTCCCCCCCCCCCTACAAAATGCTAGATTCTGTCTAAAAAATAACGACAAATGAAGGTGGGAATGGGATACGTATATAAGATTTTAGCAAAATATCCATCTTCCTCTCCAACATTATTTAAAGAGGGGTGGGAGGGGGGAGGGGGGTTCTGTTTACTTGAAAAAGGAAATTAAAGTGTAGAATGTGCCTTTTTTACAATCATAAACTCGGTGTTGCATCTACTGTGGGCAGTCATTGTAGCATGCAATCCTAGGTCTTTTAGCGAGTGCGTTGTATCAATCGTCGCCCTTCTATAAGAGTATCTGGTTTATAAATTTTCTGAGATAAACAATTTTAGAAAGATTTTGGGTATATACATATACCTTAGAATTTTTGATCGCTATTCTTGAAGCTTTGTACTGTCAAGAGTGTCAGATTGTCAGATGAAAACCTTAAATGTTTGAAATGTTTTCTTTTTGCAAAGCCATTTTTAAAGTTTAAATACATGGTGTCTCAAAGAAGCAACATTTTTATTTCATATTCAAGCTCTGAACAGAAATCGTTCCTCGTTGGTTTTGGCACGAGTAATGCAGAGGGCAGTGGCATCAGGTTACTGAGCCAGGCACAGAAATCTACACAAACATATCTTCCACCTGTACTGCCTACAGAAAAGATATTCACAGTGATGGGGACCTTTGTTAGCAAAAATGGATGCATATATGGACACAAAACTGATGAAAGGGAGAAAGGTAATATATTTTTCAGGATGAAACATTGAGAAATAAGACAGGCGATAAAATAGCAAAAAGTCATTTTCCAGACTTTTTTGCACAGTATAGCTTCGTGAAGGTTGTTTAAGTCTTCATGGAAAGTCCTTTTTGTGTTTATGGTATGTATTGAGGCCAGGAGATGGATAACTCGCGATCAAATCATATTGCTACCTATGGATGCTCAAACTTTATAGTAAAGAGCTACGAATATTGAACAGAAAGCTGTTGTCTTGCCCATAGTGAAGTTGACAATGTATATTGAGGGTGTCTATGATGTCTATATTCTTCCGTTTTTTAGTTTCAGCACATTGATACACTTACGTGATACATTCCATGCCATAATCTTTTTTGAAAAGGGTGTATACGTGGAATGGCCACTATCGTAAGAAACTGATGATGAAGTTTTGCATTTAAAGTTATAATAATTGTGACTGAATTCGGAATCCTCCGATAACAAGGCAGTCTTGCTAATCCATTGCTACTTTGTTACTTACAAAGGATCTCCTGTTTGCTCAGACCTTATTAACATAACCCGTAAAATAATTCATGTCTTCATATACAAGAAAATGATTGGCCTTTTATTTGAAAAAATTCCATGAGCTAACTTCTTGGAGCATCTCTACGTAAATCGGGTTTCAATGATGCTTCTTTTCGTTTTCAGAGACAATGATTTTGAGAGCCGTTAGCCACAAATGTAACGATGACGAAATCACAGAACTTCCCGGCATGCAAAGCACTGATGAACTCTGCATAAATCAAGCCTGCGTGGCTCAGTTTTCAGAAGACAGTCTTTGGTATCGGGCTGTCATCGTTGAAGTTGTTGACAATGCCCATGCAGAGGTATGGAAATCTACTTAAAAGTTTCATCATTTTTCAAGAAGGATAACTTCTTGAATAACGGTAAAAGTAACTTCAATGATAGTTGCTCTACCATAATATTGAAATTCACTTGTTATCCGCAGGGTCTAAACAGGATTTTGGTATAGCCTTTGTATTGTTTTTGTACAGTAGCACTACTGTATTGTTTTTTGTTAAGGTCAATGGGTAGCCATGCCTATCATGCTCCCATTGGCATCGTCTTTATAATCCTGTTCTTGTAAAATGTACTTTTTTAGACTGTGTAAAATAAATTCACACGAATGCATCAGTTATATATTTCCACAAAATTAGCGTTATCATTATGACGCCACGGTTTTAAAACAATTTTGCTTTGATCTCGATTGACAAGAACCAGATGTCGAGGCTATACCATTTGAATTATTTCTCTCAACCAAGCCTTGCAACCTTATTTAATCTATTTCTTCTAAGATGCTGATCTTACATGCATTTTGTTTTTCAGGTTGAATTTGTTGATTTTGGAAACAGGGAAATCGTTCAGGCATCAGATATTCGACTTACAGCGGTGTCTCCTGAAATTCCGAGACAGGCTCTGAAGTTCAAACTTTATGGCATTGAACCGGTATGGAACATTTAGTAACTTTGGAAATTTTACTTACGAAGGCTCTGCAATTACTGATTTGATAAGCCTTTTTTATGGTATGGGGCTTTCTGCCTTAAGTTCTGATCCAATTCCCATTCCAGTTGTCCTTAAGTTTTCTTTATCTATTTCGGAAATAATGCATCTCCAAGACCCCGTTTACACTGTGCCGGATAAAATTTTTCCGCATAAAACTTGTTCGGATTGATTTGCTTTTACTTTGTGCCGCACAAATTTTGTCCTTTTTGCCCTCCTATTTACACTGTGCCGGATAACCGCAGTCACATGACCTACGTCATGCACAGAACGCCCAAAATAAAGTCTTCTCTTGGCAACAAAATTATAACAAAATTCCCGCCAACGTAAAAAGACTTCATTCTCTCTTCAGAATCATCTGCTTCTCTTTTAGATCAAATCCAAAGATATTGTCAATACAAATTAGGCCTAGTTTGTTTTAATAGTTTGTTCATGAAACAAATGACACTGAACTAGCAACGGAAGTAGGGAAAGCTGACAAGGATGCCAATTTTACATGGACTGGAAGGAAATATATACTGTACTTTTAACACGAGTATATATCGACAACAAGGCAGCCAAGATGGTGAAAGGTCTTGATTGGAAGACAGTGAAAACTAAATTGGATGAAATAGCCAATCGCACAAGATACGATGAGAATAAAATTTATCCGGATAAAACCGTTTACCCTGTACCACATTGCTACCCGAACTAATTGAATCCATTTCCTAAGTGAACTAGTTTTGTTCGGATAGTCGCTCTCAAATTCGTGCGGATAGCGTGGGTCTAGTGTAAACGCGACGCCTATCTGAACTAACTTTGATGCGGATAAAATTTATCCGGCACAGTGTAAACGGGGTCTAAGTGCGTTTGGAGTGGAATTCCATAAAAATTCACTCTCGATTCCATGCTTTGTACTAAGCAAAAAGATAATTGTATTGCATTAGCCAATCATGTTCACAACACATGCCCTTTAAAAGAAAGAGAAATTGGTTTAAAGTGAAAGTTTAATCACGTGATATTGTTTACCCTTGACAGAGCAATGGCAATGGAGAATACGCCAATGAAGCTATCGACACCTTGAACAGCATCATGGTCAACCAAAACTTCATAGTTCATTTAGAAGTCAGTATGACGCTTTACTAACTGCCCTTGCTTATTGTATTAAGTTTCTGAATTCGTCATTATAATTAGTGTAGCACTCAATGTCATCGGACGTTTATGTTTCTCTACATGATAGTAAATCTAGAGAAAGATTGCCCGATGTCGTGTAGACGAGCTATACATCTTTTTGTACGTTGACTTGCGCAGGTGTGAGTTGCTACTACGAGTTACACGCGGATGGGTTCATAAGTCTGCAGATGTTAGCGATAGATTTTGACCCGAAGAATAATTGGTTCACTTGCATCAACTGAAATCACTGACTGCATTTTTAGGCATCGTCTCAATGAGGGCGTTTTCAAGTGAAAATGCAATTATTTTTGTGGGTTTTGGTTTAATGTCTACATCTCAAGAATAAATTTGCGACTGACAGTGTAAACATTTAAAAAACATAAAGAACTTCTGATTCGTTTTCATTGAGATGAAAAACTAAAATTTTGAAATAGCAGCATTTGCAAGAAATCGCGAGACTTTGATTTGTTTTCAGTGAGATGAAAGTGCAATTTTTAAAGGGCTTGTCAGCTTTTTCTTTTACTGAATTAATTTCTTGACAGGGCCTACAGCAAGATCCTTCGCTGCTTGTTGCCTCAATAATAGTCTCATCTGGCCAAGACCTTGCCAAAGGTTTGGTATCAGCAGGCTTTGCACGAGAAACAGAAAATGATCAGGAAGAAGCCCAAGAGTAAGTTTCTGTTTAGATATCTAAGTGACCTTTTCTTTTATGTATTTTTGCCAATACAAAAGAACATTGTAATACTTGTAACCCCAGAATAAAAAATCGTTGATTCTTACAGGTAGCTGCTTCGCCTAGGTTAAGGTATTTAAGGCAGAAAATGTGTCAATGCAATTAGCATTCTTTAACGAGGGCGTAACTCAGTCTAAACCAATCAAAGTACAAGCAGTTTGCTCTAAGCCAATCAAATCACAGGCAAGCTGAGTTCTCGCCAGCAAAGCAGTTTTAATGGTAGAACATACAAATGCTATCTGTATGGTCTCATTACAGTTGGTCTGATGTACAGCCAAATTTTGATGCCTAGCAAATTTATTTTAGTACCCAAAAATAGATATTTTGTCTTACTTCAGAATCTGTTGTCTTGTGAGCATCATATAGCATTGTTGCTTCAGTATTTTGTAGTCAGCCAGTTTATGTATAATTCTCTTTCAAACTGTCCATGATTTATCAACTCCTTAACTCATTTTTAAGAAGAGCTTTTGTAGCTGCTCGGCTGATTCAAGACATTTCCCCCCTTGTTTCTATTCCAATGGAAGTACAAGCTTAAAATACCTGCAAAATGCAACAGCACTCAAGTTCTTTCGGATAGCTGATAAGAATATTATACGGCATCTATTGGTATAAGCATTAGCGTGTAAAAATCAGGTTCTTGAAGAAATACTGCCTTATTATAACAAGAGGGCTGCTGCCTGTTTTCCAATCGGAAATACTGCCTGTCTTTCAATCGTTATTTGCTGGTTTCAGAGTACTAATGGTCGCTTAATTCTCTAAATAGGGACGACTTCGTATATATAATTCTCTAAATAGTGGCGACTCCGTATATAAGGCTCACAGTAAATATAAGGTTCTGGGTACCTACAGGCTTAGGTCTTAGTATTACATATTTTTCCTAATGATATATTGATTACTCTAGGATTGATCATCTGGCTGCTCTTTCCCTTGACGACGACTTTGTCCAACCCACGCTGCCAGAGATTGGGGTACATTTTGATGTGACAGTGACGCAAGTAGAAGCACCAAATATTGTTTTCATTCAGAGGCTGCCTCCCTCTGAGGATGAAGAATCATATTCAAACGATGCTGATGATACAGAAGATATTGCGAAGGAGCAAATAGATCAGCTCCACAGGCAGTCCGTCCTTATGAATTCAGATGGTTTTTTTGATGACAACTCAGCGCTGGACTCCATAGAACCGGGTAAAATTTTTTTATTCTGTTTTGCATAAAAATGAGAATCAGACAGAAGCTTGTTTATCTATATAATACTTTCATACTTGGTACATAAAATTATGTAAAACAGAATCAAATTATCTTTCTTGCATTTCAAAAAATCCTAGAAGTAGAGCTATATGCAGGGAAAAAACGAAAATCAAATCTACTTTACAATTGTCCGGTCCAAGACATTCTACGCGAGACAGTGGAAGATGAAGAGAACTATCAATTTAGCAATGTTTTCAAAATCTTTCAACTGTTCGTAAATTCGTTACTTAGTATCTCCTCGTGGATGATTCTTTAATATATTACTAAACTTATTTATTAATACTTACTAGTTTCTTTGTCAAAAGATTTAACCTTAAACCAGAAAGTGGCAGCACCACCGCAAACTTTTCATAGCAAACCAAAATTCAAATAGCTATAGCAAGTTAAATAAAAGTTTTAAGATGACTGTTAGGGTGGCAAATGATTGAAAATTTATCAAGGTATAGTAATGAAAATGAAAGTTTCAAAAATATTCTTTGTTTCTATTTATTTTAAGCTATATCGACCACTGCGAAAATACGAAAACCAGGCAATGATGACAAGAGTGCCTGTACTATATTTGCAATAAAAAGGATTTTCTTTGGACTTGTAAGATTTCATTGAAGAGATCTTGTAGATGCTTACTTTCTGCTTGGGTGCCCGAAACTGTTAATTTTCGTTACTGCTGTTAAATTATTTGTCAAAAGGCTTGATCGCGCGTTCTTCGTACTGCAAAGGGCCTAATTTTTTATACCATTTCGTAACATGTTGCAACAGATTTCAATCGATACAAAATACATATGTAAGTAGTCTCTAACTCCATCTTTTTCAGCCAATTGCAATGTTGTTTAGGGAAGAAGTAATACTCTAAATTGCTCAAAACAGCATTTCATCTCCGCTTTGAATAAAAATACAAAATAATTTTGCAATAAACAGTCGAAAACAGTGACACGCAATGCCTGAAAAGTCGTCACTAAAAACTGGCTGTAAAATTGTCACTTTTTGCTGAATTCAAGGCCAATCATAATATTCTGGGATCACAAACGCCTATATCGGATCTTGCCAAGTTGTTTTAAATTTATCATGTGGCGTTTTAAAGTAACCTGCTGCAAAAGTTTTTGATTGAATTTAACAAGTTTCAAAGCTTCGAGACTGTCCAATAAGAAATTTACTTTTTTGATATTTTAAAAATACATTTTTCTCAAAATTGAAATAAAACGTGTTGCCAATGGTTTGAAGTTTTGTTTGATTGAGTTTTAGTCATCGCTTTACAAAAGTGGTTTGAATTTCGAAGAGCATGCTGTTCACAACGCCGACGCCATTTTTTATTCGTCCAAGTGGTGCAATACTTTTGCTCACCTAGTGTAAATTTTATACCTTATTCATTTCTTATTGATTAGGATTTAATTTTTATTATAATTTATTATTATAATTTTTCTATTTGCATGCATGATGACGAAATAATTGAATGTAGGAATGGCTTGTTGCGGCAAATATTCAAAGGATGATCAATGGTACAGAGTAAAGATCGAGTCAGTGAAAACAAAAGATGACAATCCGGATGGGGAAATAATTGGTGCAGAGGTACTGTTCGTCGATTATGGGACAAGCGAAGTTGTTCCTGTTGCAAGGTACAACTATGGCCTTCAGTATTCGCTTGGGACATTTTGTTTTGGCCTCTTTTGGTGAAATGGTTATCAAAGCAAATTGTTTTTAACAAAAAGGTTCTAGAAAATCCTTAACAGCAAAAGCGTTCTTAAGCTGAAGTTATTCTGTACCATTTCCGTGATTGTATTGTATTAATTTTTGTTTGGTTGTTGTCAAAGAATTATTTCAAAAGCCAAAGAATAACTCATTCTGCAAAGACCCAGTCAAATTTATGCAGTCATGAGACAGTAGACAAGGGAGAATTATAAATGCTATAAAAAAGCTGGCTTTTTCCCTCACAACATTTTTCTCTCGAAATTCTAAAAGCTTTTGGATACCATGCTGTTTTGAATCAGTCATGTTTCGGACATGATTTGACTGGTTTGATAGCATAAAAGTTCTAGATGTAGAAAATGTCTGATTTCGTTTCCAGTTTCCTTAAGAATGGATCAAATGAAATGTTTCTTAGTAAAAAAATTAAAATTTATACTTGAAGCTCTTTCACTTAACAATAAGCTGCTAGTTTTTTCAACATTTTACAGACTAAAAAGGATACCTGATGATCTAATGGATTTGCCTTCCCAAGCCATTTGTTGTGAACTTGCTGGAATCTTCCCACCAGAAGACTTGGACAGGTTTGATGAATTTTTCAGAGGGACGCAGTGGCCCATCAGCACTCTGAAAGCAGTGTATGAGATTGTGGCTGACAAGAGATTAATTGCTTGCATTCTGGTAAGATACAGTGAATATGTCTATACACCAGTTGGTTATATAGTGTTTTTTTATATATTCAATAAAACCTTACACTCACAAGATACATATATAAATTACTTTAGCTACTCTACTACACTACAAAGATAATACCCCGGGGAGCAAGCAATATTGACTACCTCGGGGCCATGCCACAAAGAATGACTGAAATAAAATTAATTACCTATTGACTTAAACACGTTTTACAGAACTAAACACATTTAAATTTAGTTTACGTCCTAATATTGGGACTTAGTGACTAAAAATTTTGAAATAGGCTTAATTAGACCGACCGGTTTTGAGGATCCAGTTTATTTCATTCAGCTATACAGTTGGGTTGGATATATAGTGTTTGATGCCGTACAGACAATCTGTACACACGTGTGTGTAGAACAGGATGGAATCAAAGTTTTCATGCTAGAACTGTTTCATGTCAGTTGTTCTTAACATAACACCATCCGCTTCTACACTAAAGCATACTTGTAGCATTCATATGTCTAGTTGCTCTGTATTTAAATCCCCACTAAAAGGAAATGTCCCGTATTGAGTGCAGTGAATCTTTATTTCATGGAGCACTTCCCCATGCTCATATCTTTATATTTCTTTAACCTTATTATTTTCAATGTTATATACCGTGAACTCTCTTTTAAGCCCCCCCCCCCCCCGGAGGGCTTAATGTTGTCCAGGGCTTATAACCATTTTCAGTGGTAGACTAATTTTTGCTATTTGTGAAATAAAAAAAATGAAATCAGGCCTTTACATCAATAGTATTAGAAAAGGTCGACTTCATCCCTCTGAGAACCAACGGCCTGTAATTTTGGTCCGTGCATAATGCACATTAAATACTTGTCTTTGGAGACTTCTGTCGAGATTGGGAGACACATGCTTTGAATTTTGATTTGATGAGAAGTATTGAAAGACCAGTGAATTAATGAAAATCTCCGTTTTTGTCAAGTTTACTTATTTTGGCATCTGTGAAATTTAGGGGGAAGGGGCTAAATTGAGAGGGGGGCTTATAAAGTTTTTTCTTTTGAAAAGGGGGATCTAATAATAGAGGGGTGGTAGGAGGACTTAAATGATAATTTACGGTAAGTTGTCATTGTAAAAACTAGGATTTTTACCATCTAGGGGTGCTTTGTCAGCAAACAAAGGATGGTCCCCCAACTGCGTCGCAAATGGGGTTGGAGCACCCCCCTCCTTGAGCAAAATAGCTAGTGTATCCAATGTTAATTTTGTTAGAGTATTTTGATCTCGTTTTTCCAGTTTATTGCCCCTGTGGTAATCTCGAAATCTATCGTAAATCCTCTTAATAGCAACCACAATCCCCTTTGAACTGGCACTCCAAAACAAGGTGTGGTCAAATCTGGAAGAAGAACAAGGACATTGCTCAACAAATAGAGCGTATCAGTGTCCTAAAAACCACCTTTGGAACAAATGGAAATAACAAATACAAATGGAACATGTTTTAGCGAAATGAAGATCTTTGCACAATAGGACACGTAAACATCATCCTCCCAAAGTTTTGAATTAAAAACCATGTCTACATCTTGCACATAGATGCATCTTGTTCATAGATGCATTTTGCTTCTTATAATTACTTCAGCTTTCGTTTTTGTTTTCTAGGATAATGGGCCACCAATCAAGATTATCCTCTTTGATCGTATTGGTAGTGATGAAAATGAAACTGGGGAAGTATTTGACATGCCTGTCGGCACAATTCTCAGCACAAGAAACTTAGCTACTTATGATCTGGAAAGGTGCTTTGCTTCTCAAGAGTGAAGATGGTACATCTTAACTGTGTAAATGTAAGTTCAATCTGGTATATTTTGATTATTTTTCATCGTTTTCTTCTTTTTTTTTCTTTTTCATTGTCTTCTTCTCCTTCATTATCCTCATTGCCTTCTTTCTCTTCTTTGTCTTCTTCTTGGTTTCCTTCTTTTTAGCTGTATTCTTCTTTGTATTCTTCATTTCCTTTTTTTTTGCCTTTTTTTCTCCTCTTTTGTCCTTTTCTTCTTCCTTATCATCATGCTCTTTACTGTAAAAGAATATATCGGATTGTAAGTTTTTTAGTTTTTATGAAGCAGAGGTTTATTTTCCTTTCTTATTTACTCCTTTTCGTTATCGTCATCATGCTTTTGTCTACAAGATTTCTCCCAGTGTGTAATGGGGTCAATCACACACACAGCCTTCTGGTAAATACCAATTCCATTTAAGCCTGTCTTCCATATTACTTTTGTGTGTCGGTGTTTCCATTGGTGCATTGCTGACAGGTCACTGATGAAAGAAATTTTAATGTCGGTGGATCCCTGCAAAAAGTTGAATCTAGTTCAACTTTTTTCTGTTATGTCAACTTGTTACTCGAGGCTTGTCTGTTCAAAAGATGGCGCGGCAACAGAATAACATTAGTGATGAAACTGGTGACTGAGAAAAACTATCCGGTTTGGGGTCGTAAGGATCGTAAGAAACGTAATTTTTAGATTTTATGACGCTCACGATCAAGTGAAAACACTAAGAATCATAATCGAAAAATGATTATCACTTGATATTATCTCTTAAAATGAGTGACATAAGGATCGTAAAAATAAAAAAAATTTTCATCCTTACAATCCTTACGACTGTCTGTTCCTTTGTTTTGCGAAATTATGTAACTAAATTCCCTGATTTCCGGTAGAACAGAGCAAGCATTGCTCCTTTTCTCGTTGCCCTTATATTGCGAAATGTTTGGATCTATATCGCGCGGCAAGATCATCCATCGCAGTCCAGCTGCTTGCTTGACAAGTCTTCAAAAGACTGCCAGTTTGCAAAAACACCTTGCGCAGATCTCCTTGCTCAGAATCCAAAACCCTTTCTTTCTTCGTATTTTATTTGCTCGCATTCCTGTGACGCCTTCATCTTTTGATTAGAATATACACTGCCAGAAACAAATGTAGATTCGTAGCAGCCATTTAGAGTCCTTGCAGAGAATGGGGGTGTAAATAAGCGGCCAAATTCAAATAGCATAAAATTTCACGATTCTTGCGATACTTATGACCTAATGCGTTTTCATTTGGATTTTAAGAAACGTAAGTGACACAGACTTAAAAATTATGTTTCTTATGGTCCATATGATTCTTACGACTCTAGTGAAAACCAGGCGTTAGGGAATACAAAGATGAGAAAGTTTTCCCGGTGGTGCAGGCTCATTTAATCAATCAATATGTAGAATTTGCCAGTACAAAGGATAGATTACCTGGTGTTGGTGGTAATCTATAGTTTCGTTTTGAGCAATGTTTCTCCTCTAACATTAAGTTAAAAGAAGTGTTCATTGTGTTTAGCAAGGGAACATGTTGACTGCAGTTGCAATTTTGATATACTAGGAGGCCATCGCCAATGATTCTAGTTCCTAGGTCATCGCCAATGCATAAAAGCTATACGGAAACCAGGCAGGTGGAGAAAATCATAGCCAACTCAACTCACTAGTATGCCGCAGACGATTAACTTAATAACTGGCACTGTGTCATCACTGTGTTTGAATAGATCTGCATAGCTATCTGAATCTGCCTCTCTTTTCCTTGGATCTCAACATGCTAGATTTTATAGGCCTGAACTTATTTTTTCTGTGTTGAAAAGATTCAATTCTTCAATAAGATCCCTTACCTTCACCATTGCTCTGATCTGCACATCCAAGAACCTCTGATCAAGACATTTCCAATTTTATTTTTAGCATCACCAGTCTTGCCCTTTTTGGCAAACAAACCACTTTCTTCCTTATGACCCAAATTCCAGTTTATAAATCTTTTTGAAACAAAGGAACAATTATCTGGTTGCCAGAGCAGTCAACTGCATTCATCACATTTTCTAAGTGATTACCTGACCCCTTTGATACTGTGTACGGTAAGAAACTGCCTTGTTTTGAGTTATTTCATCTTTCACCAGATTCAAAGAAAAATAATGGCTCTTATGGTTTCCTTGGTAACTGCTAAGACAATTAATCGAAGAGATTGCAGGAAGTATTTTCAAAATTGTCTTATTCATTTTCGAAGCCTACAAAGAGGTACCAGTTTGCTTTCTTTCTGTGAGACTTTTGCAGAATTTACAAATGTTATAAAAAGTTCAGCTCACATAGAATTATATTACAGCTATCATATCTTATAGCTTCTTTACTTTCTGTTGAACCAATGTAAAGGGTGCTGTGTATATTGCTGCTGTCCTGCATCATATATACAAGTTCATTTATTAGCTATTTAAATTTTATGAAAGGTTAGCAGTATGAAAGATGTATTTACAAATACTTCAACAATGTACATTTAAATGATAGAAAAATTACAACAGCCATTCAATCAGTAAATTGTTCATACATATAAAGGTTCTCATGGGAGGCAGAAACCCCTAATGTTCAATTGATACCCCTCCCATTGGCAGGCCAGGTTTCTGAAGTTTCATGAAAACTGGCCACATTCTAAGAAATATTCAAAATAAAAAAAGACCCATTTTTGACCAAGAAAGAAGTTCTTTGTTATGAGGAAATTTGAAAAGTTTAAAAAGCATTTTGGTATTTATTTAATATATAAGAAATTGTAAGCTACTTCTGGGTAGGACAGTTTCAAAGAGCATGCTGTAGCTTGTTGCAAATATGGTGGCTTCCCTGAACATAAAAATGCATAACACAAGCTTTATTCGATTACCATCAACACCAAACTTGAGGTCATGGGGTTTTCTAGGCCATGGAGTTTTCTAGGTTATGGGGCTTTCTAGAAGCAAGGAGGAGGTTAAGCGAACGACACTCAGGGAAATAAAGGAAAGCTATGTTTTTTGACAACTTCCAGTTGTAACATTGAAAAAGAAAAGCATCTAAATAAACAGCCATAATTGTTTTAACCAGCCTTTTATGTTAATGCATAATAAACCATGTCCCAGTTTTTCCAGCTATTAAATATGGCCATTATGGAAAGCTAGACTGTCCCAACAGTAATTGTTAGAGCAATTGTATTAGTAAATTAGTTATATTTAATAGTTTTTAACTTGAATTTTTCTTTCTGTCTTGTTTGTTTTGTTGTGTTTAATTTTCATCACAAATTGTAAAAAAATGAGTTAACTACTTGCATATGGAAGTTTATTATATCTGGTGCTTCTGAAAATTGGCAAAAAAGTGGTTGAAAACTCAGCAGTAATTAGCTTGATAACAAAAATAGCTCCTTTAAGCAAATATCCAAATGTTATTTAGCTATAAAAAATTCTTAAGATATATAAGTTTATTTGCTGAAAAGGAAAACCCAATCACATGCAAGTTTTATAACTATATTCTGCCAAAGGTAACCCATCATATTTTTCTCCAAACAACATTCCTTTAATTGGTATTTTTGTTTCATTGGATTTTTGCTTTGTTAAAATGACCTTTCCATGGTGCTTTACTTGAGAAATTAAAGTCAAGAAAAAGACAGGAATTTAAAAAGAATTTTTTTTCTTCAGCTCTGACTCTGACTTCAAAATTTTTAAATACCATTGATTTTCAGTACCATTTAGGTCAGACTTTGCAAATTATATATTTCTTACTTATTAAAAATAATTAAAGCGTTTCTGCATATGTGGTGTTAAAAATTTCTGCATAAAAATTGTAGTAATGTGTACGTTAAGCATTATAGTCTGCTAGAGAATTTTAAAAGCACTTTTTATGGCATCTGTTGTTGCGCAGCTTGTGAAGCAATATTCCCTCTATCCAGGGAAAGTTTTCTTTCTGTCATGTGGAATGTCAAAATCAACATGTGGACCAGCTGAAACAATTCCATGTGGATTTATATGCAGCATACCTTTCTGAAAAACAAAATTAAAAATCACATTTGATGTTGTTTATAATTTACTCAGATTTAAATTTTGCAAAAATTCAAAGCTCTTAAACTCAACATGTATTTCTAAATGTAAGACACAATATAGCATTGAAAAAAATACTTACCATATACGAAATTTTAGAATATTCCATATCTACTGTGGATTTGCCAATACCATCATGTTGGTAAATGTCTCGTGCATAGTCCCATAAATTTGGGTAGTCCATTATTCTTTTCTTGTTGCACTGTAAAAAATACATTTAATTTGTATTGAATTGAAACATGCAATTTAAGATTGATCAAGATGATAGTCATTGATGACCACACACTAGCAAGGAGGAAAGCACAAGAAAGAGGTTTTTATTTAGAGGAATGTAATATTTTGCAGCCGTTCTTTTGCAAACAGTATCAATATTCTTTTACAAAGCTGTTATTTGAACATTTACAGGCTAAAATTCCTCAATTAGAGTCCTCTGTATACCATTTGCATTTGTTCCCTACAAAAAATATACTTTAAACATAAAAATCGAAAAAGCTTTGAAATTAGTCACAACAAGTTAAAACTCACTAACACTAACCTTAAATAAGCCATGATAAATTGTATCAAATCTGACCAATGTTGCAAATAACCGCACATCTGCATCTGTTAGGGTGTTACCAGTAAGGTATCTGCTTTTAGCAAGTATTGCTTCTGCCTGTTAATAGAGGTAACAAAACTGAGGTAACTTTGCTTATTGCCACCTACCAGGTTTTGGTCAAAATACTCTGGCCTTTCTACTTGTGTAGTTCCAGATACATTCACAGCAATGTGTCCATTGGGAACACAGTTAGAAAAGAACAACTTAAGAAGAAAGCCTTAATCATATTAAATTAGTAATTGGAAGCATGTAATAATAAAAACATATAAGTTATACATACATACTCGACCATTTGCTTGGCATCCTGGGTAAAGAGGGGGCTTAATAGAGAGAAGGGTTAATTTAAAATTTTTGTTTGATCAGAGGGGCTTAATAGAGAGGGGGCTCAAAGAAAGGGGCTTGGTAAAGCTTTTACGCTAGTTTAAAACTTTTTACATTTGTGGCTCTATTGAGTAGATTTCTATGGGATTCCCTAAGGCTTATTAAAAGATTCCTAGCCAGGTAAACTTGGTGACAGAATTTAAAAAGCACTAAAATGGTTCCCAAGTTATATCTGCAATTAGCTATTTCTTCACATTGCACTTACCTTGTCAAGCCCTTCAAACAGTTTGTTTACACTTGCATCGTAGGCTTCTTGTGTTGTTGCAAAACCAACGCGGTACACACCACCATTAATTAAACTGGAAAAACCAAATATGAATAGTTTTACTGGTCCCCATAAAGAATCAAATTCTTCAGAAATATAGCTGTATATCAAAAATTTCATCTCCAGCCCCATAAAAATCCAATGCACCACTGATTACCAGTCTTCAGAATATGGCAGTTCTCATGTGTTTAGTCATTTAAGCCACAATATGCATGTGCAAGCCTCCTTTAACTAGAATGGTGTTTTTGCATGCAAAACATGCAAAAAGATGTTTTTTTATAATGCTAAAGTAAATTTGGTGTGCAATCCCAAAGTTTGTCATGCAGCATTCCACTGACCTTATGTGTGCATCTAACAGTACCTGGCAGACTGGTCTGACTGGGAGTAAGGCACTTCAGTTCAATTTTTTTAAAAAGCAGCCAGGTGGTGGATATAGTTGTGAAGGTAACATGGATACCTAGAAACACATTTTAATTCATTCTGCCCCACATTTTTGAAAATGTCCTAAAGGCCTTGATCGTGTGAACAAAATTATTTGAAGACCATTGCCATCCAGGTCACATCCTTAGTGAAAAATCTTTCTTGAATCTAGAGTTTAAATCGCCTTTGCAGCCTAGCTACAGAGTGCAAGGAGGGCCTTTGATTTTTCCCAATATGCTATTTTGTTTCGTTTGGAGTCTTGAGAGTGCAAATACCATTACTTCCCTATTCTTGGCTGCCTGTTGACGTCATCGATTTTTCATCTCAGTATCTACTGAGCTTTTTCAAAAAAGCACCTCAGATTTGAAATTGGCATGATGAAATTAGTGCAAATTGCATGTTGTTTTGATGGTCAGGTCGCAGGTTTCTGCGTTTTAAATATTTAGACTTTTCAAACGATTTGACTGGAATTCGCTGCAGCAAATTCAAGTGAAATATTCAGGTCAGGAAAAGCTTAATTTTGAAACCGCGTTATTCGCAGCCTGACTGTCTAAAATAAACATGAAACTTGAAACATAGACTAATTTCATCATGAAAAACTTAAAATCTATGACCCGTTTCTGGCTTATTTGCAGATAAAAAATTGACTCAATTCCAAGAATTTGCAGAGGGCAAAGGTGAAGACTTGCATAAAAAAGCAAAGTTATCTTACGGTGCAACCCATTCATTGACTTCATCGATTTTAGATTTAAGGCTATCTGGGTAGAGATCCAACTCTGCCTGCTCTTTCGTTTTGCAGAACATGTTGAATTCTTTGTTTAACATTCGCAAAATCTCTGCTGACTCATTGTTAACTATCGTTTTCTCCTTCTTGTCCCATAAAACGGGAACCGAAACTCGACCGTCAAAGTTTGGAACAGCTAATTGGTAAATCTCCTTAAGAAAAGAGCAGTTGTTGACTGGATCCTTGTTCTTGAGAAAAGCCCATCCCCTCTCATCTTTTGCCGGATCCGTTGTTGAAGCTGATATGACATCTTCCAAACCTTTCAGCTTCCTTGCGATCATTGCCCGATGAGCGAAAGGGCAAGCCCATGAAAAATACAAGTGGTACCTCCCAGCTTCCGCTTTGTGTCCACTAGACCCATCAGCTGTAACCCACTTCGTGAATGCTGACATTTTATCAAATAGATTCTGTACCAAATTATTGAAGATTTCCGACACTGATATGATTCTCGTGACGTACAGGGTGGCGAAGATGAAGAATCCGGTTTGGATAATCCGATCAATATCGTGTCATACACGTCAAGGAGTTTTTTTGACTGCATCAACGAATCACAGGTCACCTATGGTCAGGAAACGCGCACCTAAATATATGACATGTAGCAAAACATGGTACCTCTCTGGATTGTTCATGTCCGCCCAAAGGGTCACATGATGATATCGACGACTTACCATACTCATAACTCGTTGTTGTTGCTGTACACTCCTCAAGACGTTGGCATTGGCACAGAATAAAATTACGTTATTCTTTTTCTGTTTACCTTTTTGTTCGCAGGTATCGGGGTCTACCTTCATTACAAACTTTGCGAGAGAAGACAACACATACAGCTCCTTTCAAACAATCTTATCTGAAGTCCCACGAGACTCGGTGCTAGGCCCTATTTTTTTATATTTCTATAAAAATGATATTTTTTAGTTATTAAATACAACTTTTTAGAGCTTTGTAAATGACTGCGGCTCGACTTAATGTTCTAAAAAGGATTCGATCTTATATTGGCTTGGCTTCAAAGAGAGAAAGCCCTTTTTCAGACTTTTGTTTATTCAAGTTTGAAATAATGTCTTTTAGTTTGGCATTTTTGCTCAGCAAAACCCTTGCATAAGATTGAAAGATGCAATAACAAGCACTTAGATTTCTTTTTAATGATCATGTCAGTTTGTATAATGGTCTTCTACTGAAATCGCAACGAAGTACGATGCATGTTGCCCGACTTGGATCAATTTTTTTTAAAATTTTAAAACCTTATATTGTCTAAATCCATAGCGAAATCCTAATAATCTTACTTATCATTGGCCAAACCAGGTTACATTCGGTCAAACAGCCTTAAATTTTTAGGACCGCAGATTTGGAACTGCTTACCAGAGAAAAAGCTAAAATCGGCGGAAAACTTTTATACTTTAAAAGGCCTGAACTCAATGGGATCATGCAACTGCAATGCCTGAACAACATAAGAAAAAAACTGTTAATTTCTTTGTTTTATTTTTATTGATTATGTATCCATCGATTTTCAGTAGTTTTCTTGTACAGCTTAAATTTTATATATTGAAGATAAATTTTTTTTAAAGAATCGATGTAAAATAATTATATTACAAATTAAAGTTCCAACGACAGACAAGGGGGGACTTGCGGCCAATGAGGTATAAGAATAGCTAGAGAGTCAACACGAGGCTCCTCTCACAGACTCGAGTGAAGCCTTTGCGGCGATCTGTAATATTCCATTTGCACGGCAAGAAACAGCAGCGAAATAGTAAACGAGTGACGAGGTCGAGATATTTGGAAATAATTCTGGTGCAATAAAGAAAACGCATCAAACTAACAAGACTAAGAAAACAACAAGGATGCTTTACACTATGGAATAAGATCGTTATGGCTCATTTAAAAACATGTTTTCGCGATTACGGTTCCTTTTTGGTGAGCGGTTTCGAAAGGGCCATGGCCTAAATTATACACGCGTGCAAAAGTCAAATGTTTTTAAATAGTATGAGCTTGTTCATCTGATGTCTAATGCTAGGAGTGTTCGAATTGACTATTTGTCGGGTGTATCGCTTGCCGTAAGTTTGTAGACGCATGGTTAAGTATCTAATTGACACTTTTTTGACGAGTTGAGTGAGGTGATCATCCTGAAACCCAGGTTCCACTTCAAACCCATGATCGCCTATACATGGAAAGTGTTGCTGCCAGTCACACACAGAGACAACTTGAATCAACATTTTCCGAAGAAGATTACTTTCCGAAGTGATTTGATTTCGGCTCGAATTAATGACATTCATTTTGAAAGATTTTTCGCATTGCTCCACAACTTTGAAAGCTCCATATGATGCTTGAATCAATCCACCTCTGTTCTTACGGGAAACGAGCATTGCGTATGGCATGGTTGCATAGAAGTGATCTGTGGAAGAAACTGGAATCACCAAAGACTCAGAACACTGCTGGCAATCAATCTTATGGATAATTTTCCTGATAATGAAGCCAGAAATGTAGTAAAGAATATTCTCCTGCAGCGAGGTTACATTTATGGATCCAAACAGATGGTGAAGTTCTTCCTCACTTTCAATGGTTTCATCCTCAGAGATGGGTTTGAGCAACTCAGCAACAGGTGTGCGTCTTTTACTGGCCCTAAGGGAGAATATTGATCCATTGGACTCAGCCTCAAATGAAAGGACATTTGCCTTATTGGATGCCATTATTGAGTTTCGCATTAATATTTGGCGAAGAGCTGTCTTGAACTGTACTGTGTTTGGATTGTTGTTGAATCCTCCTCGAGCACGTACACATGAAAACAAAAGCTCAATGTGATCCTGAGAGAATTTGTAGGTCAGCAAAAATCTGTAAGGATCATTATTTCTCATAAGTAACTCTTCGGCTATGGAAAAAATTGACTTTGATGCTGATACAAACCCCAAGATGAATGTTTTGCGACGATGATTTACCAAGTTGATCATTACCTGCTTTCAGGCTAAGAAGATATTCTGAGATATTTTGGATTTGTTGTTTTAAGCTGTTTAAATTTGTGGCTCTTATAGGTGATTTAAAACCTTTCATCATTGGGTGCCTAGAATTAAGAAAGTCAAACAGCCTATCAATGTTTCTAATAAATTGGATTGTAGCAGCACAACCTTGGAAGCTTTCAAGATTCATGTCAGTTTTCAGAAACTCTAATGCATCAGCTACAGATGAGCTGAATGTTTGGGCTGCTAGCTTGACTTTCATTTTGTGTTTTTCCCAATTTATGTGTTCTGAATTTAACTTGTTTGCTAAAGTAAAACCTTCCTTGTCTTGCAAGACTGAAAGATTTGTTATGTATCTCCAAGAGATACTTTCCCCATCTGATGTTTTGAATAATCCTAGGTTTCCTAAGGCATTGCGAGCCAATTTTAACATGTGACATGCATCTAATGTGGAATAAACAAAATAATCTCTTGTAGGATGCTTAAATTTAACAATCATGGTGTCATATTTATCTGTGAATCTGCATCCAAGGTTCTCCAGTGTGCTTAAATTGGTAGATGTACCATCACATGTTATGGACCAGACTCTAAAGCCATGATCAGCTGCTAATGAAAGGCCTGTTTTGATTAATGATGCTTGTGATTCAGCATTTAATTTGTCTGTTAAAAAGTATCCAACTGGACATTTCCAGTGTGACTTTAGGCCGGTCAACATAAAAACTAAAGCCTCAGAAGCAAGGTTTTCAGAGTTTTCTGGAATGATGTTACCATAGTCAACAAAGCCAGAATACTTTGACTTGAGCTGATCATAAGTTACCTGTTTCCTAATTGACATTCCATCAATAAGCAAGGCGCAATCTAACATTTCTGGCTTATCTTTGGACTGGTTTTCAAGATCCTGAAAAACCTCAGTAAGGAAGCCTGGCTCACAGTTGACGGAAGCTGTCCACTGCTTAATGGATGACTCATGTGGTAGCTTAAAAATTTTGCGTAGAAAATTATATGCTCTGTGCGAGTAGAAATTTACAGTCAGGGCAAATTGTTTTAATTCTTCGCTATATCGCCTTCCAGCTGGTTTACGGCCCTTATTTTTAACCTCATTCAGGAAAAGTTCCAAACAGGTGCCAGAAAATTGATCCTTAAGGAGGTCTGCACTTGACTGGGAAAGAAGTTCTTTATTTTTCATAGTATCAATAAGGTCACCCATTGTTTTTATTTTCTGATTTCGTCTACGCAGCTTTTGTTGAAGAATTTTGATTTTTTTTCTCAGTCGCATTTTTGTTGGTGAATTGGGATCAGATTTTCCCTCTTTAGGTTTTTTAACTGTTTGGCTTTTTTGCTGTCCCTTTGCCCCCTTTTTTAAACATGGGTTTTTCCTCACTAACTTCCTTCTGGTTTTTGGTGGCTCTCTCATGAGGTGTTTTGGGAACTTTGGGAAAATGGATGGTACAGCAGAGGGGGCCAAACGTGGCCTTGGCTGACCAGGGGGTACCTTGTAATCTGTAACAAGGAAGTGATCGCTACAGATATAGGAGTATTTTGTAGGGTGCCATTTCCAACGCCTCACTGCTGCAATCCAGAGTTGCCGCTTCTCCTCATTTGCAGGAAACCTGAAAAGCACCAAAAAGCAAAAAAGGCTTAACAAACAACCAACCTGAAAAATCACCACGAATCTCAAAGGCTTAGAATCTCAAAACTCTCAACCCATCTGGAGCAAATAAAATATATATTTATGACTGTCTGGAACGATCATTTTTTGCAAAATATTTAACGAGAAATGCAACCATGACCAGGCGGCTTCGCCGAGCAAAACTTTCCATCTACCCACAAATAATAGTAAAACCTTGGAAAAAATCTCATCCTAGCTGCTAATGAATTCTAAAATAACTGATAAATTATAAACCTAGACCCAGCAGACCCTATAAAATCCATTAGCAATCAGAAACCAACCGGTGAAATGAGACAGGCCTAGGCCTACTAGCTCCATCAACATCCCCTACTCCCATCGAATTTTCGCATTCTTGACTATCAATCTGATCACCATCAGTTCCTCCACCCTTACTTCCATCTCGTTGTCGATTCTGACAACCAAAGGCAGCACAAGAAATAACCATTTCGAAAGCAGTACGCGTTTTACAAATCACACACTCGCAGAACACAACAACCCGTCAGAAGACTTTTGCCGTGCAAATGAAATTCTTCGAAACGCCTTGTGGCTTCAAGCCTCACTTTCATGCTATCTCTCTAGCTATTCTTATACCTCATTGCTTGCGGCATTTCGACGCTGCGTCGGAGAGTGTGCTGGAAAAGAGACCGCAAAATTCAAACCCATTGAAGCATGGTTTAATTCGATTTTGGACAAAACAAAATGAGATTCAGAAAAGGATTACTCACACAGATACTGACACGAACAACTGGCAGGTCAATTCGTGGCGATTTCCAAACCGCTTCTAAATGATTTCAGGAAAATGTAAATCGATGATATTTATTGCAAAGAATGTTTTTGTCGCAGAGAAAGTTAGGCCATCGTTCCGTGTTATTCCTAATTAGACCCACTGGCCTTCGGTAGCTGATATAGGAAGATGACGGCTCCTGTCAAAAGTCTGCCGGAATTACATAAGATGACCGGAGTAAAGTCATGATTTAGCAGATTAAAAAGTTGATCGACAGACTAGGTACAGTTTGAAACTGATAAAACCAAAATATGACGCCCGAATCCAAGGAAAACGAACATATGTTAGATAGCATTTTATAACCCTTAGTGAACTGGAGACTGGTAAACAAAAGTTGAACCTTGTCATTTGCTGAAAATGAAGTGGATTATTATTTTTGTTATTCTGAAGTTCGATCAACTTGTTTCTTTGTATCAAGGAGTCAGGCTGGGGGATTTTCCTGCTCCAGATTTCAGGACAACAATTAGAGAGTTTCCAGCGCAAAGCAAGAAACTGTCCTTCAGACGGATAAGCCTTCCTGCATATTTCAAATCTACGCCAGATTTAGTCAGAGTATTTGCATCAACACAGGATGGAGACAGTGCAGGTTTTCGTTTTGAAGGAGCTGGTGCTTGTCAGAACCCTGGAAAAGCTGGGAACTATGGGGGTTTAATATTTGCTTATAACGGAAAGTATGTGTATATTTGGGCACCAACAAAATATTCTGGAAACAGAAACGGAAAACTGATCTATGTAGAAGATGGATGGGGTGGTGAAAAATACACACAGAGTTCTCGAATTGCTGATGTCACAGTAGAGGTGTGGAAGAATTTACCAACTCCAAATTTCCAAACTGAAATACAAGTTGATGGCTCAAAGCTGTTTTATGAAGTTCCACATAAATTGAAGCAAATTCCAGACTTCATAAGTGTACGAGTGTTTGCAAGAAAGTTGAATAGTTTTGATAAACGCTATCTTTTTCATTTTCCTGCTGTGGGAGCATCACAAACCCCCAAAGGTAGCACTGAATACGGAGGAGTTATTTATTCATATAATGAAACATTTGTGAGGTTGTGGCTTCCAAACAATGGTGAAAACCTCAAAACTGGGTGTATAAAAATAACAGGGGGATGGGGGAATGGAAGACATGCAGATGACGTAAATGCAGATGTTTGTCAAGTAGAAATTAGAGCTTGGATAAATTCGTTTCCTTTGCCAGCATTCCAGACAGGATGGAGAAATATACTTGCCAATGCTCATCAAAAATCATTTCGTGAAATACATCACAACCTAGGTGTAGATACACTGCTGGTGCAAGTTCATGTTAAGAAACCAGGTATTGAGACTAATGGGTTCATATATGAAGCCCTTGGGTCTGTACAGTCTACCCAGTCTGATGGTGACCTATATGGTGGTATATTGTTTGCGTATGATAAGTCTAGAGTAAGAATCTGGGTTGCAAGCAGTGAAACTGACAGAAATGGAAGAGCTATTTTTGTCTCAGATGCATGGGGAAATGGAACACACACAGAAAAACTTGAGAAAGTGTTGTTTCGTATCAAAATTTTTGCTCATTTGTGTAAAAAGAACACTCAGATTGCAGATGGGCAAGGAATTTGTCGAGATGCGGAAAATACAGGTCTGGTTTGGCAGACATCTTCTTGGAATAACTGCTCCAGCAAATGCGGTATTGGGTCTAAGCTGAAGAAACTAACAGGTAAGATTTATTGCTTAGAATCTTTGCTTTTCAAAAACATGTGTTTAGATCATATTCTGCTTAAATATCTCTGTATAGTGTTGACAACAATACTTGCTGTTCATTTGTCAGATATTGATAGGTTATATTTATTTTATTATAGAACCTATTTTATTTTTCTTATTAAATATTCAGCATTTTAGTCTAGTCTTGATAATAGTATTAGCAAACAACAAACACTACAGTGAGTTTCAGTGAGTATCAGAAACATTGTAAGACAGCAAATATCAGTTTTATGGCAACAGCAGTTTCTTTTTGGATGCCGTGCTGAAGGCTAGAAACTCATAGTGCTGCACAGCTGATTAGACGAAAATTCTGTTGGATAGCCTGTTGGATGAAAATTCTTTTTATGCAAAATTTCTTCCACATTTCCATGTTATCCTTAAATGCTGACATTCAAGTATTGTCATCACCCCACCTTATATTTTGGGGGGGGGAGGAAGGGGTGGTGCAGCTTGTTTTTGGCAAGGTTGATTTATCTCACCAGGTTTAGAGAGTGAAGATTCTCTCCTTGTTGCAACAGCGATTTTTGTGATTAATGCATGTTTATTGACTTGGCATGATGCTGCTGATAAAATGCTTCACAGCCTTTTTCTCAGAATTTCCGACTTTTAAGTCTATCTGCCTTTTCCATAACAACATTTGACTCTATGTAAATATCTGTATTTAGTTTATTATAACCATGTTTTCTCAGGTAGACCAGGGTCTTTGTTAGTTCTACAAAGGTACTTGATGATTGCCTATCTGGCATTGCCATGGTTATAAGAGAAGATGACAAAATAAAGGATAGTCACCTTCTTAAGATAATTCAAAGTTCAGAGAATTAAGCCTCAGCTATAATATTCCAAAGCAAAAAACAAATCTTGTTATTTCATTCCTTCATTTCATCATCATCCTTTGTGATTTGTTATGATATCGCTATATAGCTTGATCCTTGGTATCAAGAGAACTCACAAAGTCTCACAGTTCAGCAATGTGTGTCTAAGTTTTGTGGTCAAATGATAGTCTAATGTAATTTTGTGGAATGACAGAACAACATTTAGGATACATGAAAGGGGCATTGAATTTATTGTGGCATCCTCCATCTCTTGCTATATCTCTTGGCCTGGCTGAGTCGCAGCCATTTTAATAAGTGTTTCAGTATTTGTCAACTTTGTTTACCAAAGTCTTAATGCAAGAAAGAATCTGTTCTTTTATAGGTGTTTTAAAGACCACTTTCCAATTGCAATGGAACTTTTTTCTTAAGTACACAATAAAAAATCCAGTTAAGATAGTAATTAGTTTGGACAAAGACATCAATACATCCAATTTATTGCCTTTTGAAAGCATAATGCTCTTTTGTACTTTCAAAAGTAGTACAGTTTTGTCTTTTTTTCTTTACCTCTGACCTTATGAAATTGTTACCAGAAGCTGTTCAACATCTACAAAGCAAAACAATATGGTCAGACAATATTTTGTATAAAACATCGTTTCTGTCCAATTCTATCCATCCTCACCTGATAGAATTTGAGATAGGTCTTCATTTCCTGTAGTTGTTTGGACACCCCCTTTTAAGTTTTAAATTTGTGAGCTGGTTAACTCATTAAAAAAACAAGTTCAGTGTAGAGCCTCGCTTGGTTCTAATCTCCCTAAAGAGCTCAGCTCTAAGTACGCACAACTATCCGTCCAAGTTCGTACGAGAGCGGCTAAATCTGATACGGACCTACTTTGTGAATTGCTGTCATAGGGATCCCCTGAAATCGCTGTTATCGCCGAGCAGTGTCTATGAATTTTGCATGTCTGATAAGTTACAACTGAAAGGTCTGGTGTGTTTCTATGCATTGGGCCATTCCTGCCTTTTTTAACAGAACTGTAAATGCTGATCGTGAATATTTTGGTTCCGTTAATGTTGTCAATGCCCGTTTATAACAATGAATAAATTTCCTATTGATCGGAGTAGTCATAAACTGTGAAAAGTTAGCACTGAAGGTAGCTACTTGAGTAGAAGTTAATAAATTTTAGATTAGAACAACATAATTGCTCATATAGGACCTAACTAATGATAAGCATGAATTAGCATAAATAATGTTCAATCCTGCAAATTAATTCGTTGCATAATTGATCGTCGGAAAGTGGTTATGAGTGTAAATGCCAGTAAGTTCGCTTCCTATAAAACATTTTATGGTATAGATATCAGTTACGAAAAATCTTATTCATTTAATTTGCAATAACTGCATTTACTCCATCTGACAATGACTGCACGAGAGTTTAGTTTTTTTCTATGATGCGTTATGTCAGCTCAACCTTCCCTGCTAACGAGCCCTTTGCTGTAAAAATTGAGTCATTTAGGCAATATGTATTCTGAAGTTATAAGAATTGGCTTTAAAAAAGCGACATGTGTAGACAGAAGGAGTTCGTTTTCTCTCTTGGATTCCAGTGGTGATTGTTCTATAAGAACACGGTACTGGGTCAACTATACCGGTCATGTGCCCTCGTTTTTCCGATTGGTCTATTTCGATCCACAAGTGGATAGATGTTTTCTTTGATCTTTTAGGCCTTTATTCTGACGTTTTATACTTTAAAAGAATGTCAGACGAAAAGCTCAAGTCACTTTCAAATTTTGTACTGCCAAATAATCTTCTAAATAAAGTGTAATATCTTTTATATTGATTTTTAGGGTGTCATGCCCTCAAAATGAGGACTGTTGTGTCGTGTGATTTCGAAGACAGCATGTGTGGGTTTACAAGTTCTAATAAATGGCAGAGAAGCAGGGGGTCTGCTGAAACAAAAATTAACGTGTCTGGGTTTATGCAGCCTCCATATGGATATAGAAAGGGAACCTACTTTGTCTACCCGGTTATGAGTGGTCTACATCCCGGGTCTCGCGGTAAGTTATTTCGGTTTCACAGTAATTTTCTACTTGGTTTATGTTCGGGATGATTCCTGCGTTTTGAAAGTGAAGCAATAATTACATACAGCCAGCAGCTCACGTTTAATATATTTTAATTATTCAATCGCTTTTGATCTTGTGGAAACCAGTCCACTTTCAATAGCAGGCTAGACGGAGGCACCGGACGAGCTCGAATCCACAGTTAAATATAGTTTACATCAGCTTTTTAAAATACTTATTGTTTACAAGTCTTTTCCCTGTCGATGTGTCGCGGCCCTTTTTTCTATTATTGGTCGGGTCAACTTCGAGGAAAGAAAAGTTTAGATGATAGAATACAAAAGCAAGGATAGAAAAGTTTTGGTTTTCTCCGAGCCACCGTCCTTAAACGGCTGCTTTCATCTTTATCTGGGATATTATGGCCTATTAAGCTATTTATAGATACTGACTCGTCAGTTGTTCGTAGCCGTCACTTTTGTCCATCAAATGAAGTGTCATATCAGTACTGCAAAGTTGGCAATGCTAAATTTGAAAGTTTGAAACACCAGCTAAGTGACACCCGAGGTTTTCCTCTACTTACCTCCATGTTTAGATTCTTCAAACAAGAATTACCAAACTCTACCTGCTTTTTCAGGACATCAATCCGTCGCACTGTTTACTATGAAACATCAGGTTCTCTTTTCGTTTATGAAATAACAGCAAGACAATGGCCATGCCTGCACGTACAAGAAGCAAACTACAAAATAATTTCAAATACTTATTGCAATGACTTGAATTTTTTCCTTAGCTCAACTAAGAAGTCCTCCGATCGCAAATGGCAAAAAGTGTAACTTAAAGTTTTACTGGAACACTGGTGTTTACTACAATTATTTTGAGGTATTGGTCCGAGTTGGTGGCATCTGGAAAATAGGTAAGCAGACACATGTCTCTAGATGTTGGGGGACGAACAAACATTTGCTCGAAAGTCTGTTGGCTTGAAAATTTTTGCATCATATGCAATTACAATCGATAACGTTATTTTCAAAACGCATTAAAACTTCTATGGTAGGAGCATTCTTGCGTGTTATGGGAATAAGCCAGCCTCGAATCAAAAGACGATTAAAATCTAGAGAGAGGTTTTCAAGAGGAGAGTGAGAATGAAAGTCTGGTTTATATGATGCAACTTCGATGTATAATATTTGTGATCAAATGCTGTGAAGCGCCATGAGATGTAACTTGCCAACAAGCCCTGATGCGCATATCCTTACGCTTGAAATCTAGACTCGTCTTCCCAAAAAGTTTTTCCTTAAATTCGTGGAGTGAAGTTTTGCGCCAGCGTAAGAAGATTTTAGGGGAACCGGGTCATGTAAATATGATTTTAGATAAACCCGGTCGTACAATTATAAAGATGCTTTGACCTTTTAGGAAACACTTGCCGCTCGGCCCGGTGAATTTGTCTTTAGGTTTTTAAATTATACAGTTTTAGCTTAAAATAGTAGGGAAGCGTTATTTTTATTTTTGGTTGACGTTCAGAAGACATGTTCCAACAGTTTCAATCATGAAGATGCTGTTGTCATTTTTTTCTATTTTAAGTAATTAACTTTAGTGCAAGGGATAGAGATATCTTGTAATAAATGTGGTAGCTTCTGACGTCATCCAGTCACCAGCCTTTGCTCTTTTCCAGCCTGGAAAATGTCTGACAAGCAGCCTGGGAACCCATACATCTGGTACGCGGGCTATTTGAATCTGGAACGCGTTACAGTAGAACAGTTCAGCTTCAGTGTGAAGGTTGGGGATCACTGTCGTAGACACTGCGGTTATGTGGCATTTGATGACGTCACCTTAAGCTGTGAAGCAGAGAATAGACACATGGTTTCGTTGCAAACGTGCGAGTTGCGGGCCCTTGCGTTGCCTGGTTGCCCTGTTAATATCCTAGAGCCAATCGATAAAGGTACGCCTTTGAGTATTGTTTTTTGATTGGATCCGACTTCTTTTATGTTATACATTTTGAAATTTCTTTTGATAACACTATGTATTCAATGTTATGACGATATGGTTAATGATGATAAAAACAAGTCTCGATCAGATGGGACCAGAATCATGTTTAGACGTTTATTTTTTAAAAACAACCCTTATAAGAAACATCAGGCTGAGATTTGCCCAAGAAATAAGAACAGCATAAGAAACAAGGCAGGCTTGAATTCAATAAAACTCAAGAGATAAAATGACAGCAAAATTTTAAAAATGAAGAAAGCGATAAGCAAACGAACATTAATTACTTTTTCAAGAACATGTTATGTCCGGATACTACTATGCACAGGAAATTCCATTACAAAGCAAGAAACAAAATAAATAGCACATGTGGCTGAAATTATGCGACAAAATAAGAAAAACCAGTATTACACTAGAGCCAGGTGTTCTCATAAAAAGTGTGTACTTGTGACGACTAGAATATTACGAAATTAATCGATGGTCTCTTCGAAGAGCAGAAAATTCCTGCTACAGTGAGAAAGGCCACTGGATGTTGTATGGCATTATGCTTTAATCTATTTGGGATAAAATACCAGCTTTAAGAGGAAAAGCGAGCAATACTGTAAAGCTTTATAGCAAGTAGCACATGCATAGCCGAAGCACGATCCCTAGGAAGACCAGCATTATATGTAAATTAATCTTTACTTTTTCTTTTTTAACTTGGTAGCTGATAGGGTTTCTGTGTATAAATATGATAAAATGAAATAGCCAGGGCAAAGCTCAGTTATAATGATTGCTGTTCAAGATGCCAAAGAGGAGCCATGCTGCATGCTAATTTGCTTGACTCATCTTTCAAAGTTCAAATCAACTACAGAGAGCTGTCAGTGAAGCTTGTCTTATCAGCCCTGTATCAATACTTTTCTTCTTTTGTCTTTTTTATCGTGCTGTAATTTTGTGGCCGATTGATCCTGTTTCCATCAAAAATTTCGATAAGTTATGACCTTTTTTCTCTTGTTTGTACTTTTTTATCCTGTAGAAGAGTCCTCGTTATTAAATCTTCGACATTGTGGTTTCCCAATGTCCGCGTTTAGCTGTCCTTTGATTTAAGAACCAGAGATACAAAAAACCATTCTTTTGCGGCGAAATTAAAAAACTGACGAGATTACCATGCCATAGTAATCCGCCTTTCGCCAAACCACTTTGCTGATTCTTGAGCTCAACATTTCGAGAACTGTATTTCGAAGCGAAATTGATTGACCATGCGCAGTGGTGTAACTGACTGAAGCTACCCTATTTCAAAAACTACAGGCCTCTAGCCTTAAAGCTGGTATTCCGAATATGATTAACAAGTTCAAGGTGCTCTAAGCCTGTATAATGTATCTGGGAAAATTAATGGAACATTTGTTGATCAACATTTGATGCTTTGTATGTACTGTTTTTCTAATGCGAATAGTTTGCATGTAAAAATTGTGATTTTGTGTTGCAATGTGTTGTACCTTTAGTGACCATGGTCCGAAATTTTTCAGGCCCTGCCTACAGTGTTGTGATCATAAATCGCCAGAAGTACATCAGAGCTAATGGCACAGTGTCTCAAACTGTCGCAAGCTACCAGTTCCGAGTTGAAAAGAATGACTTCTATACCATCTGGATTGATTTTCTCGGGACAAACAGCACTGATAATAGTATTTCTTACGTGGTGGACCATGGAAGGATTATACCCAGGCATCTTTCTATCAGGAAAGATATTCCGGTTTGGAGCTGTCTTAATCCACAGGTATAGCTCTCCTAACAGTCTTTAACAGCCCTTGAATATGTTTAGTTAGGCATTGATAACTTGCTTAACAATGACCTCAAGAAAAGATTGGTGTTTCATACAAATGTCCCTGGGACAACTCTACCGTTTTAGTAACATTTTCTGTGAAAGGCTCGTTAAGTAAGATGTGTTCTTAGGAGACAGCCTCTTTGTAAGAGCCGTGTCACCCTGTTAGTAGATGTGAGGCATTTTATCCTTTTGATCTAGCAAGTTTATGTATGATTATGATGTGTTTGAAATATATTTCAGGCTGTAAATGTGTAATGCAATTCTCATTCTGAGCCTTTGTCTTTAGGGCGTCTTCCTTAAATCTGGAGTCCACACACTTACGTTCAGGCAGTATAAGCTCGGGTTCAGGTATCGTGAAATTCGCGTGACACCCAAGCACTTGTCATCCTGGTCATCATTAGGAATGCAGAACTTGCACATCAATGACAATCAGCTGTCGAGTTCACTGAAGCTTGATATGCTCTACAAGAATGCACCGCATCTCAGACTTAATGGACTGGGTGGGTAACAATTTTTGCTTGAGATATGACCACATCAGTTCATGAACCAAGCCAAAATAACATTGATCTGTTAGCAATCTTTCAATATTTTATTGGCCATACCTCAGGAAACCTTAACATATCAAACTGATTTTGCAAGTTTAGAGGTATTTCACCGTGGTCTTTTTGCTCATGTGGTAAACATTTATGTATTCTAAAAGCATATTTTTATGTCGTAATATTTATCCACGTGATTGTGTATACAGTCGTTGTTGCATGACTGTGTTGAAGCTGTGTTAATATTCGGGTTTCTAGGTGCCTGGGTAACGAATGATCTGAACTTTGATTGGCTGCATTGGCAAGTTCGCTTCCCTGATTTGGCGCTGGTGAATAAAATCGCCATTCAAGGCGGTTGCAATCTAAAGGAACCGGCCTGCTGCTCCTCCCAAAGGTATGCATGCATGGAAGCCAATGGCACATGTATCATTTAGTAGATTGTTTGTAGAATGAGGTCATATGGTCATGTATGTGTGTTATTATGTGATAGGCGTTTTGGCACGATGGTTGTAGCACTGACCTAATATGCAAAAGGTTCACCGAATTCAGAAAAAAGCCCCAATCTTCATCCGGTTGCATTTTTGCCCTATTTGCCCTCTTAAATTCCTCTCACTTTGTATATGCTCTTGTTAAGTTATGCCCTGGCGTTCCCCAAATTTGCTGCATCTTTGAATAACCTTCCTCTGGCTCACAGCCCTGGGACCGTAGTGTTTTCAGGACTCTGAAGGTTCATTCCTGGCTCAACATGCAATTCGACATGAAAACAAATTAAACTAACGTACCATGTCCAAAACCTGCGAAGCGGATGGGTTCCTTATGCCGTTGCACCCCTTTTCTGGTGCTGATCCCCTTTAGACTTCCTCATAGGGTTAGGTGAATGATAGATACCTAATAAATAACTTGAGGCCATCACTTTATATTTAGGCGATAAGTTGAAATATAGTGTTTCACAAGATGCATAATATGGGCCGTATTGTCAAGTTTATGTTTTATAGATCAATGTAAAAACAGATTTGACGAACGTATTCATTGCTTCGTTTTTATTTTTAGCGTAAAGCTGAAGTTTTCTGTCGACGGCTTGTACTTCTCCTACTACAGAAATTTGTCAGGGGGAATCCACTCTTTTCATGGCTCTTACAACTCAGGTAATATCGACTGCTTAGTTATCTACTTGTTCCTAATCTTAAGCCTCGCTCGGGTCGGTTATTTTCCCGCACTCTCTATTAATTATGTTCCTAATCTCATCAACATTGAAGCCAGGAGAAAAAGAGACTTTGTAAAACTGGACCCGAGGCTTCATAATAAAATACATCATTAGAAGTAGTATCCGAGAAAGATGGCCTAATTTTTTAGCCAACAACCGCTCTCACCGGCGAAACTAGAGTTATAGAGGGATGGCCTGTATCCGGCTTGGATGATGATGTAATGTCTTTTCGGATGAGTGTAGATTTCGTTAAAAATGGTTTCCGGAGTCTGGAAACAACTGAAGAAGGAATTAATTAAAAGTTCTTTAGTCGTTGGAGGCCAGATCGCGGTGGTATCTTTGGGGGTTTTTATGTCAACGCCGTATATCATATTGCCATACTCCACGAAGAATTGGTTTATATAAATTATCTATCTATTTTCCTAAAGTTACAAGCGTTTTTGTTGCCAACAGAACCCTAAAATCTTCCAGGGGCCTTCTGAAAGTCCACGTCTGGACGTAATTGAGAATGCACTGGCTTCTTCGGCTTGGTATGAAAAATTCAACGAATCCAGTTCCTCCAAAGATTAAGCAACCGTTCATTGATAAAATTTTTATATTTGGGCAAATATTCCTCGCAATTTCAATGAAAATTTACATTTCTCAATTCTTAGCTGCACAGCCCAACCCCCCCCCCAACCCCCTTCCAGATATTGCAAGTTAGCTTTGAATTTGATGGATAATGAACTTATTTGTGTAATTTGAATGTCATTTATTCTCTATGTTTTATGATCGGCTGAAATTCTGACGCAATTTCTATTGTCATTCCTTTTATTTTGTTTTAAATTTACTTGACCCAGTCCTGACGCAACATTGGCCTTTTCTTTTGCAAGGGGTGGGTTGTCGATAAATTGTCATGAAGTTTTGTTCAAGTAAGGTCTTTCGCTACTGCTTTTCAAACATAGCTAACAGTATGTTTCCCGTCAAACTCTATTTTCGGGCATTCAGTTGAATAATGAAGCAGCTTGTGTTGACACACCCTAGGATTCTAACTTTCGTTGTAATCGTAACCCTCAATGCCTTGTAAGCCTAGCATTTAATTTTGAAAGACCATTTTCCGTACCATTCAATTTTCTGTGCCATTTTGTTAAATTTTCTTGTTGTTATTTTTTCAGCGCCGCATTTCGCTGTCGAATCATCGCTAGAGTATGCGGTACCGGCCCGAGCCATTCGCTTCTATCCGTTCAACCACAGGTTGTTAACGTGTGTCCGTGTCGAGATCTATGGCTCATACCTGACAAGAGCAATGTGTGCAAACACAGGTGTGAAGCCAATGACCATGAAGAGGTGCGTTGGAGATCGCAATTGCGGTGAGAATGCGGAATGTTCCAAGCATGAAAGCGCCACAGGTATTTGCTCCCGTATCTTTTTTCTGGTATATTTGTACCGGTTTTTTGTAGCTGTATTTTTGCCCCTGTTATATCTGCACCGGTATGTTTGCAATGGTTTATTTGCTCTGGTATGTTTGCACTTGCACCAGTATATTTTCTCCGGTATATTTGCACCTGTATATTTGCTCTGGTATTTTTGAACTGCTATATTAACATCACTATTTTTGTTCCGGTATATTGGCACCGGTATAATTTCAGTACTATGTTTTTACCGGTATATTTGCTGCGGTATATTTGCTCCGGTATATTTACTTTTTCGAGTAGATTCCACCGGTTTTTAGTGTAACGAGAATTGAGCGATTTGCTGAGGTTTTGTGAGTCGGATGACCAAGATTCGGTAGAGTTGTTTTGCCAAGGTTTTGTGAGTCGGATGACCAGGAACCTGGATGCGAGGGCACTGCAGTGAGTCGAGTGCGTGGATGCCAAGGTTTTATGAGTAGGGTAACCAAGAACCTGCGAAGAGCGTGAGACACTGCCGAGCACCGGAGAGTGCCGTGGAGCTGCCGAGGATGTGAGGCGAATAGAGACACTTGTGTCCGAGTGCTGTGTTGTCTAGCTGAGCTCGAGTGTGTGACAATCCAGTTGAGTGAGTGAATGTAGCTGACAAATTCGGTTGAGTTGAGTTGGGTTGAAAATAACGTCGAAGGATGTTGTTTTTAGCCATGTCGGTCACGTCGTGGTCACCATTTTAGTGTGCATCGGAACATCGATCAATGCAGTCACTAAATAAATCCATCCTTGACTATCGTGTCATTTCCAACCCAGCGTGTCTTATTTTACGTGCAGAGGACACGTGGAATCACTACAGGTTCATTACAACCGGCACATTTCTACTGGCATTTTCACACTAATTTTGTAGGGGCATGTAACGATCATTTTAGTATCATACTTTTCATTCACAACACTACCTAAAAATTGCAAAATTTATCCAAATTCCGATATTCTTCTTTTCTCAGTTATTCATTTATCTTATTGGTAAAGCAATTTAGATAAAGAGTGTCCATTCAGCAACTTTTACATCTGTTTTCGGTTTTCATTTGGCATGTTATTGTAAGTTTTTATCAAGGCTTCCTATAAATCAGATTTTATTATCTGAGGAGCTACCAGTTGCAAAAATTTTAAATGAGATGAAATGATAAGACTTCTTTGCATTTATATCTGAAGTAATTATAAATGCGAATCTGTTTGATGTGGATTTCAAGAGATAAGAAAATTGGAGGTTTCACAGCGTTCAAGAGAACTACCTTTTCATCAACATAAATTAAAATTGATCAACATTGGCAAATTTTTAGGAGAGCGACTTGAAGTTCTGTGTATTTATCAACTTGCAAAAAACGTCGATTTTAATTAAAATGAAGGCCAGCTAGTTTCTGGTTTTCTTTCAAAGCCTGAGAAATGGAATATTTGAATTTGGCTCTTCTCAAATTCTAGATGAAGAATCATGTCATTGTTCCCCTGGTTTTCATGGTCCCTCATGTCAGAACATGAACTGCCAACCAAACCCGTGTCAGAATGGAGGCACTTGCAAAGCTCATTTAGGCATGTTCGAGTGTCTATGTAAGCCTGGCTACATGGGAAGATTGTGTCAAATGTCATGCCCTTCAAGTATGTGCCCCTTTGTGTTTGCTTTGTTCGTTGAAATGAATTTTTGCATTCTTTATACTTTATTGTTAAAAAATCTACAAATGTTCATAAATAAAAAAACTGCAAATAAAGTTGTTTAGGCACTTTTAGGACCATTTATTATTTCTTTCTCGTCAGACAAGTACGGGCCGGGTTGCAATGAAACCTGTGCATGCATTGGCAAAAGTCGATGTCACCCGCTGACTGGTGAATGTGTATGTGAACGAGGTTATACAGGGAAACAATGTGATCAAAGATGTCCGAAGAGGCTTTATGGTGTGAATTGCAAGAGTATATGTAAATGTTCTCCGGTAACCAATTGCGACCCGGCGTTCGGAGGCTGTTACTGTCCACCGGGTTTGTTTGGAGAATCATGCAAAGAGCCGTGCCTAGAAGGGTATTTTGGCAGAAACTGCACGTCTAGGTAAGATCTGGAATGTTGTAACTTGTGTACGGCCCAAACTGTTTGTATAATCATTAAACAGTTTAATCAAATGTGTATAATCACGAAGTTTAATCATTAAACATTGAGGCTGCAGCATTCGGTTTTGATCATGTTTATTTGTGCAATATTTTCAGAATACAACATGGACACATTATTAAATGCTTCTTCAAAAGAGATTCATGATTTGATGTAATGGGATGAATCTACTTTTTATATTCATATCATTTTTCATTATCGATTTGGAATTAATCAACCTTTAGCAATTCAAGATAAAATAAGATCGTTTATCTTATAACTCGGTTTAAGCTTTTTTCTCTTGTTGTTTTATTAAAAGAATATCAGTCTTCAAAAAATGCAGCGTTGACTTTGCATCAGAATGTTTCCTCTTCTTCTGCAGATGCGAATGTACGCGTCGCTCGCAGTGTTTACCTGAAAACGGTACATGTATTTGTCCGCCCGGATGGACTGGTAGATTCTGCGAAAAGGAGTGTCCGGACGGCAAATACGGGGCTAATTGTTCCAAACATTGCAGCTGCCCGGTGCATGCTTTATGCAACAAGCACGATGGAAGTTGCATGTGTACGGCCGGTTGGGTAGGCCACGGCTGCGATAAGAAATGCATGAATGGTTTCTATGGTGTGGGCTGCAAACTGCAATGTGACTGTTCTTGGAAAAAGACAGAATACTGTCATCATGTTACCGGACAATGTGTGTGCAAAGCAGGATATGTCGGCACCAGGTAATTGAATTATTCGAATATCCTTTGATAGTTCTATTGAAATCATGTTCTTCGCTGTTGACGATATAACTTTAACAAACAAGAAGTTAGTTCCTCTTTTTCGGGACATTGAATGTCGGAATGTATGCTTGAGTTGAAATTTGAAGTTTACACCAAGATCTGAATTGAAAATATAACTTCATTGTAGGTCTCTTCTCTTAAATCTTGTTTCATTTTCAGTCTCCTTACAATGGTAGTTTAGATATTGATATCTCTAAACAATTGGCCTAAATAAGCTACATGTTGAGATAGAAAACGAACTTAAATATTGTAATCAATGATGATTAGCCAAGTTACTGCTTCATTAACTTCAGCTGCGCGATTTTTAATTCGAGATACGGTTTTTAAAGTGAACGCCTTTGGAAGGTTTTTGAAGTGAACGGCTTTGGAAGAATTTTTTTATCGAAGATAGCATGGAAAAGCGGAAATGAATGTAAGATTAGCGGCACCCATTGGACAAATATAAATAACCAATAAAATGCAGCTTTCGTCCTCACACTTCTGGATATGAACTTTCTGCTCATCTTTTGGCATTTTCTGGCGTTATCCTTGACTTATGCTTTCCACAAATTGGTTCTCGGCTTGAGTGGGGCTGTTTTCTTTGTAATCTGACTGACAAGAAATTTAAAGAAACCTGCATGACAATCATTGATAACAGAAGTTTCCTTGTTCAAACGCTCGCTGGAAATTTGTTGTTGTATTTTGCTTTGAACATTGACAACCATTAACTTCTAACACCAGTTAATCTTTTACTTTAGATGTGAAAACAGGTGCAAACCAAACAAGTATGGACCGGGATGTAAGGAGCTTTGCAAGTGTAAAAATGGTGCCACTTGCAATCCAAAAGATGGCAGCTGCCGTTGTCCTAACGGCTACATTGGGAAATTCTGCGAGAGGCCTTGTCCTACTGGAAGATATGGCCGAAATTGCGTTGGGGTTTGCAAATGCATTGGAAACCAGACCGAGGCTTGCGACATTGTGGATGGAAGCTGTGACTGCATTGCTGGTAAATTCTGTCACTCACTATTATATCATTATTATCATCAGATTAAATAATCATTTGATCAAAATTCTAATCATCATTTATTTGATCATATGATTTTCTGATAATTGGTAAATCGTTTTTTTATATGAACGAGTATTTGACTCATAGAGCATAGCAAAGTTTAGGTCTTGAGCGTTCTTGTTTAAACCGTATTTAAAGCAAAAAAGTTTTGAGGGTCTACAGCGCTGGTGCAAGAATGGAACTGGTTTAATTAAGAGTACCACAGGGTTCTTTCCTGTTCCCATTTGTTTTTAGTGAGCGTGAATGACCTGCGATATGCTGTTAATAATTTGTTCAACCCATTGGCTGTAGCAGAAAAGACATTTTTTGAATGTAGTTAAAGCCCTAGGCAATGTTCATTATCTTCGAACAAAAGCATCAACAATTTAAAGTAAGCAAAGGTTAGACCCTCAAAATTTACAGAAATGAAACCAAAATTATATTTTACGTAAAACATCTTGGTATCGAAAATGACGATTATTTCTCTTGAAAGGAATTTGTCTAATTTGTCGACAAAACAATTCTAAGACCACTGGCATTTTGAAATACTCAAATCCGTCTTGCCTGAGGAAACATAAAAGATTTGCTTTACGTGTATTGTGAAGCCTCATATTCATTAGGGTTCTACTTGTACGGTCGATAAATTGCACAGACTAAAGAGTTGCGCAGCCAGCATGTGAACGTAGGGAAAACATCATAGAAAATGTCTTCCGATTATTGTTAATTTTCTTGATCTAAAGGATACAAGGGGAATGTGTGTCGCCAGACTTGTCAGACTGGTTGGTGGGGAAAGAACTGTGTATCCCTCTGCTACTGTAACCACGGTGCTGATTGCGATCCATCGAATGGTTTCTGCGCGTGTACTTCTGGCTGGGAAGGAGAGTACTGCGACTCATCATGCGACAATTTGTTTTATGGCCCTGGATGCAAGCATCGATGCCGTTGCCACAATGGGGCTACCTGCGATAGGTACGAGTTTCTGTTATTGAGATAGCTTGCAAGAGCTGCCCCAGTCCTCTAGTGCAGACACTTTTCAGCGAATCCAAGTGTGCCATGGCATATACAAGTTTATATAAGTTTTGAATACTAATAGTTTAAAAGGGTCTCGTTTATTATGGGCAGGTTTCCTTAAAGTTGGATGGATTCCCGTCTACCAAAATGTTTTTGCCCTTATCGTTTTCTGAGGGCTGAGGGCTGAGTTCTGAGGACTTCTATCCCTCAACATATGCCGAGCCTTTTTGCTTGCACCAATCATAAGGCAGGAAAATGTATTTTGGAAAATGGATCATATTAGCTTGAATAAGAAATTTGCAGAATACTGCATCAGTTGAAGTAATTCATTTTGCCACGTGCTAAAGAACAGATGTACTGATCAAGCGATGAATTGAATTACAGATTTAACGGAAGTTGCTCCTGCGCACTCGGCTTCTACGGCCAATACTGCGAAGCCAAATGTCCAAGTTGGTGGTACGGAAAAGACTGCGCGGGAAGGTGTACCTGTATTAAGAATAATGCGTACGGTTGCAGCAATTCAAATGGAACCTGTTTTTGCAGAGAAGGATACCAAGGAAATAACTGCCAGAAGGTATGAGCGGTTCATTTTATAAACGCTTAGAGAACTAGCAACGTAGCCGTTTAGTAATTCGTCTGCTTACAGGAGACCCACTACCAGTGGTTATGCGTTCTTATAATGCAAGCCAAGAATAGCAAGCAACATCAAAACAACACAAAAAGTTACAGCTGGCCTCGGCAGTATATTCTTAAATGGTTTTAACATGTGCTTTCAGAAGTATTCGTAAGTTGGGGACACCGGGGGGTAGAGTTTTGCCATTTCGTAAAGAGGACTTTTCAATAGAGCTTAAATACCTATCAATAAAGGGTACATTTATTTTTTTCCCAATGTCGGGGGGCACTTGCCACTGTTGCCGTTCTGATGTTCCCGTTTTTGGAATTTAGCTCTAAAATTGGAATTGTCTCAGTATCTTTAACTTTTGCTCTTCCATCATTTTTAGTCAGATTTCAGCATCTCATTCTAGGGTTGCTGTTTTCAACCCAACTGATTCCCACTGTTCTTGCTAAAACTCTTTGATCTCTATTTCTTTCTTTCTTGTTTATTACATACCACCCAATATGGATATGCAGTCCGATTGATTTTTGGAGCATTTTATCTGGTGCTACCCTTTTCACCGTAAGACGAGTAGGAACATAGTAAAAAAGTTTGTTTAATCACAAAAGTTATATATAGTTCTATTTCGAGCATACGGTCCATGCAATATTTCTCACGTGCCTGTCCTCTTTTACTTGAACGCATTTAAGGAATGCGATGATGGAAAGTACGGAGGCGGATGCCAGCTGGATTGTCCCGTATGTCGGTACCACGTGGTTGGGCCTTGTGATAAGACGTCTGGACAATGCAATTGCAGTATAGGATATTATGGAACAAGCTGTGAAAGTTATTGTCCGTTGGAACGATATGGACGGTACTGTGCATTTACTTGCAATTGTACGGTGCAGGAAATTTGTAGTCACGTGAATGGAGGCTGCTTGAATCGCAATGAATTTGAATTCTTTGTTAGTCTTCGATTAGGGTATAGCAACTCACTGGGATATCATCTTCGAAAGCAATTGATTTTCAACATTGAAAGACTAATGGCCAAATATTTCCACGAGTTTTTCCGTCCGATATCGGTTCGAAGAAGGGATCTGCCGTCTGACCTTATGGAACTAACAACCCCAGAAATAGCAAAGCTGGTGTCTGACTCTGATGGTCTTTATACTTTGTCAGATTATGTAACTGATTCAGATGGAAGGTCAAGAGATGGGGAAGGAATCCATGTTGCTTCAGTTTCATCAGCGGAGAAGGATATGCCTGACAGGATAAAGGATTTTGTAGGACAACTCTCCCCCGAAGAATTTGAGCACAAAATTGTGAGAAGAAACGCTAAGAACAATAGCAAAATTGTGAATTGCGAGCAACTTGATATGAATGTAAATCTTAATTCTTTTTCCGTGCGAATCACAAGTGCGTCGAAGAAGTTTGCAAAAAATGGCCAAGTCGTTTTTAAAATTGGTTTTGTCGCTTTGTACAAAGAAAAACCCCAGCCAAAGGAGAGGATGGACGAGTTTCTGAATTACCTACCAGAGACATGCTTACTAACCGGTGCAAATTGCGAATCGTGTGCATTTTACGCTGGAAAGCTTTTTGACAATGAACCCGAGCCAAGTTCTTCAAGCATGTGGATTATTATTGGTGCTAGTTTAGGTAAGGTGCTTAACTTATTTTTTAAAATATGTCATGATAATGGTAGCATGCTTGATATGATTCATCCCTTGGAATGAATTTTCGACACCATTTGCTTATCATCTGAGTTTGACGATAAAGAATACCGATAACGTCAGGTGTTGTGGAATATTTCTGATTTTATTTTAAAAGTTTTAGGACATCAGGGCTATTCAAAACTGTAAATAGACATTTTCCTATAGAAAGAGACAAAATCTGCTGATAGTTAAATTGATAGCTTTCACCGGACGGTTTATTCTTGCACAGTCGTTGCTATGATATGTAACTCCCAATCGAGGCTGATTCACATATTAGCCAATCAGGGCTATTAGCTTTCCACCATACTGTTTGCGCATATATACCGTTCTTCTTTATGAGTCTTCCATACCCTAAAGGAATGTGTGAATTTTATTCCCTCACAGCTGGCCAAATGGGCCTTGTTGGAAGGATCTTATATCCATCTAAGGAGCCTTGGAAATGAAATTTTCAATTCTATCTTACCCTGCCCATCGTTTCCAAATTCTTAAATGTCCTCTACGAAGTCTAACATTAATCATATTTTGTTTTTAGGCGGCGCTGGGCTGTTGATAACCCTTGCAATTTGTTTAATAGCCCGAAGGAGACGCCAAAACATCGTGCCTACTATTTACAAAGTCAAGAAAAACTCCCGAGACATAGAGCTTAGGCCCTTCCTTGCAAACGGTGATGGGAGTCACGTGCTTGCTTTCGAGAACCCTTACTATGATGTAATCGCTGCAATGGGTCTTGATGATGATATTGAGGAGGATTATTTCAATCCATTGTACACGTATGATGACGTCAGTTTGTATTGTGACGACCAGGGAAGTGACTCTGGGACGGAGACAAACAACGATGAAGGTTATCATTATCCTTATGACAGAGACAGTGGCATATCCAGTGGGACCATCCATCAATGAAGATGTATTGGCTCAGCATTAGTAAATATTGTTTAAGTTCGCAGAGTGATTGCTTGAAATGCTGTGTTTCAGGGAGTTGTGCGATTTGTGTTTCAGGGAGTTTATACGCATGATTTCCAGGAGAGTATGTTTGCTTTTGGCAGCATTCACGATACAGGTTTCTCAGCTCATGAAGAAGAGGCTGGTTTTTATGGACCTCGTTTTTAAAGACTGGATGAATTTTTATTTAGGCCGTTTTCAAAGGCCGTATAAAGGTAGAAAAAAAATTGCTTATTTGCTTGATGTTTAAGGCAGAAATTAAATGTTAAATGACTTCAGTTGAAATTATTGGTGACGACACTTGAGTTAGACTGCTTATTTGATTCTTTTGGATCGAATTGCATGTCGGTCGCAATGGCAATTGAAAGATATAGCCAGTTTTGTAGTGTAGGGTTGTGTCTTAAGAATTTGTTGTATTTTATATTTTTAGGCCCATGGCTGATGTAATTAACTATTTATGCACTAATAATCATGAGTATGTGTGCAAATGTTTTTATATTTAATGAAGTATTTAACTCAGTTTTTTATTAATAAACTAAAGTTGTAAAAAATACTTTCTTTATTGAGTAGCTTTAGTATGTTGGAATTGTATTTTAAAGAATACGACGACTGCAGATGAACGTTGCCAGATGTTGCCAGTCACAAATTAAGAATACATCTGGTTATGAATCTCTGTTCGTTTAGGTACTTATGCCATTGGTATCCTAGATCCGGAGATATTACCCTATACTTTTATAACGCCCGAATATGTCTAAATATGGTCTTCAGAATGTATGAACTGCTGATTTTAATAGCTCGTGTAAGCTTAAAAAATACTTGTCTAACCCGAGAATGCAATACTTTTTCATAAAGCCAGTTTGATGTAAATATGATAGCAAGTATCGACAAGTTTTGAGCAAGACTTCTCTATAAGTAGCCTAGATAGAAATGCGAAGATTTTAAGAAGGCAATATCTAACTTCAAGAACAAGGTTCTCTTTTCAGCGTATAGTTTATAACTCATAGATGATGGCTTTGTATATTGTCAAGGGGCATGAACTAATCTTAGCTAAACTTAAGCTAAGACTAAACCTCTGACCTCACTCTAGAACTTCTTTATAAGAGGTCACTTTCTCCCAAAGCATTATCATGAATATAGAATTGTAGTTATTGTTGTGTATGCCAATTAAATAGACAATGGCGTCATTCAAGTAAGCAATATTCTGTCATCATCAATTTTGAATTTAATTCGTTTTGTCAAAAAGACAAATTTTAAAGCTTACTAGCTCTATCTTTTTGCATTTCCTGTCTGTCTCTTTCAAGTTTGCAGTTAAAATTTGTGACAAGTAAGCTTCTGATATTTACCTTTTTCAAATGTGAAACCATCATGACACTTAAAAAAGATGTTGTTCCCAAGGCCCTGATCACTCTTCATCGGAATTATTCTGTATCGGAACTTTTACACACCAGAAAAGCTTTCTGTGCACACAAAAACGCTGGAATCCGATGAGCTCCGTATCGTTTATACTTTGGCTGGATACTTTTTTAAACTATCATTTATACGGAGGGAAGTGATACTTTGGTTGTGGTATGGGAGCGTGTTGGACCACTTTTGGGTATGTTTGGACGCACGGTATTGCCGATATGTAATGGTTTTGCTCCCGAGCCTTTTTTCGATTATGCGCAGCGGCTTTGTTCTTAAAGGCTTGTGCTACGCAGTTCGGAGCATAGCGGCGCTATGAAAACAGAGGATAAATCTGGATCGAACACAGTACTACTGACTGGTGCCATAAATTAGATATTCCATGAATTCTGATTGTGGAAATAAGGCCTAATTGTGTTTGTAGCATTTGGGACTTAATACTAATAAGCATAATATGCCTAACTCCTTGGTCTAAATCGAGTAAGCAAATTGGATTATTACAAGGAGTCCTTCTTTTAAAGTCTTTGAGGCAAAAACAAGCTCAACTATGCACATTTTAAAGACTTATTTAAATTCCAGATACAAATGCTTTTTGTAAAGCAATATAATAAGTTTTAAAAAAAACTTTTTACAAAACTGCTCAAAATAATGAAATAGCTCAGATCAATGAAATCGTACAACTATCAACGTAATCTATTACGTGCGTGGTCCTGTGAGCCTAGAGATTCGTCTTCTAATCTTTTCTTCGTTGAACATTTATATTTGTATGACTACATGGTAAAGTCATTAGAAATCAGTCGAAGTCTGTTAAGAGCTTTATACCTTATCTAGTAAATACCCTATCTAGAGAATACACAGGGAGAGATTCGATCAATATTCAATTGGCCCAATTGTTGGCCATGTAGCTTAAATTCCTCAAGTTTCCTCCAGATTACGTGGAACCATAATCTCATAAGAATTCCTCACAGATCCTGACTGAGGAGTTTCATTCAGTCTGACGGCTGGCTGCTGCAAACTGTAAGACCAGTTTCTCAAGGGCCATTTTGATTTCGATTCGAAAATATAAGACCTGAGCCCACCTTAGCATATTTATTAAATTACGATTTGGGACTGCTGCATCTATTTCTATAGCAACGCCATGTGGTTTTCCATTACTTGAACTGTATTAAAAGTCATTGTTCTACTACTGCTAGTTCGTTAACTTTAAATGAAAGGGTGCTAACAATTCTTAAACTACCATTGATCCTATAACGAATTTTAAATACAAATTCAGCTATCCTTGTAAGGATGCACTGTAATTTTCAAATCTTCGTTCTTTTAAAACGTGCACGGCATCCCACGCTGTGCTGTGTTCAGTTCGTTTGTACCGTGCAACGTTAGAACGAATTTTAGCAACACTCCCGAACATGAATTATACCCACTTACACACGTGATCTTAGGATTCTCGTATCCAGCGTTTACCTGTACTCTTTGTGTCCCTGTCTCTTCTTCAGTAACCTGAACCTTTTTAAATGCATTATTGGAATAAAATGGATTAACACTCTCGAACATGCTTTTCTTCACTCGCTCTTTTGGCCCTTCACTTGCATATCGACTCTTGGCCGCTTTCTCGAACTGCCTAGCATCGTATTCGTTGATCACACCATCTCTTTTGACTTCAAAACCACGTGCCTCTGTCTCTCTTCTAAAACGAGCCTCCTTGCCAGGACGGAAATGAGCATTTTCAGTTTCCTCCATCGTAGCATAAGCCTCTTCTGGACCCTCGATGATGACTCCTGCGGGAGTATCTATATACTCGTCTGGCCTAGCAATCGAGCTGCGGTAACTTGCAGGGTAATCTGGTAGCTGTGGGTTGTAAACTGGGGTGCTTACCCCGCCGTCCATCATCTCATAGTCCTGATGCATTACATGGTCTCTGCGCACTCCAGCAGGATATTGTACGTCAAAGTGTGGATTCTAAAAGTGCAATGCAAGATTTATCTAAAAATTCTGTCAAAATATTGAACCTGTTATGTTGCATTTGGAGCCTTTAGCTGACAGCTGATGGTCAACATTTCATGGATTTGTAAGAAATTATATTGCGTTGAATATTAGCAAATATTTTCTTCGTGAAAGGAACGTATAGTAGTATTGGACAAATAGAACAGATTGTTATGTTGTGTTGATAGAACAAATGTAAAAAAATTCATGGTAAGAATGGCTTTTTGAAGTAAACTGCATTGATAAAGCGTTTTGCAATCCAATCTAAATCGCAAATTCTCTGTGTTTAAGAAAGATGAGCATTGAGTGACATACAGTTTTTAAAACGGGATCTAGTGAATATACCAAGATGAAATCTTATGTTTCTTTTGCTCCGTGTCCGCAACAGCAGTAAATGATGCTAATTTGTAGTAATGAAAAGGCACTGAGGAGCAGACGTGTACACAGAAGCATTACGTATTTCACTAAATGTTACCAACCTGTTCTCTCATCAGTTTCCACTTGCTTTTGTTTGCTTTTGTTTTCTCATCGATTACCTTCTCTTCAAGGTCCTCTACATCAGTTTCTTCCTGGCTTAATATGTCATTCTGCTCCAGGTTGTTGTTATCTGTTATTTTAAGCTGCCATACACCACGTGGATTCTCTCCTATGGCAAGAAAAGCCTTGACATAGAGACTCAACTGATGCAAAGTTATCTTGTGATGTACATCATAAAGAATTTCAAATACCATAGTTAGTCGTACAGAACAATATGAACCAAACTATCAAATAACCGATGAATTTCGAGACAGAAGATGTTATTAAAGGTAAATACTAAATGTATAGGGTAGTGCTTTTAGTCCATTGGTTGCAATGTACTTTGGGTTTAAGTGAATATTCACCCATTCATCTTCCCTGTCTATCCGTTTTTATTCAGCAATTCTTCGCCAAGAAACGTCATTTTTATCCACGTAACAAATACAGTTCATAAACGATGATGTGTATTCCAGGGATTCTTTGTCTGACTTTGGCAGTTCTTTATTTGGCTTAGGTTGACCCTTTGTCGCTGTGGCAGCGTTCTAAAAAATCTCCGTTTTGATGCGTTTTGTTCGCTTCATAGACACAGCTTGTAAGGAATCGGATTAATTTATATTTATAGATGAACGAAAGGTGGTTATTGGGCCTTATACTATGATAACGAGCTGTATCTGTTTAAACAAACCTACCCCACTTGTGAACCGTCATAAAATTCCACTCGTCAAGGCCTTCGTCCGAGTCGTCATATTTGCGTGTGCTCAGCATCTGGCTGCGTGTTTTCGCGGGCGAGTACAGGTCGATGCTCACTTGCCCGCGTCGCTTATGCACAAAACTGACGGTCAAGACAACATGCTCGAGTTTTGTGATCTCAGCGTTTGGAATTCCTTTGCACGCACATGTAGGGATGTTTATGTAGAGAGAGTTACCATGTGGAATGTCTCTGTGGTTTTAAAAGAGATAAATCAATTTATATATAAGGAAGATTACTGTTGACTGGTCTGTGGCAGCATCCTCGATGCCTTGCAGACAGAGCTGTACACGAACCGTAGAATGCAAACTTTATTAGCATGTTCCCAAACTTAAAGATGGCAACCCTTCGATTAAGAAATAATACATATCTAAAACTTTGTAAACAGCTTTTCGAATTGGGAGCCAGTATCGCTAACCAAATCTAAAGGATTCTTTTACATATTTCACAGAACCTCATTTTGTAAGAATGATTTTATTACTTGGTCGTATTACAGTAGGTTTTTATTACTTGATATTTCATCATAACTTTCCCTTCAGTATCAGGCCTGAAACTCAGAATTAATGCTGGACACCATCTTGTGCTGCAGGTTCTGTTTATATGCCAAAACCTTGTTGCTTAAAGACGACTTTCTGCAACTTGAAGCTTTTATGGAAACTCAACCTTCACCTTATAGGTTCAGTAAGGAATTTAATCGAACCCGAATGCTTAACTTAAGAAAGGCTTCCTTTTCTTTATCATATAAATGCAACTTACTGTGGTTCGAAGCTCGAATAGGCTGTGCACGTTCTCTGCTCTGGAACATTTTGCCAGATCTTTGCAGCCTCAACCAAGGCATCGGCATCAAGCCTGCCAAAACCAAACTTGTGATTGAAATGAAATCCTGCGCCGTTCTTCATCCACCCATCGTCAACCGGTGACGTGATCTGCGCTGTGTTTACAATCAAATGCTGCATGTCTCTCCACGTTAACCTTGGACTGAAATTGAAATAAAAGAGTAGAGTTTCATCCCTTGGAATTTCACTCAAAAGAATTTCCGAGCAACATCAACTTAAAGTAAAAAACAGCAAGAAAGTTGCATTTAAATAGCCTTTCAAGAAGAAGATAAAAATCACCGTATGATTAAAATGGAACGCTTTAGAAACACAAGGATCCTGCCTGAACATTTTCTCTTTGAACTCACATGTTAAGGAAAATCTTCCTACTAAATAAAGGTGGGAAGGAGGCAGCAAAATTAAGTTTTCACACTTACTTGGCTTCCAAAGCAAGAGCAATGATACCAGCAGCCAATGGAGCAGAAGCAGATGTCCCTTTAAACTCCTCCGTACATTGATGGTACAAATCGGTTGTGATCTGTGAAATGTGCACCAAGAGTTAAGCCGGACATTTCCAAATAACATATTCTAATTGACTTTGGCAAAAGCGTAAATATATTTCGACATAAATTTTATGATTCGACGAGGATCTGAATTGAAAGAATAAAATTGTTTTTTTAATAACGAAGACAGTTTGTTTACATACACTGCTGCTGGATAAAATAGGCTTCTAAGGTCAATTTCTAAACCAACATTTATAGTGCCTGCTGAAATTAACCACTTCTAAGTATCTTATGTGTCTATTCTTCTTTTTTGTGTTAAACGTACCATTTTATTTTCTTTCCCTTCTTTGTGGGACGCTCCATTGAAGGTGACAGCTAGCGTGGAGGAGCATTTCTCAGTATAATATGCAGATAGACCATGATCTCCAATGCATCCAATCGAAATGGTGTAAATACTGGTTGTGTAGCCATCACAATTGCAGTCGTCGTCAGTTAGGCCGCCATTTCCTGTCGCCCAAATGAATATTGAGCCTAGTCCATTTCGACCCTGCGAAGCATCGATAAGATAACTGTCTAAGACTGACCGTAAGCAAAGAGAATATCTATTTGATGGACATATCTTTCAAAACAGTAAAAACTTTCTTGCTAGTTAAACCTTAAGCATCGATCTCTCACATTTTGTCCATCACGGTGCTCTTAAATTTCTGCTTATAAATGTATTGAAACGATATTCTTGCAAGAAGTTCAAAACTAGAGTTCCCCAGCAATGCAATGCACTCTTGTGTTTCACTTCGAATACTTTCATCTAGCAATTTCCGATTGACTGAACTTTATCAAAGTTGATTTCGAAAAGCTCCTTGTTTTTATACTTACATTTTCTGCTCCTTCCTTGAGTGCTCTCGCAGCGATAGGCCCTGGTTTTCCGAAAGTCTTCCCATCATCCTTTGGTCCCCAGCAGTTTATATAGATATCAACATAGTCTGATTTGAAACCAAGTGCTCTCGCCTCTAAAGCATCGGTTGCTTGGCCATCAAGCATACGGACTCCTTTGATCAAATTGCATTGAAAATGTTAAATCATATTAAAGCGGTTCACAGTGAAAGCAAAGTTCGCTGCTAAAAGCAAAATAGAACCATTAACTAACACGCATTAGTTTTTTGTAACAATTAAAGTTAAGAACGTTTAATTTCCAAAATGATCGTAAAATACGGGAGTATTCTTGCGTGTAGTATGCAACCTGTTTGACATGAAGAACATTTTGGGAAAATGATTGATTAATTTAAGGTTCGTGGCTTTTTATGTTTACTTTTGGACTGATCTATAGGCCTTTTTGCTAGTTTCGCAAAAACGAGAAAAACTAATCTAACCGCAATTTTAAAAAGCAAACACCTATTTGTCGCTTAAGCCGGTTGGTGATGCTGCTTGGTGTACCATTTTTTAATTATTTTATTGCATCATGTAAAATTCAAGAGCTTTTGTCCTTTCTTGGCTTGAATCTAGTTTTAAAGATCCTCCCACTTGTCTATGCAAGAAGTTACGAAAGAGCCTTGGAAACAATCGAATCGTCAACGTATAAATTCATTGCAAAGAGTCTTCAATGTGAAGTTGATATGTAAATGTGGTATAAAAATCAAAAGCTCCAAGGTGGTAGATCATTCAACAAAGAGCAATCTGTGTTGCTTATGATTTCAAACTTTGATTAATGCACATACCTCCAATTTTGGCGTTGTATGCCACACCTGCACCGCAAATGCCATTGTTCGCTACAGCCGCTACTTCTCCTGCGCAGCGTGTGCCGTGACTGTCAAGAAAAGAATTTATATGAATAAACGTTGTTTGGTATTCCTGGTGAGTGGATGAAAAATTATTTCAAGATGCCATAAGAAAGTTGAGATAATACACATGAAACTTGTAGTGTTTTCCCCGTTAATATCTATGTTTACGAGGATGCTTATCTTTTGTTGAGCATGGTTGATTTTTGTTATTATTGACAGTCCTTGATTTTTGCCTTGTTAGATTAAGAATGATAAGGTTCTAGCGAGAGTTCGAGTAGAGGTCTGTTATCATAGGACATGCTGAGCAAGGTCCTTGAGATGTTTGGATGCCATCTTTGTTAGAAGGAAGTTGATGTGGCGATTATTGTTTTAGTATGGTTAGTTTAGGGTTCCGTCTTTCATGCTATTCTAAGAATTCTTCTCCTGGACGATTGCAAATGAACACATTCGCTATTTCCAGCACTCTGCAATTTATATTTGTTGTAAACTTTTTCATGTTTCTTGCTTTGTGAACATAAAAAATACAACTCACCAATTATCTGGATCACTATCTCTTGGCCGAGGGTCATCATCGTTATCGTTCAAATCGATACTGGCGCGTTTGTCCTGAAACAGATCACAAAGTATTATCAAAGATATGCAAACGTGTGAATAAAGCGACACCAATGCTCGTGGCTATATTATGCGAAAATTATGTTTATAAGATCATATTTTGATCAATCTTTTCAATTAGTTAAGAGTACAGTAGTTTGTGAGGGCATCTGTTGCCCGATGGTCCAATCAAGCTTGAAACGCGGAGTTGCAACTTAGAACCGTCCTGTTCTTTGCACCAAAGTGTAGAGTTCTATTGAAATATATTTACAAGTCGAATGACTCCAAGTTGAAAGCTGGATTTCGGAAGCTTCTTCATGAATCTGGAAATTCAAAATGAGCATAAAAGCTAAAAATATTCATGGTTGAAAAGAGCAATTGAGGATTTGACACCAAACTTACATAATTTGCCGCAAGGTCCGGATGCGTGTAATCAACGCCGTCGTCACAAACTGCAATTACAACTCCGTTTCCAGTGATGTTCTTCTTCCATACAGGGGCTACATTGATGTCCACCCCTGCGGGACCGGTCGCCTGTCCTGTATTAAGCTAGAATGATATGAAATTTAATCAAAAATAGAAGAGCGTTATTTATTTAAAGTTTATCAAGATCTTCTAAATTTAAAAGCATTACACTAGATCTCGATTACTTGATGATTTTGGAAGTTCTTTTGCACTTGGTATTGAGCCAGATTGTTGATCATATCGTCAGAATTTGACTGTCAGAAAGCAAAGACTCACCAAATACCACATGTTATCGAATTCAGGATCCGTAGGGATGCCATCTCTTTTAAAACGGTCTAAGATTTCCTGCTGTTCAACCCATTTTACCTGATGACAAAGAAAACATGGTTTCATTCCAATTTTCCTTGACGGTAAAAGGTTATTCTTAAAGAAGATTTAAATATACACAAGCAGGCAGGCAAAATATGTTGCTCACCAATTATTTTATGAAAAATTGTCAGAAGGTTGTTCTTAAATCCTGATCATATTATAGAAGGAAACCTCCCAGTTATGCCTGCAGCCATTTCTACACCGTATCCAGCATTCTGCAACATACAGGCTAGCAGTAGCCTTCGATAAGAAGTATTGTGCAGGTAAATCAATCACTAGTTTATTTCGTCTCTCTGTCCTTTTTCAATCGCAAAGATCTTTTGGTTTCATAGTATATAAAATTCTTCAGATCGTGTGCAGGGCCAATTTCCACTCATTGAACCTTCTTCGTAGATGAATAATTATAATAAATTCTGTTTTCAAAGGAGTCAAATTCAGCATGGAATCGGTGGTTTAAGTAACAAAAGTGACAAATTAATTTTGAATGAGCCAAGCATGTGGCTGTAACCATATAAAACGAAATCGACTCAAAAAATACCCACCTCTTCTTCAAGTCGAAGAAGATCTGTCTTTTCTTTAGACTTTGCTTTCGCTGACTCTTCTACATCATTGTGTTTAATATGATAATGTCCTTGTAAACTTCCTATCTGTAAAAAGACGTAGCAGCTAAATACCATCTGCCGGAATACTACTGTGGAGGAGAGGACCTCTCTAACAAACATTGCAACTTCTCAAACATATAGCTTCTAAAAGAGACCCAAATGATCATCCGATGGAAATGATACTTTTGTAATTCAAAATCAACTTATCTTATCTTCATAATGACTAAAGTCCTGTTTAAATTGAATAAAACTCTTGGATTCTTGTCCAAGAGTTTTATTCAAAAGTTGTCTAAAAGTCTTGAATTTCTATTTCGCATTTGATATTTGTTTGACAACGAATTTAAATCGAAAATAACAGCTCATAAATTTGGTCTCAGAGCTTGAAGCCTTTATGATTTTTCTTATCTTAGTTATAGCACTTCATCATATCGAGATAACAGGGCAGTGATACAGGCTGTTGCCATTCACGAGCTGAATATCTTGCTGAAATCTCACAGCCGTTTCCAGATAAAATTTGACAACATCTATCTATTGAGCCGAGAAAAACTGAATGAAAACTACTGAAGAAATTATCGGAAAATATTTAGAGAAATTATCGCATTACTTGCTGTATATCTGACACCCTCTATTTAGGCCAATTCATGTGCATCAGTAAAGCCACTGAGTACGAACAATGGGTAACGTTGTTTACGTTCAGAGCCCCGCGCAGAGGTTGCAGGTGAAGGAAATAGCGCATTTGCCGGGCTCCGCATTATCTAATATTGGACGGCCACCAAAGAAAAGCCAGTGAATCGCTTAAAAGAAGATGAATTCAGCGGTGTTATTGTAGTACCATTAGAATTTTTTTTCTTGTGCAATTTTACTACATTGCATGGATCCACCTTTTGCCGAAGGCCGTAGTAAGGGCATGGCTCCCCAACCATCAGATCTCGTCAGCCATGTTCATCAAGATATTGTTTTCGCTGGTCCTGTTTTTTCATACCTAGTGCTTTTCACACAAACTTGCAAACTTTCAAGTTTTGTTCCTTCTTCGCTGTATTTCAATTTCAAGACACAGATTCAAAAATGGAGAATTAGGCCAATCTTCTAAGTTCGCAAATCTTGCGAATGTCAGAAATCTTTCCCATTAGCTAGGCAGGCAATCTTTCCCATTAGCTAAAACAGATGTAAACTAGAACATTGTTACCTACGATTTAAACCTATACCCAGGGAAAATAGACCTGTTAAAAAATAGTGTTCAGAGCCCTGGCTATAAACAGAAACACAAATGTTTCGATGAAACACTCGAAATCTGATGAGTTCAAAAAACGCAAAAACTTTGCCTCTATCGCTTTGTATTGTTCTTTTGTTTTGCCCAGGGCAGGATAAAACTGGCAATAACGCCGAAAAACGCTATAAAAGCTGTCAAACATTGCCACACCACTGTCAAAGCCCTGCACAAAGCTTCAAGGCTCAACCTGTAGTTTTTAGAAGCACTCGTTTTTGGAAATGACGATAGAATCTTGGGGTCCTGCCGTAATCAGGTCCAAGAGTCCGATCAGTTGCTTTGGTGCTTATCTTCAAAACATTTCTTATAAGGCAACTTCAACAGCCTTAATGCAAAGGAAATTTTAACTCAAATGTGATCGTTTCAGATAATACGTGACAAGATACATAATAAATAAAAATCGCTAGAAAAGCAATGAAAACGTGTATGCTAAGAGCTTTGCCAAAATGTTTTTCATAAGTAGGCCTAAATCTATCTTCTGTTCAAACCATCTGTGAAACACACTTGGTCTCCTTACTTTCTCCTCATTGATATTGGGGAGCATCCTAAATATTTTCATCACGTTAAAATTTTAAAATGAAAGTTTTTACTGTCGTTTTGAACAAGCCAAGGATATAACTTTCAGTCCTACGCAGCGTCAGTGTTGCAAATTTCCTTGGTTGGTAGTTTTAAAGCTCTAACAACAATGTATAATTTATGTAAGCTACTATTGCAGTTAAGCGTAGTTCATACAAACCTGGCCTAGTATTTCAAATCCATGCTTTTTGGTTATTCTTTCTGCTATGTCTCGATGTGGTGGATGGAAATGCACCGCCCAGGTGTTAGAGTAATATTTACGATGTGGCTTTAATCTTCCTTTCGACCGCTGGTGACTTTTGTGATGTCCAGGCCTCCTTATGTATAAATTTTTGCCAGGATGGCGCTTGTGTTGCTTGCGTGCTACTATTTCTGTTGATAGATCTCCAAGGATAAAAAAGATCAAAACTGGCAAAACTAAGATACGAATCTTGAGTTCTTTGCATCCAATGCAGTCAAGAATATTATCCAGCCTCATTTCGACGCACTAGATTAAATTTGCTTAAAAACTAGTAATTAGATACCAACTGAAAATTGCAGTATTCAAAAATGCCCAGACATTGTATTTTTCTTTGCATGGAAATTTTCAGCAATAAAGCCAGATGCGGCTAGTTAAATTCATTACGCCAAGCTAAAGATGTTAAAAAGCCTAGCGAGTTGTGTCCAGTGAACAGGTCGTTGCATATAGAATGTGCATTCAGCCGTTGCAGTGTCATGATCTTCAATGGCCACTGCAAACACAGTCCTGGGTTTGATACCTTCATCAACCGGTTACAGATTGCTGCATTACAGTGGCGGAAATTGCGGGGATGTGGGGGGGGGGGGGGGCAACCGCCCCCAGGTTTTGCGAAATCATCGGTTTTGTCGGCAAAATTATGTCATCTGTCTGAAAATTTGCTTGCTTTTGTGGGCATTGCCCCTCCCCCCTACTTGAAAATGAATTTCCGCCACTGCTGCATTAGAGCAGACTGGGGGCACTTGGTGACCCCCAAACTCTTCATACAAGGTCTGATGTTGGCGTGATTGTCAGAAATTGGTACCTTTCATTGCTCTGTCATTGCATTCCAGTCTTTTGTTATATTAATGTCCTGTTTCTTTTCTTGTTCAGTTTATCGATACTTTGATTTTTCTTTCAAAGTTCTTCCTTGTGCTGCTAAAGTTCCACAAAAATAGGGTTTTTCGAGACACATTAGAAACATTACCTTCTTTAAACACATTAAACAATATTAAAATGTTTTTGTCGAGCTTCTTGATCGATCAGTGATTCATATGATCAAGGAAAGTTAGCTGAAATATGCAAATAATGTTATTCCAGTGAACAGTAACAATCATGTAACAAAACAGGAATCCCACATCTGCACCCTTTCTCTTATACGTCAAAAGAGACACAACTCCTTCGCAGTAGTGGAAGCTATGGGTCTCAAAATCAACACATCCGCGCCCTTTCACTTTTCTCTCACAAGACTCATGATTCCTTCGCAGTAGTGAAAGCCATGGGTCTCAAAATCAACACATCCGCGCCCTTTCACTTTTCTCTCACAAGACTCATGATTCCTTCGCAGTAGTGGAAGCTATGGGTCTCAAAATCAACACATCCGCGCCCTTTCACTTGTCTCTTACAAAACACATGACTTTTTCGCAGTAGTGGAAGCTATGGGTCTCAAAATTAACACATCCGCGCCCTTTCACTTATCTCTTACAAGACACACGACTCCTTCGCAGTAGTGAAAGCTATGGGTCTCAAAATGATCCACTTCATCTAGGAATTACAAAAGAATATCCCGTTCAAGAAAGTCACAGGGGCAACACCAGACCACTAAAAATATCAATTGCAATGCTATCCAGAAAGAGCGGCTATAGAAGGAATTTTGGCAGTGAAAATATCATCATCATTGTCATCACTTTTACATTTAGTCTCATTATCAATTTTCGTTGAATTTGGAATTCGCCTTTCATAATGCGGAAGTTGGAATTCGTCTAGTGCCCATGAAGAAAATTTCAATCAAATACAAGATAGTATACAACGTTTTGCAAGCGGCTTATGATCTTCTTTTTGCCAGTAACAAAACTCTCCCACACTCATTGCTCAACGCTTTGAAACGATCGCAAGGAACAGTGTACCCTTTTACAATCACTAGCTGCCATGCACCAATCTTAACAACTCCCTAGAACCTCTCGAGCCACATAAACAATATTCGAATATCACCCTATAACACCTAGACCTAGAAGTCTGTATTCATGTCCTGTTGGATCTTTAGTTGCATGAAGTAGTATTCAATCAGATATGTTAATACTTGGTATGTTTAGTTTCCCCCGGCAATTAGTTCTTAAATGCGAAATGCTGCTAGAGACGAAACCACAAATGTGAGGCAATCAAACATAGAACGACTGATTGACCAGAATAATTTACGTGTGATATAGCAAAAATTCTTATAATGAGATGAACAATTATAACAGGGCTGAAATAATGGCAGTATCGAAAATAAGAAAATCCAAGAATAGCGCCAAAATAGATCCAATATCAAATAGGTCTGAGATCCTTACTATCATAATAAGCCAAAACAATTTTTTAGAGTTGTTCAAGCATGTTAGGGTACAAGGTTGCAGGTTGCCAGTAAATAGTTACAAACAGTTGTAATTTCTATAATGTACACAACGAGTGGTGGCTCAAGGGTCATCTCCAAGACCTAAAAACTGTTCTCTGTAGTTTTGCTGCTCTTTTGAGCATTTGCAGTATCTTTGCGTATCTATTGAAGAATATAACACGAGTCTCCCCCCTTGCGCTTTATAAGAAGTAAATATTTCATGAATTTAAGAAACTTTGCCATCACGTTTTGGGGTCTAGTTTTTAATATTCTAGGGGTCCATTGTTCGAAAGAATAGGTCGTGGTGTTTTGCTGTTCTCTTCTTAGGAGATAGCTCGGAAAAATGGAAATATAACATACTAAAGTACTTTTCGTCTGATGTATTCTGTCTCTTTTGTGAAGACTGGTATGAAGCCATGAAGCCAAAACTGAGATGAACCCATGAAGTCAAAACTGGCATGAACCCATGAAATCCAAAAGTCCCCTCATGTGAAAGAAAATTGCAAGAAATATGAGGCATATGAAAGAAATATGAAATATGTTATTAATTTGTATGTGATCAATAGATATTGTAACTAGTTATATGCTTATCCGCTAATCACCAACAGGTCATGTCACAACAGAGATTAAATTAAGCTGCTATCATATTTGCTATGACATGAAGCACAACAACAGACAGAAACTGTGAAAAACATATTTTTGTGACACATTTGAGTTAAGAAAGATACAAAAATCTAATACATATATCAGCATTTTTTATGGATTGGTTAATATCCTGTTAGAAAAGAAAAGGACAGGCAAGTAAAATACAAAACAAAAAAGGGATGGCAAGTAAGGTCAGGAAGAGCAAAGTTATTTAAAGTGAAGTGTACCAATTAACAATATCTCAAACAAATTGTAAGCAATATATAAGGTGATATATTTTGTTGTGCCTCTAATGGAATTTTGTTCCATGGGGGTGGGGAGGGGGTCTAATAGATGTGTAAACCACTTGACTTAAAAACACAAATTATTCATTTTTATTCATCATAAGTACAGTTTTTCTCAAACAACAAAAAATTCAATATAGAAATACAACTTTGCCATGTGTCTGTTTTTGCCCAACATTGTATAAGAATTGAAAATTTCATGCAAATAAAATAGATATATTAATAACAAACTGCCAAAAAGCTAGTATAACAAGTAAGAGAAAAACATGTTCTCTAAAATTTAACAAAAGAATTATTCTATTTTTTGGCAGCTGTTGGAGTAAAATGATGCTCACTGTGAAAAGAATTTCCCAATTAATGTCCAAGATTGCAAATGGAATTTACAAAATCAGATAGCTAATTATGTCTGACTTTTCCGGGAACATAATTTTTGTCGATTATTGGCTCTTGGAGGAACATATGCAGTGATCGCTCATTCTGGGCCAATGGGTGTCCTGCAACTCTGTGAAGCATGATAAATAAACAATAAGACAGTTGTTTGGTGTAATGGAAATATTACATTATTTTATTCAATAAGGTATTTTTTAAGCCACAAAATATGAACAATTGAACATAAAGCAGGGTTTCTGTTATCAATAAAACAACTACTGTAGAAGCCCTGTCGAGTTGGTAAGGCCACATTCTCTTTTTTGAACCCTATGAATATTTTGTACACCAATGATGGTAGAGACAATATGCAAGGTCTTTGGGGCAGATTGTGATATTTCTGTAATAGTTTCGAGCCAGACCTTCTGCCTTTTATTTCCACAGAGGCATTTGCAACTGACACAAAGTAATAAAGGTCCCTGGAACAAACAGTTCATCCTTAAGCATCTTTTTCCTACTGGGTGTAAATTTAAGGAACCATGATAAACAAACAGCAGAAATATATCCTGACTTCAAAGGCAGAACATCTCTTGAAAACATTTTAAATAAGCCTCCCCCAACTGATAACCCATTCTCTTGTTAATAGATCACTTATACATAACAAGAATTCAGATATTTTGCCTGGGATATGTTTCTTCAAACATACACCAGAAAATAAATGAAGTTTAATTCAAGGAAAAGATTCAGCATAAAACAAAAAGTAGATTTAATTGGTTTGGTAACCACTCACTTGTTTATAAAGGCCTCTAAACCTTGGCGTCTTTCTTCTATGAAGTCATCTTCGAATATTCCTGTGAATAATAATACTAGATGATGCACTTTATGATAGCATAAATTGAAGTATAAAATATTCACCAGACTTATTTCAAAGACAAATCCATTGTACATTTACATGTTAGGGTCCCAGGGTTAAAAGAGCTTGGCTCACTGGGACCACTGTTATCAGGCAAAAACAATAAAAGTATAGGAATGCTTATAACAAATTGTTTAAAAATTAATACCGTTTTTACCCAACAAATCTGAGTGCTGTGTGAAAACTCTATTAATCTTACTTCTGAATTAATTTTCCTTGTTATCTTTTAAATGCTCCTGATTGATTGTAAAGCATTTAGGAGTAAATGATTGAAGATTGAAGAAAGGCTTTTCAATGGCAGCTTCAAATCTAAACATGGCTCACTTTAAACTTTACTTATTTGGTTATGGCACAGGTTAATATATAGCACAACAGGCACACTAAAAAGCTTAATTTGTGTCAAGATCTAGAGTCATTGAAAGTAGACTGGTAGTACCTTCACAAAGGAAGTCACCAGGACCACAATCATATTTGAATGCAACATAGTGCAAAGACTATATTCATAATCACATTGACAGTTGTGCCATTTTCAGAATAATCAGCAGAGGCAGGAGTCTATTATATGATTTCCACAGATGATAGAAAAATTGTATATTATTTGTACTTTGTCAATTTGATGCCAACATACCATCATCTCCTCGAAACGGAAGCATCCGCTTCAATGCCTTTCCAGGTAGGACTGGAACAACAATCTGTAAGTTAGATTTTAAAGAATCAGTTCATCAGTTCAATGTGAGCCATCTTGAAGAATAGATCTTGGTCAAAAAGGGCACTAAAGAAAAGCTGAAGCAATTATAGTTTAGAAATAGTAAATCAATTAACAAGCAATCTTAAAATTTATAATTTCTACAAAGGGTCACTTGTTTTATTTCTCTCTGGGAAGCAAGTGAAATGTGATCAATGTTATAACTGCAAGGACATGAAAATTTCAAACTATGATTAACATTTAATGAGCTAGAGGTTAATTCACCTTGCTTTCTCGTTCAAGTTCTTGCCGAAGCCATTCAAAGTCACTGTATCGTCTTCTTACACTTGAATCTTTAATTTTGAATATTGGGATGTTTGTCTAGTAAAAAGATATTCAGACAAAAAAGTGAGAAAGGTCATTGAAATTTCAGTTTCAATCTACAAGGATGAAAATAATTTATACATTTTGTACAGTTTCAATTTATTATATTCTGTTAGAGCAGCTGGAAGCTAATGATTAAAAATTTCAGAGTACCAAAGGAGGGGAAGACAATGTTCAAAAGTATCCAAGGAAGATATGCACAATAGACTTCTACCAAAAAGTGAATTCCACACAAATGTCATTTCAACTGAAACAAAGATATAAAAATAACCAGTCCATAAATTCTCCTCTTTTGCACATCCTTGTTTCACAGTTCTTTTCATACATAGCTTAAACCCAGATATTCAGAGCTTTTTTAGCTTGAAGCGGGGCCACCACATTTTTGCCATGCAAAGTAGCACTGCTTCCTGGCAATCTAATTTTTAGTGAACAAACTTCTAGGTGCATGTGTCAATGTAAAAGTTCACAAGAGCACACACTGTGCCCCCGTGTATTAATTTCAAAAGAATTTTTCCTCCTCCCCGTCGCTTATTAGCAACCCCCTCCTATTAAATTTTACAAATCTGTCATGACCAGAACACACAACTTTCACTTGTCAGTAATTCCCCTTGGTATGTTATGTTGTTATTTTTTAATTGTCACAATTCCCCCTGTTATGTTTGTCTATCTTTATCTCTAACCATCTATCCATTATCAAGTAACCAGTGTCACCATCCTACTATAATTCCATTGTCTTTTAAAAAAGATTTACCAACATCCATTCCTTCTATTAGCCCCTCATGGCTATTGAAATTTGCTGACATTTTATTGAAAATTGGCCAACCTGAACACCCCCTTTTATTAGCACTCCCTTCTATTGAAAACTGGTCAACATGAGCACCCCTTTCTATTAACACCCCCTTCTATTGAAAATTGCCCAGAATGAGCACCCCCTTTCATTACCTCCCCCCTTCTATTAGAGAAACTAGAGTAGGTTAAATGCCCAATATCAAACAAATTATTCTCCAGATTTAGGTTTGCTGTTTGCAATTTCCAAAATGTTGAGATGTGAATCTCACTAGATTTTACACATACATCAAACATTTCAATTCAATTCTAACTCTATACACTCACAATGTATCTTTATGAGCACTGAGTGCCTTATTAGCCTTGCCTGAAACCACGTCGGATGCTTCGAGATACTTTCGTTGTACATTGAATGAACACACAAAACAAAACTACCTACTAAGAATGGTTTTTAATCCTTTCACTGGTTTCCTGAGCCAAAGATATAGTAACCCACTTTCCAAAGATGGCCATTTTCTCCACAGACACGAAATTATTACATTAAGTTGATGTTTCCAGATCCATTGCGATGCCAAAACAGTGGAATCAGATAAAACACTAAAACTTATACGATTTAACCCTTACCCTCATCCTGACTTCGTAATCTGTGTATCTCTTTTTACCGACTCCGTGTGTTTGCGGGTTGCAAACATCGATTTCTAGAAAGTTATCTGGAACCTCATATGCATCTTTAATGCTTTGCTTTTTAGGATCAATGCGGCTTGTGTCGACTGCCATCTCCTTTCAAGAACGCAGATTCCAAACTCCCCTCTTCTTCCAGAACTTTACTTCCCTCAGATAGGCCCTCCACGGACTGGAAACGAAAAGCATCAGGCTCCTCCGCATTGATTAGTACGAGTGTTCCAAAATGATCTTTTTGCCCCATTTATCAAACGAGGCCCCACCCTTGTTTTGTTAGACCTTAGACCGGGGCTGTAAGGGGCGCGAACTAGGGTGTTGGGGTTTGATACCCTAACATTTCCAACCAGTTGGTCCCAGTCTAAACAATGATTATGAAAAGCCGTATGATTACCGTATGTGTGTTGATCGTGCCTTTTAATCATTTCTTTTGCTGTCTTAATTCCTCTATAATCTTTTGTTTTAAAGTGCTATTTTCATAAAGTCTTGCTTTTCTCTGATGAAATTTTACTATTTAGGGCCCTCATCACCAGAGCTGGTCACTTGGCTTCCATAGCTCAATCTAATGTTTTTTACCTGTGTCCGTCAGCTGATCAAGTCCATTGTTGCGATTACTAGATTTGATTCACAATTTAAAATATTTTACAATAATTGGTAACCCGTATGTAAAAGGTATTTTTGTAATTGACCATTAATGCTGAAACAATTTTTGCGTTTGAGTTTGAAAAGGAAATATTGTGGGAGGGGTATCATTTTCGCCAGGAAAAAACACGAAAAGGTAAGAACATTTGAGAAAAAGAATTACAATTTGTAAATAATTTAAAGAACCATTAATTTCAAAGATTACATTAATCGACAATGACGTAATAATTAGTCATAATTAGCCATAATTAGTCATAAGCTACACAAGATCAGGGTCTGATGTAATGATTAAGATATAATGGTTAGGGTCAATTTATATAAAGCTACAATTGCATACAAAATCACAAATATAAACAAAAGCAAAAAATTGAAAATAGATTGAAAAAAAATTAACTAATTTATTCGAGAATATTAAGACAGTTATGTAGCTAAATAGGAAAATTTAAGCTATTACCAAAAAATAAATTTTCAATTGTCTGGAGGTACCATTTTGAAATTGCGGGGCTTTTGTGCTATTTTTGCGTTGAAAAGGTGAACTATTACTGTATTCTACAACAATTTTTAGGAAGTCTTTATCCACTTGGCTCATCAACAAAGCAAAGAAGTTGTTACTATAGATGCGCTTTCCTAAATCTTTAATTGATCTTTCTGTAAGCAAGGTCTAGCCCAGCCTGTTCTCCAGACCCTTCATTTTATAGTAGAGAGACTGAAACACAGGCCAAGTCTAACTTGTCTAGGGCTAGGTCAAGCTTGTGAATAAGGTTTGGAACATTTCCCTGTCGATATAACAAAATGATTGCATGATTGGTCCTAATATACCATTCGCTTTCTTAATATCTAAATTTGATCGAAATTTCAATTGCAAATTCGTAAATCTTTCTCAGGTTCCATCGTTGCAAGCAAGGGGTATCAAGAAGGGATAGAAGGGGTCAGTTGCGGGGTGGCTATGTTTTCCCTGGGGTGGCCAAGTAGAGTTTTGCGCCCTATCTATATATCGTGCTTATATAAAAGCATGTGTTTCTAGAAGGGAAATCGATTTTTGCAACTTGAATCCAAAATTTCATAGTTTTGACTTAGAATGCGAATATGAATGGAAAAGTTATGTAATCCTAACATTTGACCTTCTCGATCGTGGTTCGGTAAAATATCAAGCTACTTTGAGTTGGCTTATTTTCGAGAGTCGGCCCATTTTTGAGGAAATACGGTAGGCAAAACATAAAATACTAAGCAAAAGACATTTCATTCAATTACACTGATGTTTTATACAGGCTACTCGTTTATTATATCCAGACAACCAGCTTCAGAGTAAAATAACATAGAGCAAATTTTTGTTTCGGGCTCCTTAGTTTTGTAACTAAAGGCAACCTTAGTCCATTTCGTCACTGCTTATGGGCGATTTTATCAGCCTATTGTCATCGCATTATGATATGCATACATGTTTCAAAATTTTTATTCTTTAGTAGTTATTAAATAGTAGTTCTTTCAAAAACTTGAAAGTTTTAAGCATTGAATCGCACTATTGAATCGGACAGAGGCGGCGGCACAAAATTGAATCTGGTGTTGGGCTAACGATCAAGTTTAGTGATAAAGGAGGACCCACCATGGTTGGGTCCGACGCGCAAAAAATTTTTTAAAATCAAGCCTTCTAGAATGGCTAAAAATGCATCTCACAGACTAAAATTTAACAAATTACTACACCGCTCAGAATAGACAGTTCGACGATGCTCAGAAAAACATTTAATTTTGATTTTTTGAAAAATTTGGAAGGGGATGATTCATGCGCTGGGAAAAAAAAGGTTCACATCGATGTTAATAACAAGAAGCTGCTGTATTGATTGCCAGGGTGCATTCCATGTACTTTGGCCCGAAAATCTTTGGCGTACACTCAGGCTTTTGGCGTTCCGAGTAAAAACTAATGTAAACATTTTTTGGCATACGTAAATTCTTCGTTAGTTGGCGTGCTAAACATGAAGCCACTACACGAAAACATATGACACAAATGTTGATTGGGTCATGGCAGCGCAACGTGCTTCGATGGTAGAATCACACGTTGTAAAGATTGTTCACAGCAAGTTACAGCGAAGTGTTCTACCCATGCACGATCATTTTTTATGTTCCTAGCCAAATATTACAAGCAAACAATTTTGGCGCCCCTTATCTCCATTTGCGCCCCTATTCAGGGGGGCCATGGCCCCCTTGGCCCCTCTGCCACCACGCCACTGGAAGGGGTGCCTGGGGCCCCAATATTCTAGAGGGACCCCAAAACCAAAACATTTTGCAGAACGTGCTGAGTTTGGAAATGTGTACATGTTGCCTCCAATGATTGTGTTGATTTGTACATGTTTGGGTATTACCTATGTACGTTATTTTTAATATACGTAGTCATATCTATGTTGGTTAAAAAAATTGCAGGATAAGATGCGAAGGCAAAGGTATCTCAATGCCTTCTCCTCTCTTGAGGCCATATTCCTGCTGGGACCCTTCACCAGCTATCTTTCCTGTGATTTTTTAATTATACCTATCTTTCCACAATGGTTGCAGCTTGATTGTGAGTTTCTATAAAACACGACCGATATTTTCATTTAGCTTTGTATAAACTGATTTTGCATTTTCTTCTGATATTAAATGATTTCTGATTATACTTCCTTCCGATGACAATAGTCCCCTTGAAAAGTAATTTAACTGTTATAAACCCTGGGCTATTAATCAGAATTTTACTGAGTATTGTAAGTAATTTTTCATGCGGATAAAAGGTTGAGTTTGAGCTGTTGTTCCTTTACTATGCAAGCACAGAAACCACCCATCGTTGATGGAGAAGCGCCTTCGGGAGTACTCTTGCCACCCTTGACTCCTTGACCCTTCTAGAGTCGTCAAAACGAGGTCATAAGCGTTGCCATGGCAAATCTGGCCTAGGCATATTTGAAATGGATTATCGATAAAAATAGCAAAATGTTGCGAACAATTCATCATAAAACATCATGAAAACAAGAGCGTATGGAAATGAAATTTATACAAAATAAGGTAAAGAAATTTTTCCACTCTGAAGAAACTATTGCAGCCCATATGATAAAGAAAGACAGTGGCCTTAACAGGAATATAAAGTGAATGCGTATTCCGCAGCGCACTTTGTTATCAGTTTGATTTTTATTTGATGTGATTTTTAAAGGCTAAAGAATGGTAATGTGAAATAAAAATTGGCACCATTTTGAATTAGTATAAATTCAGCTTGGTGGTAGTCCTCTGTACTATAGACATGTTGCTGAAAATGGTCAATTAATCTCAACGGTGGTTATCTAAGATTGTATTTAATTACATCTTGTCTTCTGCATTTGCTGATACTATGTTTTCTTTGTTCACCATTAACTGTCCAGTCTTCAAGGAATCATATTTTAAATTACACTTCCCTCACGAAAGTATCCGGACAGTTTCAAATTCAGCTGCGAATCTGTTATAAGAGAAATTTGTTTACAGATATCAAAGTCAGTTTTCCTGAAAACATTTTCATCAATTTCCTCGAATTTTTTTTGAAATTTTTTTGGCCTTTAATCTATTTATTGGTCAAAAAAATAATCTCATCGATATGTAAGCAAACTCTGTGAGGGTTTTTTCTCAAGATTGTAGTGACCAAAACAAAAATTGACTTCTGAACAATGTCTAGAAATGATGTTCTATCACAATGATGGGAAAAAGCTATCATTAAATAGATGCACAAAAACTGCCACTTTCGAGATATGCAAAAAGATTTGAAAATTTTTCACAGTCAAAAAGAGTTGTGACACCAATGTCCGTCCTAATCAAATTTGCTTGACTTGCAGTGGTAAAGAAATAATATGGCTTTATGGCCTTGGACTGAATGATATGTCTGCTTTCCAAGAAAATTTTTGATCTGGTAAAATGTTACCAAATGTCATCCATGTTTTATAATCAACTAGTGACAGCTCAAGGCAAACATTTTACCCAACTGAAAGTAAAAACATTGTATTTCTTTTTATTCGATAATATTTGTGTCTCAAGAACCAGTTTATAAAAAATTACCATGTTTTATTGGCCTATTTTAACTGAGTCCAAGTCACCTGACTTGTCCGCTTATTTGACATCAGTTGATTTGCATAGGGCTTGTAGCGCAAAGGTTTCTCATTTTAACAAAAAATAATAACAGATAAAAAGTGCAGAAGTTTTCCAGCATTTTGATGTTCTGGTTTCTTTTGGAAGGGTTTCTCAAAAAATTGTTATCACTAAGTTAAAAAGTCCTTTTTGCCAGCCTAATTTTGTTTTTGTCTGAAAGCGCAATCAATCTTCGAACTGTTCATGTACTTTTGTGAGGGGAGTGTAGATACATGAATCTTATGAAATCCTGTGAGTAAGAAATAGAATGATTATAAAAAAATTAATTTAGTTCTCTTCAACAATTGTAATTAATTAGAGTGTAAACTGCACCTATGCCTACAGTTCCAAATCTTTTGTGTTGTATTTTTTGTAAGTGTCCAATGTTTTGTTCTCTTTATTGATTTGAATGGATAGCATAAACCCCTTAAGTGATACTGTTTTAACTTTGCCAGTAATCTAATGTTAAAACCTGGAAGTTTTTCCTAAATTCAATGTCTACAATTATACAATGTAATTGGGTTGTAACATACTTTGTTACAGCATACTGGTGTACTTGGTCCTGGCAAGGTCCACACTTAACATTAAGAAAGTACCCTGCTGATAACATGCTTGTTTGAACCTTGGTTATAACATATTTATTCTTTGAACCTTCTAAACAAATTCCTTTGGACAGAACATACTTTGCAGGGCCCACGCCACAAATTTCAAAGTGGAGAGGGCAAATGCTATCGATCAAACTTGACTTTAGTGCTTCAAAACAGGGCCTCTTTGTAAATATTTCTGCTTACCAAAAAAGTGGAGGGGGGCATGGTCCCTCTGGCTCCCTGGTGGCATGGACCCTGCTTTTTATGTCTTCTTAATTAAAAATCCATTGTATTGCAAATTTTACAAAATCCTTTGCAATTGTTTGGTATTGTTTCATTGTTTCCTTGGTAATTTCTAGTGCAATTGCTTTCCAAGTTGCAAAACGTTCTTTTTAAGTTTTCAGATTTGTCTAATGCTTACAATGACTAATGATCAAAATTGATGGAGCAGTCAACAACATTTGGATGAAAAACAATATTCAGAAATGCTTTACCGACTTTTCTAACTATGAAGACTATGAAATATTTTGGTTGAAAGTGTGGTTTTTGAATAGTTACATTGTTTACAGCTTGGTTTAAGTCAATTTTTGCTTTCCCTGATTGCAACGCACTTTGGGTATAACATACTTAATCCACAGGTCACTTGAATTATGTTACAACCAGATTATACTGTATGTTGACAGTGAAATTAACTTCATATTTTACAAATGTTTCATTTAGTTTGCTTTAATTTTTGTCATAATTTCAAATTTTCATTTCTCAAATTTTATCTGACTTGATGTTATTTATGTAGAATTTGTAGACTGAAAAACAGAAGTTTGAAATGCCACCAAAGTCAAAAGGCAAGAAAAAGAAGAAAGGGAAAGGCTCAAAGTCCCATGATGGAAAGTCAAAAGGAAAAGATGAAGAAATATTAACCTTCAATGAAGCTGTTTTATTATATCAGTATGCATTTTTTTAAGAATTTTATGAGGTTCAATTTATAAGGAGTGAAGTATATTAAATCTCAGTTATCTAGATTCTTCGCTTAAAGTAAATATCCTGAGCTGACAGTGGAGACCTCCAATTGTTTCCTTTTAGGCCTAAGTAAGATCTCACCTGTATCCATTGAAATTGCATTTTTCTGATGTAATGCAATCATCCCTTTGATTAATTATCACCACAAGGTGTGAGTGCATACTTGAAATAAATTTGCCTGCTAGTCTATTTTAGCTTTAGCCTTTCAGCTCAGGTCACCTTCTTTAAAGCACAGAGTTTCAATAAAAGATTCTCTTCCTGAATAATCGTGACCAGACAAGTGATGAAAAATTAGGGATGCTGGTCTATTGTCATTCCAAAACTTTTACTCAAAAATATGGTGCCATTTGTACAACTTTGTCAATTTTACAATCTATTATAGGGGCTGCAGCCTGCCAGTCCCTCACATGTAGGTTTATGTGTATCCTCCTGTCTTGCAGTTTCTCTTGTAAAAATCTGAAAATAAATTTTGTAGTCTGTTATGCCATTTCCTGTCCATAAATTGAATGTTTTTCTTCATGATAGACTTCAAGCTAAACAACAGCAATATAATGAAGTATCAAGTGATATTGAAGACTTTAGAAGAAGAATTAAAAGACAACAGGAAAGGGTAAGTTCTGGCATTGTACAGATAATCTTAAAATTTCAATAATGGCCAAGAACCTCTATCTTGCCCAGACACAAATAGAACACTATTCTGATTTTTATGAGTTCAAGAGCTCTAAATGCAAGTACAAGCTCAAGAACTCTCTTTTGAAACAGGGAAATATATTTATCTTGCTAATTGTTGTGTCATCTGGTAACATTGAAATTAAGCTTCTGGTTTCTCCATTTGAAACAGCTAGCACTGTTTTAAAGTTTAGTGATTTATGCCTATAATAGTACAATTCTACAATGCTAAAATACTTAAAGCATGCAGCAAAAGCCTTGCTGCTACATCATTTTGCAAACCATGATCAATAAACTAATATACAAAAAATAGACTCAAACCACAGCAATTGGCACAGATGTAACTTTAATTGAGATAGAAACCAGAAAGGTTCCTCTCTCATTAACATGGGAAGGAGGGGGGTCAGGGGGGGGGCCGCAGGTGATTACACATGTCAGACTAAATGTGCTTTTGACAGAAGAAGTTAAATTTTTTGCTTAGAAATGTGATTGGAAGATAGCTGCTTTGAGCACATGAACAGAAGGCACGTTTAAAAAACAACACTTTTGATGTATATTTCAAAGTCCTAGATGCAACTTTTTGTTTGGGGGGCCAGCCCTGATAAATAAATGTAACAACAGCCACATTTTTTAAGATGAAAGTATTTACTTAATATGCTACTTAAGTTTTTGGGGGGCCTTGCCCCCCAGCCCCTCACTGTATCTTGATCCTTGGTATATTTAAATAATACCCAAGAAACACCCATTCCTCATTTTGTTGTGGAATAACGTATACCTAGTCATTTTGTAACAAGGGTGCAAATGCAACTTTCTCTTGCACAATTATTGATGAATGAGTCTGTCTAAACAAAGTTTTCAACGACATCTGTCTAAGCAAGATTAATGACCATTTCTACAAGAATTGGTTAGGAACTTTTAGGGTATTTGCAGGAAAAGGGGAATCATAAAAAAAGAACGATAAAGTTTTCTACTTTCGATATGAGTGATTTGTGGTTCGATTAGCTCTCTTTTAATAAAATCTAGCATTTGTGTGGTGCAAGTTGCTCAATATCTTTAAGAAAGAATAGTTTTAATAACATATCGATTGGAGTCAGATGATGACAAGCAAAGGCTAGGGCATGGTTTAACATAAATTTTGTAGAACCGTCTGTTCCTTCTCTGATGAATCTTCGTTTTTCTAATTCTTCTTTTTTATACTTTGCATTTTGTTACCGTTACCAAGATGCCATTACGCAATATGGTCGGGTAATGAAAAAGATGCGAATTCTATATGGGTGTATCTCATTAGACTAGCAGATCTTACACCATGAACCAATTAAGAGAATAGCGACGATCGTTAAGCACTAATGCAGAAAGCATTGTATTTCCCAACAGCTCTCGTTTCAATTCGGTGCACTTGTAAAGGAAAAGACTCACATTAGGAGGTGAAAATTGGACCCTGTGATGAGTCTCGTAAATGTGTCGGGAAACTGTGAAAGTTTTGCTTTAAATCGCCTTTGTATCTGAGCTGCTAAAAACCTGATGTATTTTTGATCTGGAGGCCAAGTTGGGAGATGAAACCATCTTTAGGGAGCTTCTTATAATCTGTGAAAGCTTTGCGAAATTTAGCGAAGCATCTTGATATTTTTGGTCAAATGAATGCACTTCAGATGTTAACCAAAATTTTCCCATAACTTTTTGTTGCGAATTTTTTAATTGAAACTCAGTTGAAAGGGATGTTTTATTAAAATTCAAAAAACAACCACTTGAGAATATTTTCTAATTTAGATACGGTTTTTAGAATATAAGCGATGGGAGGAGCAAGGTCTTGAAATGAATCCAGGTATTCGTTATGCAAAAATTTTAAAAGCGAAACAGGGCATTCTGAATTATAACATATTATAATTTTGGTTTTTATAATGTCTCTGTAGATTGTGTGCTGGTGAGGTTAAAATTTATGTCTAGTTTCATTGATTTTTCATAAACAGTGCCTTAAAATTATTTTGAATTTCAACTAATCAGAGAATCTTATCTGCGTATAGAAAGCTAAGCCATGTAATAACGAACGGAAACAGGTACAAAATGTTCAGTAAAGTACTATATTATTCAAAATTAAGGGGAAAAGATCTGCCATTTTCCTTCCTCTCCGCAGTTTCATTTACACGGCAACATACGAGAAGCAATCAAAACAACTTCGCCTCCCACTATTAATGGAAGTGTGAAAGTTTCGCACTTCAATAGTTACCGCTCTTTTCATCCGAAACAATTGGCCTTACGAACTCCACCGCGTTTGCAAAGACTTTTCCGCAGCTCAAAAATAAACCGCCTTTTCGCTATTAACACATCGAGCTCTTTGCAGAAAAGCCGCTTATAACCAGGCCTGACAATATTCGCTCGTTAAGGGCGGGATTATTTACAAAGTCGCGCCGATTTCAAAGATTTTCCACACCTTATTATCAGTATGATATCTCGTAAATTTGGGGTGCAGACGATACCTTTTGCGGCTAATTCCTATTGACTCATTATTGTTAATTTTAATTATACCTTAAACTCTTTTTCAAATCGGTTTCGTATGAGCCTTTCTTACAAATTGGCGTTGCAACTGTGACTGTTAGTTCATATCTGTACAACACTCGAGTAGTGAACATCTCTCTTCCGTTACAACGTCGCTCGCATTCACTTTCATCGCTCGTGGTTTAGCATCTTCAAATCGTTCAGTCATGAGATTCAGCATCGAAGAAATTCTCAAAAAAGATGACGGTCTTACCGTTCGTAAATATTCTGGTAAGTCATTTTTTTTTAAAAAATTATTTTTAGAAATCGTCGTCATAATTTTTATCGCCAGATGATGTATATTTATTTATTAAATAAAATCATCTGCCTAGCTGATGCGATTTCTTCCAATTCACAAGAAATCTTTATCTTCCTCTCTTTTACCATTTTTACTATATATTAATTTTTTCATTATACGTTCTAAACTTTATTTATCTGCAAAAAATAGCTCTTCACTTATTAATGGGCGTTTTATTCTTCACCAGGCAAGCGCTCTCTGGACTTCGATTCAGGCCTTTCAAGCATGGCCCCGTCTTCCGTCTCATCCGACTACTCCAGCACAGACTCAACCATGTCAGATTGCTCCGATGACGTATTCGCAGAGCCGCATGAAATTATTACCAAAAAGAGAATTCGCACTGTAATAACCCGAAGACACAAGGCCAAGCTGGAGCTTATTTTCAAGAAAAATCAGTATCAAAGCAGACTGGATCTTGCGAAAATTGGCAGAGAGCTTGGGCTACCACAGCATGCCTTGAAGGTAAGGGCCATTGAAGACTCTTTTTTATCTGATTTTTAGTTTCCTGTAAATTTTTTTCAGAGTAACTATGTGACATATATTTGCATGAATAGAAATGTTTAAGAGGAGCGAAATATTTTTCTACGATTGATTCTTGTTTAAATGTTATTTTTCTGCTTTCTGCTTTTCATTAAGCTCTGCCACAGATGTTTTAATGCTTTACTTCTTTTTACAGATATGGTTCCAAAATCGTCGTGCAAAATTCAGAAAGCAAAACCACAAACTCTCGAGCAGTCAGTCTGAAACAAGGCCTAGCTCAACAGATTCATTCGAGTCGCAACCAGCACATGACAATCTGCTTCTTGGAAGGGAACATCACGCTATGGGCCTTTCGATGGGCTGCAGCCAAGCTTGCTGTGCAAGGCATGTCATGCAACCCAGACCTCATACCTGCAACTGCATAGAATGTCATCAAGAACGTATCTTCTTCCTCGAAGAGCAAATACACAAGCAGTTTTTGAGAGACGAAAAACGAAGAATGGAGTCAACGAGAACCAAAAGACCTAACAGCGAGAGCTGCAATCGCACACCGTTCTGTTGCTGTCTCAAGTGTAGAGAAGGAACATTTTATGTCCAATATTAACGAACATGAAAAATGTCCACCGAGACGATGTATCTTAAAATTTGAGACGATGTATTGATGTAAAATAGAATGAAATTCACCCTGTAAATATTTTAGGCAGATTTTTATATATATACAAGATTAACAAACTATGTTGAAATTGCTGTCTTTCTTTCCATGTGTACCAATCTTAAAAGAGTATTTTACTGCTGCTAAGACGCCTGTTTGAATTTTCTCAGACCATTTTTGCTTATGAATTATTATTTTTAAAAATCTGATGATTCAGTATTGAATTTTGATCCATGCCATCGAGGAAGCAAGGAAGCACCAATTTGCGTATGACCGTGTATAAAGCAAGTTGATATATCTGATTTTGATAATGACTTACTGTCAAGATTGCGTTATGCTAGGTTGAGACTCTCCATTTTTTCAAGAAAACAGGCCTGATATTTAACTCGGAGACTCCTAGAAATATTATTTCTTTTTCCAAGTAATGGTTTTGTTCGGTCGAAGATAACTAAATTTCTAATGCATTTCCTTACCAGCCTTTGCCCCAGTCCACAAATGCTGCATTTGTGAATTGGGGCACAGGCTGTTCCTTACCAACATGAGATGACTTTAAGACAGGTCACGTACGTTTATAAAATGAGGGAGATGGGTGAATAACAGAATGGAAACGTAGATATTCCTTAGATTTAGAATTTTAACCCCCGAAAAAAGTCGAAATACTGAAATTGCTAAAGACCATTGTAATTCCTGAAAATAGTTTTTAGATAGGAAGTGTACGTTTATAGAAAGAATCCAGTGAGGGTAGTATTAAAAATGATCGCGTAGAATTTGCTTTGTTTCAAGGTTTTCCATCTAAAATTGACGCAGTCCTAAAAATGTTCATCGGCCGTTGTGCCACTTGAAACCACTACTGGGTTCAGCAACCTGTGGTTTATACAACCATGTGCCCTGAAGAAGAATGTAAGGTAAGGGGCTGTGAACGCTTGAGGAATATTAGCTGCATTTCTGTGTTGCCATCTTCAACCTTGAGCACAATGTACAGAGGTGTGAAAGGATAGCCCTTTGATCTTCGACCGTTTTGTAAAGATGCCATCACATCTTGCTATTCAAGATGTTTTTTCTTTAGTGTGGAAATCATTATCACCATCGAAGTGATAGCATAATCGGCGGTACCAGTTTGTATTTGAGAATTTGTGAACAGAGAGTAACTGATGCACACATGGTGTTTTGGACGAACTGCCGACAAACAATCTAAAAGAAACTTAGTACATTTGTAATTATGAATGGATCCACATGTGTGCGGCTTGACTTCTAGGGATTGAGAAACTGAAAACTACTTTTGTGCTTTTCGCAAAGCTGAGAGAAATGTGAGAGAGAAATGGCAGCAGGAAAGAGAATCGGTCAGCCTTGTTCCTAGTCTCACAACTATCTTTTTATAACTTGTATCTAGGCTAAGATGGACTCTGATTTCAACAACAAAATGACCTAAAATTACAGCTAAAACAGTTTGTTTTTCGTCAATATCATTGTAATTTACGATAACAGAATTCTCAGTAAAAAATACCATTAAGTAAATACACTCTTTTTTTATAAGAACAATTTTATAAGAACACGAGACTCAAAACTGGTCAAAAGTTAAGAACAAATTAAGAACAAGCTGAGGCTGAGCTTCTGCAAAATGCAATTTTCAACAACGCTTTTTCTCAAAATCGAGGATTTTTTGCGATGTGTGGGTGCTTTTTCGGTGAATATTCAAATTTGTCAGCAAATTAAGGCTGTCTCACTCACTTTGTTGGCAAATGAGGCCTGAACACCTACTTAGAGCGAAAAAGCTAGCAATAGCACTGCTTACACCCTCTTCATTTAAGAACAAATTAAAAACAATCCAGCCTCAGATTTTCGAAAAAATTACGAACGGTTAGCCTGAACTTAAATTTACTGGTTCTTATAAAAAAAGAGTGTAGCAGATATTATTTCCAGCAGATAATATGAATATTCAAATCACTATAATCATTAACATATGAACAATTTTTAGCGGTACAAATTTTGAAAATGGCTTTGAGGTATCTTGTAAAAAGTTTTCTTTTTTCAAAGCCATTTTCTAATTAACATATCAGGTTGAAATATTTGAGCGTTAATATTCTCATAAGTCTAATTAACATAAGTCTAAGGCATCTTGGATCCTTTTAACTCAATATTCAAATGCATTCATTCCGAAATCTTTTAAACTAGGAGCTATATATTGAAATTCATTTAAGATTTGGCATTTCTTTTCCGTAGTCTCAGGGCATGCAATCAAGAAATTAAATTAATTAATAACTTTGAACCTGTGGATAAGCAAAGCAACAATTTTTTTCTTGTCTAGAGATTTTTTACAAAATCGACCAGTCTGCCCTTCTAGATTAGAAGCATTTAGTCTCTACCTTGAAAGTTTTTTCCTGCAACCTTCTGCAATGTCAAGATACAGCTTAAATTTATAAACTGTTTCAACTTTCGCATCTGGTTTTGAATAAAGAGGGAATAAAGACGCGGGGACCAAAATGGGTTGTGTTAAAAGGTCCCTTGTTTTCTTTGATTATAGGTACTTGGGCGCTCTATTCAGTTTGGTTGCAAGCTGTTTCTTTTCAGAGGCTGGACTAGCTATGACCAGTTTCAAGGATGTGAATGGTATATCAAACCTACCTCAATAGGAGTAGCTAGGGTCATTTTTGGCTCTTTACCGAGAGGAATAAAAATGCGCAAGATGTAGTTTTTTTGTCCTTAATGAATTGACATAACTTTGTATTCCCCAAACTTCAGGTGTGTTTTGTTGTAAGGATGAATTTGTTGGATATAATGATAGAGTTGATTTTGTTGTAATATGCTTATATTTGAATAGACAGTTTGTATATGATAACATGTTGGTTATTTTGATCAAAAATTTGACCTACGAAGCCACAAATCTTCTTGTTTACCGAACCGAGCTGCCTCATGTCAAAATCACTGCATATTTTTTAGTGCCAATGTAACGTTTTATCATCTATTTTATTTTTCAGAACAAATCCCTGAAGTTAGAGAAACAAAAATACATGAAGGAGGCGATCCGCAAAGCTAAGGAACAGGAGGTAGAAATGCAAAAGAGAACCGAAGTTACCTACGAAGAAGTCGAAGCTGCTTTGAAGGAGAAACTAGCAGCAGCGCGAGTTGAAGAGGAGCAAGTCAAAGGTATTGGGTTACGGCATGGCAGTTAAATATGAAGTATGATTGAAAATGGGACACTGATAATGGTTTATACTGCTCTATATTCTGTTTTTCATTTTTTGCATAAGCTTTTACAGACTTATGTAGAAACACAGAGACTCGTTGAAACAATCCTTTACTGGTCAGAACCTCTCACAGAAGAGCTAGTGTGTCTGGAAAAAGCAAGATCGAGAAGCCAAAGTAACTTAAATACTACGTGCCTTAAAATCCAATTCAGTCTTTCAATGCAACATAAACGTTTTATCCTCCGATATTTTCGATCAAACTACTTTATAATAGATTGATACTTTGGAAACCGCAGCTCGATAATAAAATTAATAGTAAGAACCAGGATATGGAAGATAGACATCATGCTTGAAACATTCGACAACTTCTTGTTACATCATGACAATCCGATCAGTAGACGAATCCGGTATCAGACAATTCCTTGTTCTACCATTAAATAGACAAGTCCATTATATTAAATTGAATAAAACGTTTCGACTTTAGCTAGAGTAATCTTCAGTAAACTACGTTCTATCTTTTGTTAATGAGAAAACCTACACATTTTTAGCGAGGCTTTTGTTACAGGGTCAACTATAAGATAGTGATTTAGCCAAATTGTACTCTTGGTAAAGAATTGTTTAATGAAATGGAAGGAGGCAAACGTCAGAGTGTCAATTCGAGGCCCTTTTATTTGTTGATAAAAGTATACAGATGTTATGATGCGTAAAGCTAATTTTTGTTTGCAAAGTTACTGAGCCAAAAGTAATGATGTGGCCGTATTGTATGATTCTGCTTCAGCAGCTGAACTAATGCCAGTACAACGTTTGCAATCATTTTTACCTAGTGAAATCTGGTGCCGCCATCACTCTATTCTAGGCCAACCTAATTTGACGTTTCAAAACTGTCGCCTTAAAATCATCCAATTTTGTTAAGCCTTTCGATTATTTTGTATGTTTCTTTGGTTGCAATTAAAGCAAGATAGGACTAAATAAATGCTTAATTTTTTGTAGAACAGGATAGTTTTGCATGTGTAGCTTAATTTCATTATTAATGCAATTATCAAGCACTTGGCTCTTCTCTAAAAAGTAGGTTGCTACCATAAAATGTTATTCATTTTTTCTTTCAGAGTTGAAGAAACAAATATCAAGATTGATAGAAGAGATTGCGGAAGTAAATCTAGAAGTTGCAAGATTTGTGGATTTCAAGGTGATTCTAGAACAAATTTGAACCTGATTACGTATCCATACAAAATACACTCTTGTCGCTATTCTTATGCGATCCATCCGCGATCTGAATTTCAAAAGTGTCTAATGGCTATTGTCTTCTTTGCAGGACCGTCAAAGGTTCGAAAACGACACTCATATAAAATTGCTGAAAAAGGAAATGGATGACATGCACGAGTCGTACGGAGAATTATCAGGTGACTTCCTTGTATTCAATCTATTAAGCAAGGGACTGTGAGAATCTTCCGATCCTCATGCTTAAAATATTTGGCCTGTAGCGATATAAAGTTTAAAGAAATCTCTACATACGGGAGCTTAAGGAAGGAACTCAAGCCCCATCTGACGAGCAGGAAACGCCGAAAATACCCTGAAAAATGACCCTGTGTAATGAATGAATGAATGAATGAATGAATGAATGAATGAATGAATGAATGAATGAATGAATGAATGAATGAATGAATGAATGAATGAATGAATGAATGAATGAATGAATGAATGAATGAATGCATAAATCCATGAATGAATGAATGGATTAATTAATTAATTAATTAATTAATGAAAAATCGTATCTACAACTTCAGACAGCCTTACCTCGGTTTAGCAAACCCAAACCGTCGTCAGGGCAACCATGTTTTGGTCTGGTCTGGACTCTGTACCCTCCTTCTGCAATCGGTTCCTAAACATCTTTTTTATACTCTATGCATTATTTTGTAGAATTTTTTGTCAAAAATTTGGAAAACGTCAAGCTTCAGATAGAAAGGGCTACCGAAGAAAATATTACCAACGAAAAGAAGTTGGCTTCGGAGGTGAGCTTTTGTTCAATCGCTTTTTCTTGTTTTAATTCATGCTTGTTATGTTGTGTGTCTAGCTCATGTTGTTTTGTCACTCACGACCTCCACTCGCTGTGAAAGCTCTATTCAGCCTCCTCTATTTTGATTTCTGTTAAGCCCCCTTTTGAAGCAAAAATTTAAAATATATTCAGCACAACTCCTCTCTACCAAGTCCTCCTCTCGTAATTAGTTTTTTCAGACTTATAATCAGGTTCTTTGATAACTAGGTAGACATTTCGCATACATTAGTCTCCAGAATGTGGGCAATGTTTTCAATTTCTGAATGTACAGAATATATCTTGATATCTACTGCGTAATCGCAGATCTCGACACCATTCATTTTGTGAAAGAGGTCACTGGCACATTTGTTAAATAAGAGTGGACCTAGGACTGACCCTTGAAGCGCGCCTAACCATGTTTATTTTAATCTGCTGAATGTGTCCCTTGTTTTCGTTGTGAATGTTTGTTGTGTACTTGATTGAGAGCACTCTTACTAAATCCATAAGCATGCAGATTTTTTAACAATGCCTCGTTTTTTGGAAGATCCCGTTGTTTAAGGGTCTTTATTTGACTTAATTCATAAAATTGTCATCCGTTAATTTAAAATGTTTAAAAAGGATTACCCTTATTTATCAGGATTGATTTTTAAGGGACCTACCACTTTAACTTACAAAATAAATTTTTGTCCAAAACCTTAAATCTATTTTCAATTTTTTGTCAGATGTCATATAAACCAAATCAACACAGATTTCAGAAATTATATAATGAAAGTGTAATGAAGAAAATGAAACTATAAGCAGTTTTTGAGAATGTTTAAGGAGAAGCTTTTTTATCATTTGGGGAGTTTTTAAAAGGCAGCATCAGGACAGTTACCGTATTCCAAAGATTTTATTGTTTGAGGCTATTTTAGAGTATTTTTATTTAAGGTTATTACTTATAGCTATATTCAATCGAAGTCGGGTGGTATCAGGCATTTGGTAGCGATGGAAACTATGGATTTTTAATATCGAGCGGGAAGGCATTTATGTAAAAAAAAATAAAAACGGACTGAGATACGAGCTTGTGGCACAAAGATGTTATTTTCTTCTTACCCCATTAACACTCCAGAATTGTTTACAGTTGCATAGATAGGATCTGAATCAAGCAAGTTCCAGTCATTGATGTATTCTATTTAAAAGCATTGCTGCACATTTTTACCACTTCCTGACCGTCAATAAACTTTTTCCAGCTTGCATTAGAGTCACTTGATAGCTCCAGCCACCAAGAATTCTCCGATAACAAATGGCTTTTGCAAGAGGTAAATAAGAACCTGCTTTAAAGATGAATTTTATAGTTAACAGTAATTTTTTTAATTATAAATGCAAAATTCCTTGGTCTAGTAATGATATCTTCAAATTATGTTGTCATAGAATTGACAATTTTCGACTTTTCATTAAGTTTGGATATAGCACGACATTGCTTTCTAAAGGCCTTTGTCACGCCATGCATTATTTTATAGGGTCAAACTTTCAAAGTCATCTCTTTTTACCCTAATGCTTTATTGTTTTGTTACAAGACAGCCTCCCTCCTTTCTGATGTAAAATAGTGGCTGCCTTAATCAAATTTTTGTGTATATCAAGGGTAAAATCAGCTACAAAACACGGGATGACAAAGGAAACGGAATGACTGGTGGGGCACGCCCCAGCCATCTTTAGGTTCACGCTCCCTCGAGGGCTATGAAAGATACTCCTTTTTCTAAATAAAACGTATATTCTGGTACTTGGAATCCCCTGCGGGTTGGAAATTCCTGAACATCAACATTCAATACCTGTCTCAGGCCAGCCCCAAGGTCTCTGTCAAAGTACTCCAGTCATTCACATCCCACTTTTCTGGTCCAGCTTTGGTGAATTGGAAAATTGATTCTAAAAGTGGGGGTGCTGTTATACAAGGCAATTCCTTACTCTGACAGATGCTTCTACCACGTTTGGATTGTACACGAAGCTCACCTTTAATGCTATTTTATAAAACTTTGACCGTTATTGATATCTTTTCTTATTATTATAATTTTATCTTTTAGATCATTTTCACGACTTGCTCTTTTAATCTCGTTTGATTGACTTAAGGACGATAAGAAACACGTTCAATTGACTCTTATTTAATAGAAATAAACAGTGCTAGTAAATTTAAATATCGTAGGTTCATATACACCGAGAGCATTTGGCAGATATTTCAGCAATTGTCGATAAACTTGAGAAAGAGAATGTGGAAACCATGGGTGATTTGCTGCGTAATCAGTTCGAGGACGTCAAAATCAGCAGGTAAGGCATGCAGTCAATTACTCACTATAAATGCCCATGTATTTTTGTTGCATAGAAATTTACTTTCCTCTTTAATAGATATGTGATGGATCTTAAAAAAATGTCATGTATTTTGTCCTTCGGGCATTATGTAAACGAATGTCACAGAACCTCATTACAGAACCAAATTTCAGTTGCTTTGACACTTTAAGGTGCGTCACAAATGCCAGGTGTTTGACTCCTCAAACTGGATGGTTAATCCCCCAAAAAAACATCTGGAACATTTTTTAATCCGTTGAGAAGCAGGCTTTCGGGAATTCATTCAAACTACATTCGGACATAAGTCCTTCACACTCATCTACTTGCTCCACGAAATTTGTTTCAAATACTCCTATAGAAGTATATATAACTTGATAGGGAAAAGGAGAGAGAGTTGCCAATGAACGTACGTTGCCATTTGCTCCAGTTTTTTTGCTTAGTTGCCTACCTGGATAGAGGAGGTTTCAAATGTACACAAATTTATACTTATATCAAGTTTCGGGGGCATTTACTGCTCCCACCGTGAACCCCTTAACATAACCTCGCTTTGAAAGATTTCACCTCTTTTGAATTAAAATCATGACGTAACGAATCTTTGCGTTCAGAGACTTCTTTTCCGCGTGCAACTCTTCGGATGATGAAAGCGAGAACGAGGAAGGTTGCGAGGAAATTATCGCATCACATTTTGATGACGGTGACACAGAAAATCAAGTGGATTCCAAGTGGCTCGATAACTATTTCTCAACTTTTGGCGACGACGCGGAAGAGGTATTTCAGACCCTTTTTCTTTTATCTCTTTCATCATATTCTTTTAAGATCAATGTCAGAAATGGAGATCAGTTATACTTTTCATGTCTTTGGGTTTAACTAAGGTATTTTGCCTTCCCGAATTATATATTATCACGCCCATGAACAAAATATAAAAAGAAAACTACAAGGTTACACTTTTCCGTGCAGAATTTAATGCTTTAGCTCCTTAATGTTTGAGTTTCTCTAATGTCTCACCGTTACATGAAGTCAGAGAAATAAGTCACGTCCAGCACCGAACCGCCAATCTTTTGTGTTTACGACTGTTGTTCAAAGCTTTTGCTTGGAACGCAAGCGATTCGGTAAGGTTTTTGTGATTACCGCCTTATCAACCTGGAAGCCGATGTTGCTCCACTGCATAGAGATTGCCACCAGCAACCTCCCAAGAAACGACGCCGATATCATATGATTATTTTTACTGACTTGTATTTAGGCGTTTTGTTATATGGCCCTTTAATTAAGCCAAAGTTTTTAAAAGGAAATTCTAAAACGTTTTTTAAATGTCAGAAGGAAGATTTTTCTAATGTCAAAAAATGGCATCGTAGAATTGGTATAGCCTGTGAAACACAGTATGACGTCACTCTCTTTCTAAGCAATACTTTCTTTTAAACGTCATTGAAAGCAGGTTATTTCGAAGTTGTTTGCGAATTTTTTTAATTTTTCAAGGATAATCAACGCTTGGCTCCGATGGACTTAAAGCTGCTTTGTGTCGTTGGAAAAAAGAAAAAAATTCACACAGAAATATCAGAGAAGGAGCGGCGTCGAATTGAGTCTGCACAAGACCGTGCTGTGGATAAGAGTTTGATCTGGTTGAATCAAGAAATTTCTTAAGCAACAGATCAGTTCAGGTTCCAACATCATTTCTTTTTTAAAAACGTGATAATGAAAAAGGAAAAAATGTTTTCAAACCCACCGCACATTTCACTTATAACAGCAATTGCTAGTTTATCACATTTTACTTTTTTGCTAAACTGGTTGGAGTATGCAACCATTCAATACTTTGCCTAATATTTCGAGACTGCATCTAGTTACGCCATGTTTTTTCTAAGTATTTAAAAACTATTAGACTCGTACTTGACGCATAAAATGCTGGAATTGCAGTAACCTAATTTGTTTGGGTCTTCTATATCCGCCTTTTACATTTGGTAAGAAATTGAAATATTGGAAATATTTTCGGTTGAACAGATAGCAGCAATTGTATTTGCCAATGCACAAAATTGTTGCCTGTTTTATTTTAAATGACAAGAAGACAATATTTTGGGCGAATCTTTTGCGCGATTGCAAATACTTTGTGATTCAGCTCATGTTTTGGCAGTGACTTAACTAGAAGAAACAACCCTAGTTACCAATATTTTGCTTAGGCACCCTAGAATATACATACTTTGTTCTGTAGATGCTGTGCCTGCAAAAAGCATATTTCTCTTTCTATTGGTTTTGAATACATCTTCAGTGTGCTATTTCCCAACACTTTTGGAACCTTTTACGGACATATAAACTTTTAACCGATGACGTAGAAATGGACGCCTTATTTTTACTACGACTTCCACCAGCACCTCGTGTTTGATTTCATCTATTCCAGTCCACTCATTTCGCAGCAAAACGAATTACTATTCTGCTCCATATAGGCAATAATAGTTCTAACGACAGCTATCGCAATAATGTATATTTCATTCATCTTAAGCGGAATGTATATCAAAGCCCATAACCAATTCGAAAAGGCAGCAAAGAAAAGAGACAAATACCAAATTCAATCTGCTTCTTTGATATTAAACTTTAAAGTCGTCTGTTAAAGCAAGAACCTTGCCAATGGCATTTCAGAGACGCTGGCGAACAAGTTAATCACTAAAGTTTCTTAGTTCCAAATCTAATCACTAAACGTTTCTTAGTTAAACCTTTTATATCTCACATATCATTAGAGGAGATTCAAATAATCGTTTGTAAACATGGCTTTGTGCGGTTATTTTATACTCTATTCAGTTGTTTCAAATATTATTTATTTCTTCGAAATGATAACATGCTCTTTGATAAGATTGATTCCTCTTGTCCTATTTACCATTAATAGTGTGCATCTCTATTTAACAGTCAATTTAATCAGTTATCTTCTTCTAAAGGGTCATCATTCGCTCCGAAAACCCCACGGCAAGGCTCTTTACATAAGATCGCAAATAAAAAATACATTCTCTCTCTAACTATAAATGGAAACGAGGCTGTATAAAATTGACACAGAATGTTTGCTGCTGCAAGTCCAAAACAAGACTAAAACACAACCAAAATGAAGGTAGAAATTCTGAAACACGTCAAAGAACTGTACAAACGCAAAGTAAAACTACAAACGTCCTTTATCATCATAAATACTCTAATATGAAACTAAAAAAGTTTTAAACCGTAAAGAAAATGTCGGCCATACAAACGGCCATCTTTCTGGCGAATGGGTTCGTATCAAATTGGCGCTTGTATTGTGAAATTTTTTTGTTCGTTTTGTTTCAATAAGCTGTGATTTTCGAATATCAAAGCTGACATCCTAGCACATTTACAAAATTAGCGGATTAATTTAACAATCAAGGAGTCCACACTTTAAGGACCAAAAAAATATAACTTTTCACTGTCTAAAGGAATGCAAGACGTTTGTGAGAGTTTTCGTAAACAACGAGACGATGAATTATTTAAGTATTGTGAATCTCCCACTGCCAGGGGTTCTAGTAATATTTTGATGTTTACAAAAGCTTTGTGGAAATATTTTTCAGCTGTACTTCATACTCTTATAAAAAAATCCTTCAACTTTCCGTTTTTCAAAAATCTTTATGAAATCTCTTTTAATATTTTTATAACCTAATCATCAAGCTTAAATATAGATTAATGAATGTTCTTACTGTAACTAGTTAGTTGTACAAGATCAGCATTTTGCATAAACTCAAGATCATCGAAGTTAGGATTTGCAACATGACAGCTTGGAAACACTCTGCAAAATTTCACTTGAAAGGAGCTTCGTTTGTTTTTCGAGCACTATGTTGATTTGTATCTGACAAACTTCTTATTTCTTTGCAAATTTTCCTCCCTTTCATGTTTTGCTTGTGTTCTGAATCGGAAAGTTCAATTTACAGATTTTTCTATTAGACTAGTTATCACAAGTATATTTTTTCAAACATTATCTGAACATAGAACACAAAAGCATCCTACAAACAAAATATTTTAAGGGGAATCAAATCGACATTGCAAGTCTCTACCTCAATCATAAAATTTTAATTTCCTGCAATTTAACTTTTAAGCTATAGATTTCATATTTCAATCGACAGAAAATGCTATGTCTTACCTAATAAGTCTATAATAAGATAATGCGTTTCAACAAGTTAAACATTTATCTGTATGACGTCACGAAACATCACAGTTCAGCTGTGACTTGGTTCCCCGCCCAATGGACCAAGATGCCACGTACGCCTCAGTGGTAGGCCATTTGTATTCAGGAAAACTTAAAATCATGTACTGGACTGGATTAAATGAGTCTTGGCAGGGAAATCTGCTCGCTTAGACTGTCAGGCCAATAAGAAAATCATTGAAAAGCTTTTACGAGGGTCAGTCGAATAACATAGAGAAGTCGAATAACATAGAGAAGCTGTGGGATTTTTAGACAAACAGCACAATGGTTTCATACACAAAGCGTGGTCGAATGTACGCACGCTTGTTCGAAAGTATTCGAACACGAGTTTCTTTCGAATCCTTTTGATTTATCAATTTTAGGTCCTTTTCCTCTTTGTCCTTCTTTGTCATCCATGTCTTATAATGTAATAAATTGGGCCTAGATACCACGTTTGAACGTTTTAAGTTATTCTAAAGTATACTGCTTGCTCGCACCTTTGCCTTAAAAACGACATAACCAAACTTACCGTTAACACTTTTTTGTTGTTCTTGGCAAAGCCATTTTCACAGATCCACTCGAGGTGCAACTAGGACAAACTTTCATAAGCTTTTCCTCTTTTTTTGGTATGTACCAGCATCTGATACATCGAACGCGGTATTTTTTCCAACGTATACCACAAGCATTGCAAAGATGGGTGCCATCTTCAGCATCTCTCCAAAGCGGTGTCTTGCTTGTTCCGCAAGAGGCACATTCTTTTTCGACATTAATCGGCACGACTCCTAAGTCTTCTTCGCAACTGGGAGACGAGCTGAACGAAGGTGAATCGCCACTATCTTCGCTACAAAATGGATCTGGATTGTTGGACCACGAGCTGCTTCTTGAGCTGAACAAACGCACGGGCGTTTTGCAGTTTCTTCGCCTTCCCGTACGTCGTGTTGGAAGCTTGGTGTCAGAGCATGGCTGTGATTTAGGGCGCTTGCTGGAGGATGATGACGATATAGAGAAGACGGAATCAATGAAAACATCGGGTGTGAATTCCTCCAGACTTACTGACCTCTTTATTCCCGACCTTACGGTGAATATGACACCCTTTATTGACGGATCAGATTTTGTTGCACTTTTTAATGGACGGAGGGGCTTTCTTGGGGTTACTCTACCTGTAGGAGATTGGCGTGGGGTATAAGTCACTTTAGGCGCGCCGATGTCTGTGTCGTGGTTTGCATCTTCGTGGACATTATATGGGTTGATACTTTCAAATGTGTAGGATTGTTTTCCTTGGTCGCCCCTTCAAAAAAGACAAAGAAACATTTTAGCAAACAGACATTAATCAACCAAAAATAAAGAGCATGAGTGCTGAAGTTATTTTGAAGTAGCGCATGATCAGAAAAAACTAATTCTGCAAATACTTGTGTTTTGCAGTCATATCGTTGTTGTGAAAATAGTCTGAAAAAAATAATAATAAAGCAAAAAATAAGTCGCCCCCAAAAATAAGATGCTGACTGGAAAGGGAAGAGCACAAAATCGGCTCAAAAGTCGTTGCTCCGCGAGAGTTTGAGCTTCCCTTGTGTGATAAAATGTGCAGGTTGTAAAGTTGTGATGTGTTGAGGTCTCTCTGGGGCAAGATTATTCGAATTTTCAGGCAACTATCGAAATGTTTTGTTTGAAAAGTGCTTCTTTTCGTTTCCTTTCGAGTTGTTTCTAAAAATGTGATGCCAATTGTTTAAATGTCTCTACATCGAAAGAAATTCCTTTCATCCTTGCATCGAATAAAAGATTTTCGTTGGTCCCATAGGACTCTATATGATGAGAGGTCGAGAAGTGTTTTCGCGAAGTGCATCCCTTCTCCTTTTTGATCATGGATAAAAAATTTACAGGTTTTACTACCAAATTAAAGGAAAATTAAGTATCTCAGACAATATTCAATCTGTTAATGGAAACAAATTAAATATGAACCCTGAAGGGATTCAACGAATCTACAGTACTAGCAATGTTCGACCTCGTGCGGAGCTTTGGTACTCAGATTCAAAATCTCGTAGAAAGGTAATACAACATGTGACTATTAACCTTTGAAGGATTTTGATTTTGTTTATCTTGTTTCGAAAAAGCATGTGAAGATCGCTAGCTTGCCCACAGGTATGAAAAAACCAAGTATTATATAAGTTTTGAAACCCGATAGATTGTTTCCACGCCCATCTGTGCCAAAAATCAGTCACATTTCAGGAAATCAGTATGAAGCAGAGAGAATATCAGTTTCAAATTTACAAACTTTGGGTTGAAATTACCTTATTGATGTTGCAGAGAACTTATTGCACAGCGAAAATACTTCATCATCAACATCTTGCCCAGGCCCAAAATCTATCGCCTGCCAATGCTTATCACCGCCATTCAGCCTCATAATACGACCTTTAGCTGGTCTTCTTGCGATGTGAAATGGTATATTTTCCTTTTCTTGCATTTCTGTATCCATCCTTTACCAATAGGGCCAATCTAGTTGAGAAGAGATGTGTAGACAGATTTTGGCGAGGTGATCGCTGATGCTACGATTGGAAGGAATTTGAAATGGCGCGTGATCGCGTGTTTGCAAAAAAGCGCGAAAATAGACTAAACTAGGGCCCAGGGCTTCTGACCCAGCCACACTGTCATATATCTGAAAGTTGTCTTTTTTATATCAGTTGCTACATTTTGACGAGATCAGTTTATTTCAGCCACAAAAACTTGTCACCGCTGCAACCAACTTGAAAAATGCAGATTTTTATTAACAGAATGTTCACAGTACTCTCTTTTCACATATCTTGACAGGAATAGAGCAAGTAGAATCAATTATCCTTAGACTAAGAACCTTAGCTTTTAAAGCAGAGTCGAAATTGACATAACCAAAATCATACCTCAGAGGCAGTACTCACTTTCTATCTTTCTACGCCTGTTTTCGACACCTACACCTTTCTAAACGTGCATTATGTTTTCAATGTTCTTCTAAAAATCTACTACACTACGTAGTATTCGGATGGTCATAACATTCCATCATCGTGATGGTCACATGTAAGTTATTTTAGCCGCCTCCGCAGGTTGGATTAGCCAGTCCCTTTGTGGGACAATTTCATGTGCCACCCCTGCATCAATAGCATCATCAATATCCATGTGACCCGAGAGAAGCTCCTACTCTTTCCTTATGTAATTTATAAACTGAATTTAGGTGGAATGCCTCATCTAATTACATACGCATAAATTTGAATATATATGTGTAAATACCGGCCTCCAGCCGTCGACAAAATGCATCAAGAATCATGTCAAGCACAGTATACAAGCCATCTCGCTTTGCCCCATTTTAAACTTTATAAAAATGTCTCAATTCTTAACAGAACCTTACGATTGTTCATTTGTAAAGGCTTGGCTTCTTTGTCAAAACACAATTTTTAAATTTTGATTATATTGAATTGCCTTCCACATTCCAATTTTGATTTTTACATAATTTTCCCGCCAGCCTCAAGAAACTATCAAACTATCAAAATCACAATCGCTTTTAGTTTTTTTGTCAAATCATCCAATTGATGCCACTAAACCGAAATCCCTGTTGATAAATAGCATATGTCCTGAAATGAAAGGTCAAACTATTATTGTGTGAGTCTTTTTCAATATGGAGATAATGTATGCTTTGTCTTTATGCTTTCCTTCTACCAAGTCATTCTGAAGCAAAATGTATCGCCAAAGTTACTGACAAGAGATGCAAGCTTGGTGATGGGGGAAGTTTACTTATTCCTTGCTGTCGGTTAATTGAGGAACTAAACAAATTTGTTTCTGTTTCAAAACAACACATTGATTTGATAAATGAAAAAACACAACTTTTAATCAATATTGTTGTTATTTTCCCTGCTCATTAAAAACATGTTCAAATTATCGAGATAAATGTTCCACAGAGGTATCGGAATTTTTTTCAATATAGAAAATGTTTGAATGTTTGGGAGTTTGAGTTATCGGGGTTTTTTATAAAATTATTGCGCTAGAATCAAGGGGAATGCAATATCAGTTCGACGTAGCGAATGTTTGAGTTATCGGAGGCTCGAGCTATTGGAAGTTTTCTGTACCATTATTGCTTTCAAGCTTTCGATCAACGTCACCATTTCCTCTTCCTCGCCAGTGGTGGCGCTAGGTTTCCTCCGACAAAGGGGCTAGCACTTCCGACGGAGGGGCTAATTTTTTTAGAGAACGATAGGGCTAGGGGGCGACAAGGAATTGTAAGGGTACTGGAGACCGAAGGCGAGCGTTGCGAGCCGAAAATTCGGGGGGTCCGGGGGTACTCCCCCGGGAAAATTTTGGTGGCTACACCCATTAGATTGGCTAAAAATGCTATCAAAATGGTGTAATCGTGTTTTTTACTACGTTTTTTGACATATTACTAAGGGCACGTTTGCCCCCTCCCTTGCCCCTCCTAGCAAAGGGCAGGAGGGGCGCTTGCCCCCCCGCGCCCCCCTTCTCCGGCGTCCCTGGAAATTTTTTTGAAAGCTGCCTCTAGATAAGCTTAAAACTACTCTAAATCTTTACAACTCATCAAACGTTGCCAATTCAAGTAGGGCCTATCTTTGGAAAGTATGAATTTAAATAAAAAGCAACCAACTGAACTTAAGGAAAACTGGAACACAACGTAACTTTATAGGAACAGACCTAAGCGGTGGAATACGCACTTCTACATATCGAAAATTCAAGTCCAAGAATCAAAATTGTTTCACAGAGCAATTCTACTCTTCGGGAACTTAGCCTTAAATCTGTCTACTACTGAGTCCAAGTCAAGAGCACTTCCACGGGCACGATGAATACCTAGCATCATCAGACTGTCTAGACGCTCGTCCTTCATAAGTGAGCGCAGATCACTCTTGATGAGGCGCATAGAGCTGAAGCTGCGTTCACATTCGGCTGAAGAGACTGGCAAAGTGCATGCGATGGATACAAGCCGGTGCAGCTCAAAGAAAGCTTCATTTAGCTTTTCCAAGTGTGCCTCTAGTTGCAGAAGTGTGCTTGGGCGGTGTTTTTCTTCTTTTCTTGAGAGCATATATTTAAATGTGGCAATTTCACTGCGTAGTGCACCAATTTCAGACTGAAAAAGCTCAGCAAAATTGACAAGAGTTGTTGGGTCCAAGTAGCTTTTCGACTTGGGGGCCAATGCAGTTATGCCTTTCATGATCTTTATGTTTTTTTCGTCAAACCGCTTGCAAAGTTCTGCAGTTGTTCTGTTTAGTATTTCTTTGACATTTTGTACGTAGCCATCAAACCCGCTTGCTACTTGAGGCTCTGAAGATGCTTCCACAACAAACTCTCGAAGAGAAGCAGGCGTTGCCCTCTTTCTTGGTGGTCTTTTTTCTTCCGGCAATTCCAAGCGATCCGCTGCTTCTTCGGCAGTATCCCAGAACTCTTGAATCTTATCCCTGCTTTGACAGTCATCCAGTTCATCTTTCAATGTTGCAATGAGATCAATGGCTTGACTCAAATCATTGGAGGGTTTCTGCAACATGTCAGACGCAAATTTGGCTTTGTTCAAGACGTGTCGGATGGCAAACAGGTATCTCACAAATTTCCTGTCAATCTGCAGAAGATAACCAGTAGCTTCTGTTCTGCGACCGGGGTTCGTATCTGTGTCAATCACATCCTGCAGGACTTCCACCAAGATATCCAACCGCTCCCAGAAAACATTGAATTGCTTCGCCTGGCAAGACCATCTCGTGTCAGAAACTTTTCCAATTTCCATCACATGAACCTTGTGATCCTCTTGGACCTTTACCCATCGTACATGAACGGTGCTGCTGCTCAGAAAAGAATGCAGGCTTCTGAATAGCGATATCATGTCTGCCACACAACTGATTGATTTCACAACATCGACGATCACAAGGTTCAATCGATGACAAAAGCAATGGACGTAGTAAGCCATTTCAGCACCGGTTTTCAGAGGAAGTTTCCTTTGAACGCCATTCAGGTGACCAGAAACAACAGAAGCTCCATCGTAGCCTTGCCCCACGCATGCTTTCATGTTGGCTTCGATGCGTTGCAATCGTTCAATTATTGTGTCTGAAAGACCATCTGCATCTAAACTTTGCGCCTCAGCAATGCCAATAAATTCCTCATGTATGGCATTCTCGTAGCAGTAACGGACTGCAACAACAAGCTGCTCTTTTTTGCTTCTATCTTTAGACTCATCTGAAAGGACGGTAAAATACTGAGCCTTATTGAGCTCACTTTTTATTTGCTCAAGAACCATGTCTTTCATAATGTCTAAGATGGCATTCTGTACGCTGTGGTGAGTATACTTTGCATTTTTCGGGCCAGTGCGGATTTTGTCAGCAACAACTGGGTCATGCCTTGCAAGAAGACCAAGTATCGCAAGAAAATTACCACAAGAAGGTCCATAGTCTAGAGCTTCTTTATTTATATCGGCAACACGAAATGAACCTCCAGTCTCACGTTGGGCAATCTTCCGCTGAGCAGTGAGAAGCAGGACTTCGCAAATCACTCGCATGTAATGCCTGTTGTCTTTAACCAGTTTCGAATAAGCGGCATCATGAAGTGTGGCAATGGTCTGAAAATTTCCAGACTTAACGTTTTCATAGTGCGCTTTAGCAGCTACACTTTGGGCATGAAGATGGCTGGTTTGATGTTGCAAGAGTTTGTTATCATTCACTTTGGTGCCATAGCATCTTTTCCAATTGCGCAAGCCTTGACTAACAAACGCTGGATCCTTCCGATTCTCTGAAAAATTACGACAGTGGAAACAGAAGATGGCATCCTCCATTTGCGAATACTCAATCCAGGGATACTTTTCATACAGCAAAGGTGTGAATGCGCGATGCTGATTGCCAATCAAATGTGTAGGGAAGGAAATATTACGAGGCTGCACAGGTCCGCCGTCTTTGGTTGAGGATATGTCCTTGGGGCCAGCGACGGATAGTGTAAGTTGCGGTCCTCTCGAATCTCCTTGAAGTGCTAAAACGAAAAAAATTATCCATCACACTTTGCAAACTTTTTTCCTGTTAAGTTCTTGGCAGTGCCCTATTTTATATCTGAGAAGTGCCTCTTTTCATTGTTTTAGACTTTTCTTTGAGCTTTAGTGCGAAAGAGGCTATGGGAGCCAAAGTGGCTGCTTATATGCAAAACTTTTCCGGGCGAGCATGCCCCGTGCCCTTCTAGCAGGGTTTGCCTTCGTCTTAATTACATACCAAGGTGCCCTTTTTTCACGCGCCCTTCCACTTTTTAGTACCCCCCTACGCCGCTGGTTAATGGAGAGTTACGATTATATCTGATAGCTAGTTAGTATACCTTCGGCTGATAATCCTGCAGGATCAACTTCATCTTCCAACTCGAGTTCCAACTGTTCCAAATTTTCCTCGATATCCTCGTTGCTGTCGCTTTCATTTGCTGCTTCCACAATGTCCGACATCGACTGTTCGGCTTCCGAAATGGTGACGTAGTTGTCAGCATCTACATTCGTGACTTCGGGGTCCAAGCTAGAAGTTGTACCTGGAAGTTTAAACAAATGATTTACTACCCTGTTTTACATGTGTGAAAAAGATTATAATATCTCCTGGGAGATGGACAAAAAGGCATTTTTACTAATCAATCTTTTGTGACTCTTAATATCAAAATCATCCAAAAAATTATTTTTATTTGTAAATAAAACGAAGAAATTTATACGTCTAACAAGGTTTATTCCTCATCCAGTCATAGCCAGGTATATTTGTTTAAATATGTCGCAGTCGCAGTGAAATCCCATATTATATAGGTCCGAAAATAAGAAACTTTTAATTTCTGGAGAGCTAGGTTTCCTATAAAAATACACGTTTTTTTCTTAATAAGGAACTTGTTTATAAAAAAAACTAGAAGGATTTATCGTAAATAGTAATAGATGGTTTCCCTTAAAAATAGTAAAAAATAAGAAATTTGGAAACTATTAGTACTCTGGGCTTGAGTCAAGTTTCTTATAAATAAAAAAACGTGTACGTAGAAGCAAAACACTACAAATATGTATGGTTGGGATGGGGTAAAATGGCTTAGCTACTACGTAAATGAGTTTGATTGTTTTTATGGCTGAAGCCCTTTGCTAAGTGTTTTTCCTCGTATTAAAAGGACTTAAATATTAAAACGTATAACATACCACGTTCGATTTGCTCTTCGTCTTGAATTTTCGAAATTTCAACTTCTTGTTCTTCGGGGTCTTCTGTTGTTCTTTCAGTTTCAAAATCATTAACCTTTCGTTTCTTTGGAAAAGTACCGCCTTTTGATTGAAAAAATTTTTTTATTTTTCTCTGCTGCGAGTCCGTTTCAACTATTGCCGTCGTAGGAGCAGTCCTTCCCATTGCAGCCAAATCTTTGTGCTTGGACTTCGTGTGGCGGGCAGCGTAATCATTGTTAAATACGTCATTACATATACTACATCTAACACTGAAACGGGTAACATTTGTTGCCATATCGCTATCGCACAAAAATATTCCGATGTTGTAGGTTGGTTATAGCAAGCAAGATTTGGACGAACTGCACTATCCATAACATAAGATCAAATTTAACAGCATGCGGAAAACACCTGGTACTGAACATCTAAACAACCAATTCAAACTTCTTATAACAGATTATTATTTACCATGAAATTGATGTGTCGATGAGTTGTTTTGGGATGAGCTTCCTGAATTCTGATAACAGTCCTTTTAGAAATTTCTATTTCCGCCAAAACTTAAAAAATTCGCTCCGACAAAAAAAATTCAAGCATAATTTATCTTCCGACGGAGGGGCTAGCCTCCTCCGACGGGGGGGCTGTAGCCCCCCCTGCCCCCCCTCTGGCGCCACCACTGTTCCTCGCCTCCTGGCCAAAATCCATTCCAGAGTTGTTTCGTATTTACCCAAACTTTGGATAAATGCTTAAAAAATATTCATACCGAGTTGGAAGTTGAAAAGTGATTTTTTATTGAATTGCATGTTTCATGTAAAAATATGTTGGTCTTTGCAGCTGCTTATCAGGGGCTCTGAAAAAGGACGAGCATTAATTAATGGAACTCAACTCTAAGAAAGGGTTTTTCAGAGTCATGAGTGGGTTGACCTCCAAAGTTGACAAAATAATCTTGATGTAGCCTGTAGGGGTGCAATGGAGCCGAAACTTTAGGGCGGCAAAAGTTTGTACCATTGACACCGGAGCATATTTGGGGTGGGGGGAGTTGCTCTAGACAAATTGGCGAACTTTTATGGTAGTTTTTCACCGTTATATTTGATGCCACATTGCCACAACCTTGAAATGAATCAGGAAAAAAGTGAGGGGGCTACAACCCCTTAACCCCGGCCCCGGTTAGCTTGCGCTCTTTCTAAAAAAATTATTTTGTGTCTGAAAAGGTGTAAATTAAGCAAAAATATACCAATCTTTCAAAGATTTTCCAGGTGTTTGAACCTTTGCCCAGACACTGTCCCTCGGACACCTGTGTCGCCCCCTTCCTGTAGTTGTTGCTGTTGTTGTTACATAACGCTGTTTATTTCACACGGTGGTGATAGCATGGCGTACTCTGCAGCTCGAAGGACTTTGAACATAGTAAGAAATCCAGCAGCCACTGGATTGCTCCGTATTCCTACTGCATCGTACCATCCCAATGTGAGTTAATAATCTATATCCCTTCCATAACAGCTTCGCTTGTATTTACTTCTAATCACAATATGAAATGAAGGCTTCAGCTTATCTTGAATTGAAATGATGGAAACAAGGTTTATATTTATATGTAAAAGGCGGAATGATTTTACTGGATCAAATATTTTATGGGTTAACAGCCCAGCTGTGTACGAGAGTACATGGAAAGAGTTTAGAACTGTAAAATTGTTTACGTGTTATTTGATAAATATTGTTTACAATGCAATGTTTATTTTAGCCAATTTCTCCATTTTATCAGTTAGTTTATTAAACGATTCTTGATTTCGATTAGCTGATCCGTGTTGAAAACTTGATTAAATATGTGTCTGTTCCAAAGGTTGAATAGAACTTGGCAAATGTACATCTTCAATGGGTTGCTATTAATTTTTGATTGGTAGCTGTTCAGTTTCAGTCCAGTTTCAAAATTTGAAATTCGATTACATACAATTTACATTGAAAATGTATTTTACACTCAGAAAATAAATTTAAAGGAATGAAATTTAAAAATAAAACAAGGGAGTCTAAACAGAGCAGGAATTTTAGGCAGAGGAGCTTGCTGAATAGGAGCTCTCTCAGTTGAAAAAATCTCCTTTAAGCTATGATGACTAAGGATAAGTTAAACTCATGTAACTGAACAGAAACTGAATGTCAATAGAGCCACTTTCAATGTTCATTTGATTAGTACACTCTTTTTTTATAAAAACAATTTTAAAAGAACACAAGCCTCAAAAATGTTCAAAAGTTAAGAACAAATTCAGAAAAAAGGAACAGAGGCTGAGCTACTGTAAAATGCAATTTTGAACAACATTTTATCTCAAAAGCAATTTTTTAGACATGTGTGGGTGCTTTTACTGTTAATATTCAAGCTTGTTGGCAAATGGAGATTGTCTTACTCACTTATTTGGCAAACAAGGCCTGAATACCTCTCTAGAGCGAAAAGCTTAAGCAATCACACTGCTTGTACCCTATTAATTTAAGAACAAATTAAGAAAAATCCAGCCTCAGATTTTTGAAAAAATTAGAAACAGTCAGCCTAACGCATGAAACTGAACTGAAACTGAATGTCAATAGACCACTTCAATGATCAACATTTGATTATTAAAAAACCAAGTTAAGGTGTTCTCTACAATGACAGGAAATGCTAGATTGTGTCACTGTTATATTATTTAATTATAATTGCCTCATTAGGTGATTGATCACTATGAAAATCCCAGAAATGTTGGTTCTCTTGACAAGAATGATGTAAATGTTGGCACAGGGCTAGTTGGTGCACCAGCCTGTGGTGATGTCATGAAACTTCAGGTATTTTCAATTGTTTAATTTTTCATAATCATTTCGTGACTGAGGAGGAATAATTGATAGATAATCTTGAAATATTTCAGTTCAGTTTCATATTTTTTCAAAGTCAGCTTGTTATGTATTTTGAGCAAGACCATCAGTAAATGTTAAGGACAGCCTTCCAGGAAATTAACAAACAGTTATGTAATTAAAACAATGAAATAATGGACAGAACCTCATGTTGATAAATGTTCATGGATGCAACTGACAGTATCACGGATGCTCACTCAAATATTATTTCATAACTACATTATTTTTTTCTAATATTTTTCAATTGCATCAGATCTGTTTGAAAATGTTAAACTGACACTATCAGCAAAAAGAGAAATCTATAATGGTAATCATGAAAAATAATGCTCAATTTTATTAAATAATGGGTTTAGTTGTAAAAGCTTGCAAATGTTTCAATATTATTTTTCATTACAGATAAGAGTTGATGATGATGGCAAAATTATTGATGCTAAATTCAAGACATTTGGTTGTGGCTCTGCCATTGCTTCTAGCTCCTTGGCAACCGAGTGGATCAAAGGAAAAACGGTTTAACATTTAGTACAATTTATTACAAATCATTATGAAAAGCTCTTCCTATTGCTTCTATACTGTCATAATTGTAGTCATTGGTTTTTAGAACACTCTTTAAAACCAGTGCAAAGTGTGTTATAATTTGTATAATCAGATTTTTGGTGAATAGCATTTTTATTGAAATTATTTTGAAAATATACTTTAACAGCAGCTACCCTTATCTTACTTATGATGAAACATCTTGGAAGCATTATGTTAACTTACTGAATGTGCCAAACTTCTTAAAGTATTTGAATATTTTTTTGGAAAACTCAGAGTACATATAGCTCTATATTTTGTTGAGAACAAACCTTAGCAATGTTTGCAAAAATTGACTGTAAATAATTGATATCATTTTTAAACTATATAGCTAAATGATGCTGGTGCAATAAAAAACACAGACATTGCAAAGGAACTAAAACTTCCGCCCGTCAAGCTACATTGTTCAAGTAAGTTGACAATAACAAAGTTTTTCTTCAAATTTATGTCATCTGTGCAATAGGAGAATTCCAATCAACTTACTAAATCTCTTGTTAATGTGACTGTGCACAAAGGTGACTACATGAATTGAAATAAAAGACTCAGTTAAGCCTTTTTAGGTTATGAGCTTCTAAATTTAGACTGCTCCTATTGATTGTTGTTGCTGTTGGGGACCATGTTTTGATTCTTGGAAAATAGCAGGAAGTCATGCAGTTCTCAGATGAGCACCGGTGGTAAATTTATTTTTTCTAGGTATTATCCTTTTTCAGATTCTTGAAATTGATTCACTAAATAAATAGATTGTTGTTATTATTGGTTGTTTTATCAAGTTTTATGAGAGGTTAAAATGTCTTAACTTTCAATTCATTGCTTCATTTGAGAAAAAACTAAACATAGGAGGTAGTCTTGCTGGGAATCGCACAGTGCGGCAAGCATGATACATGGTGGTATAAACTAGAGAATCTCTCACAACTAGACTAGTTTCTTCAAAGTTTCAGGGCTCATTCTTGAAAACTTTTCATATTCAACACAATCCTCTATATGAAATTCTTTCTGCAAAGTTGCAGAAACCAGTAACTGTCTGTTTCTTTTTCTGGAGCCATGGTTTCATCCAAGTTGCTTCAATTTTACCTTTATTTTTCTTTTACTTGCCAAATAGCCAATTTTCTTTTTCTATTGCTTGGTAATTAGTGCCTGAAGTAAGCAGGCAGCAGCTACTTTCTTCATTCGTTTACCCATGACCCACGATGAAAAGAATGAAAAGGAAAAGAGATCCTTCTTAAAGGATATGTGTAAACAGTGTACTGTGATTCCTTTTTCATCCTTTATGTGAAAACAGATGTAAAAAGGACAGTGTTTTTCAGTTATTATTAAGGGAAAAAAGCCTGTTAATGGTTTTGAATATAGAGAATAGGTCCCTGGGCTCATGGTATTTCCTCTTTTCTATGTATCCTGAAGGTTTCAGAAAGAAGGTTTCTTATTCACAACTATAGAAACCTTTTTGATGTTTGAAGAAAGAATTTTATGCATAGTCTTCTGTTTCCTTGCTGTTTTCTTTTTTCTTAAGCAACATCATGTTAGGAAGACATCTTTGTTAATTGTTATTCTGCAAATATTCTAAAGCCAGTTTTATTATTCTTTGTTAGTGCTTGCAGAAGATGCTATCAAAGCTGCTTTGAATGATTACAAGACAAAGAAAGCTAAAAGCAATTGACTTTGATGTAAAAACATTTGTTTTTACCTAATTATACCCTTGAATGTTTAAATGTATATTTTATTATTCTAATCATTGCCTTTTTATTTAATACTTTGCACAAACTAAACACATTCTTTGCTTATTTTCTGTAAAATTAAAGTTAGGTGAAAGGTTAAAGGACAAGTGACACACTTTTCACCCTATCTTTTCTTTCCATTAACTTATAGATCATCATTTAGAAGTAAGTTTTTCCTGGTTTAGAACAAAAAATTCTAATCAGGGGGCGCAGGGGGCGCAATTTTGCTTTTTATCACGTGACCCTATGACGTACATTGTGATAACTCGGAATTTTCCTGTCATTAATAGAGAGTTTACGAAACAGGACGCGACAGGTCCAGAGGAACTGAATTCGTTCAGAAGCGTGTTGTAAACATTAATATTGCACTGTATACCAGTAGCAGCAATAATAAATTATCACAATCTACGTCACGATGTCACATGATTCAATTCCCGCCATAATTTGAAAATGGTTTTTAAGTAGGAAAATGAAATCAGAAAGGAAAAATATTTCAACAACACTCTCATACAGCATTTTACTTTGAGTTAAAAGAAGAAAAAAAATTGGCGCCAAAAGCGTGTCACTTGTCCTTTAAGATTTTATTTGGTTGAACACAATGCCATTGATTATTGTTATCATTTTGAATATATTCTTTTAGCTACCAGGGTGGGTTGGTATTAGTCCAAGATGGGTTACTGTCCTGAGTAAGAATGATTGGCAAAAAAGCAATTTGTAACCAAAAATAACAAAGTGATGGATGTTAATTCCAATTAAGATTTCCATAGCAACACAAAACATAATTAAATACACCAATTCATCTTCAGGCCTCATTTTTAAAAGTATTCTTCAATACTTTTGTACAAAAGTTTTGAGCTAAGATTCAGATTAAAGCAAAGATTTTAGCCTACTTGGAAGTTTTCATCATGCAGTTGCTCACGGTATTCATTTTATGAAGACTTAAATATAAACATTTTATAAGGAATTTTACAGTGATTGGTGACTGAGGGAGGGGGGGTAAAGTTTCAACTCAGAACGACTTTGCGGTCAAATTCCCTACAAGTGTTCAAACTTCATTGGTCTGTAAAATCTAAAATACATGCACAAACAATATGAAAAATTGTATCCGCCCTAAAATATGGCGATGAAACCAAATCTGTGCTTTAGAAAGTCGTATAATGAAGTTTGGAGAAATTTCCAAAACGAGGTGGTACGTTGAATTGCTTTATAAAAAAGTGTGACAGTGACACCATCATTTATTTTAGTGTGGTTACGTAAATTGTTTGAATAGTGATGTATGAACTTGGATGCTGCTATTTTATATGCAATAAAACATAAATACTCCTGTAGATTTGTGTCTGATGTGAGATTAGAGAAAAGTTTTTGAAAAATCCAAGGTTCTTGAAATTGAAACTCTCAAAATGTAATTTTAAATAATTTGAATGAAAATTAAAAGAACAATAAACAGCAGGTTTTGATGACTTGGAAAAAACTATATATTTTATATTTGTTCAGAGGTGTTGATGATCAAGTGATACATGATCTAAATGATACATTCTCTAGATTCTAGAAAAGGGGAGATAGTTAACCTTTGTAGGAATTATTTATGTCGTTCTGCATGATTAAGAGATAACTTTTTCAAATAAATTTCATTAACTATGGGCTTGAAAATCTTTCAAACAAGATTTTACCCCTTTGTTATTTTCCAACAAACAAGTGTTTCTTCGGTGTAGTTGCTCCATAGTTGAACCCACATGAAGTCACCACCCTAACAAAATATATCTTATTTTCACCCTAAACTGTGGTTTATGTGCTGTAAAAATATGAATTTTTATTGGTCTGTATCTGCAGTTTAGTATTGAAGCTCTTGGTCAGTATACACCGAAATTTTAATTTTCTATAGATTAATATACAGAAAATTTAAGCATTTTAATGAACACTGCAAGGTTCTTTCGCTGATCGTCGGAAAGAAAATTTACTCCTATCTATACTAACTCAAAATATTTTTCGTGGCGAAAATATCTTTGACAGTTGCAAAAATCAAGCTTTTATAATTGCAGGGCTCTAGTTTTTCAAATTCACTATCATTTCTAGCACTGCTCCGATCGAGTGTATGGTCAGAGAGTTTTTTCTTAATAAGACATTGGTGAGCCCTTGAGTCAAACTACAACTCAAGATTTTGTAAAAAATTCATTATGACATTTGAAAATAGTGCATCTTCTTGAATATTGCATTGATATTGCATGGCTTTAGAGGGGGATGAAAGCGGGTGCAACCGGGGATACATTTTTATCAAAGGTTTTGCTTTGAATGTGCACAATGAAACTATACATCCTTAGATTCTAAATTATCAAATACTTGGAAAAAGTACCAAGATGAGATAGAAAAGGAATAGAAAACAAGATGCTGTGCTTGTCATCTTTCATATAGAGAACCCGGGGGGCACTCCTATACTTGACCTCGGGACAGAGTATCAAAAGTAAGGAAACTGTTTGGAAAAGGGTATTTAGAAGCAGGATAATGTTTTCAATTATCTGCTCCCACAATGAACGTACATTTATCACAGTGATAATCCTCTTTTCGCTCAGAAATATTTTTGCATAATTACGCCATGTTTTTGCCTTTTTATGGGACAGGGGATGTATTTGGCATATTTTTTATGGGACAAAGACAGGGTGCAAAAATGTTTTCCGCACATCTTTGTCATTTATTTGGCCAAGTTCCTTCCTCCCGGGGGATAGAGAGTCAACATTCTGTAACAGTTCTTTCACCCTTCCGAAAGATCAACGTGTTCAAATTTCTCGGAAATGTTTGACTGGAAAGAGGCTCTCCCACGCTCATAACAACAACAACTGCTCTGTTGTCCTAGTTACAGAAGTAAAATGGCGATGTTACCTTTGCGAGGTGAGGCACTTCCTTTGAAAAATCAGTATTTTCTTAAAAATCTATTTCCTTACAAAATGTGTTAGGTATTGGGGACTTTTTATTAGAGTTGCACGTGTAGTTTTTTGATAAGAATAGGACCACTGCTGGTACTGATGTTTATAATAACTGAGATGGAAGTTTCGATATTCATTTCATCCTGTCGTGCAGCAGCCGCTCTGTTATTAACCAGGCATTGTGGCCGCTCGAAAACCACTTAGAAGAAAATTCGAGATAACTTTTGAATAAAGAATTAGCTAGCCTAAATTTGGTTTTATGAATATTTTATTACTCGATTTAAGTGTTTAGATTATGAGGTTCACATGTTTAGATTAAAACTGGCTGTCTAGGATTTAACTGCTGAAAACAATTTTGAAAAAGCCTTGTAAGTTATCATATTACTCTCACCATATGCCATAAATTTGACACGCAGATCAAATGTAGCTTGCCAAACACAGCACAATAGCCCGTGACGAGTTTGTGGTGGAAGATACTCTGTTGACTTCCAGATTGGAGTCTTTGAAAGATGCGCGGGGGATCTGTTTCATGTCCATGAAAGTTGCGCATTTGCAAATAGCACAGATAAAAATTTCGTGCGACTGAGACTTATTACCATAAAAATACAGTGTGTAACTTTTGGGTATACATTTCAAAGAAAAACATTCGTAACATCATTAGTGGCGATAAAAACAATATAGCAAAGATAAACATTTACAAACCAACCTCGTGTGTACACAAGCAAAAAGTAATGACGATCTAGATGATCTGCAACTCTGAGGGTCTTCAAATTCAAACTTCATTAAAAGCGTCAATTATTAAGTACATTCAAGATACGTTTTACAGTTAAAGAAGAATCCTGTGCAGCTGGATGAATCATTTTAACAGAAATTGCGTGGCTGCAATTGCAGCTGCAATCGCGGCTGACAGTTGGTGTGTGCGGGGGATTTATCCCCCATGCAAGGCAAAAAATTCCAATCTAGGTTGACTATTGGTAATCCTGCTTTAGTAATTTGTTACTCCTTGTTAAGAATGTTTTGCTGGGAAGTCATCACAATGTATGGGAACTTTTTTTGCTTGTTTTGGAAGTTGTCAGTAGCGAAATCGCTAGAATTGAAGAGGTTCAGGATTATTCCAAGTTTTATTTCTATGGCAGAAGATGGAATAGGCAGTACAGATAGTTAAGTTGGATAGTTTGGAGATCATGAAGCAGAGATGAACATGTTACACATGTCAATGATAGAGGAGCAGAAGAGACCAAAGATACCCCTGGAACTGATAGAAAGATTAACAAACATGATAGAAGAATAGGCTGAGCTTATTTTTATGTAATCAATAATGAACTTTTATAAACAAAACATGACACTGTTTTTATTTCATAAGTCTTTAGTGTTTCCAAATAAACAGAAAGCCAATAAGGTATGATCAAGGGTTTTGTGCCTCTCAAGGGTTTTGTGCCTCTCTGATAAGACCAATAGGGTTTTGTGCCTCTCTGATAAGACCAATTGGGCCTCTCACATGATGCAAAACATCAGCAGAAGAAGAAATTGACTCCTTTTTGGCACAGACAATAGGTTCTGAGCTCCCATGGCACCACACCTAGGCTTGAAATGTTATTTATGTAATATTTATCTGTTTACAGTATCATGTGACCTGGTCTTAGGCCATGTCTATACTCATACATTTTGTGTCTGCAGGTAAAATTTTGCCCAATTATCATTGCGTCTTGAAAATGGTTCCACCCTCAATAGCATTTCTATATGTTTGTTTTTTATCAAAGTTTTACTCTTCTTAGTAGATGGTAAGTAAAGTGCAATGCATGAAATATGAATGTTTTCATTTTAAAACGTAGGAAAACTAGATATAAAAAAGAGTATAAAATGTCATCAAAAGATTAATGGTCATGATGTTGCAGCCATTTGAGAGGATGTTTAAGTTTCATTAATATTATTTCAAAACATTATTTTGCTTTGTGGTAATATTGGTTTATGGTTTCAAGCACTCATTAAATTGCTCCCCATTGCTTTTTTAGGCACTCACACTCGATCAAATACCTTTCTAGGCAAGGCCTGTAAGACATGTCACTAGAAATGAAATCATGTGCCTTTTGTGTTTATTCTTGCTAAGCATGACAGTAAAACCATGTACAACTGCTGACCAAAGTTAACTAATGTTTCCAGTTATGCGATAATCAATGGCAATTGGTTAAATGAACAAATGGATCTACTTCTTCAACTTGTTAAGATTGTTGGGTGAGAAATTGCTTACACTGAAATTGAAAGATGACCCCAGTCTACCTCTAATGTTAATCACCAGTCTGTTAAAAACTTAAGTCACATTTCTAATTGCTGTTTTTTCTTTATCCCAGGCAACTAACAGCAATTATAATATTTATCAGTTAAGCAAATCTGAAAATGGGTGCCAATGCAAGTGCCAGCTTGGCATGTGGATCAGGTAAAGGTTTTTGAAGTTATAAACACATTCAAATAAACTACTGCAAGTGGCGCCTCTAGCTAGTCTTCTCATTTCCTTTAGCCACCTTAACATTTTTTGACTGTAAACTGGGTGCTCATTGCTGAAAAGAAAATGTTGCTTTGATATTTACTAGTTATGACTATTTAGCCCATCCATGCTTCAGTTTAGTTTTGTTGTTGAGTGAATATCTAAAACGAGGCTAGAAATTGCTATGCATGACATAAATGGAAAGTTGATTCCTGGAAGAAGCAGTTGGTTGCAACATTAAAAAAGGCAACAAAATAGTAAATGATTTCAAGGTTACCTCATTGAGACCCTCATAATCTACTATCACTCCTGATTCTCTGCCATCCTCTTTTCAGATGCTGTTGTACCCGAAGAGATCCCAACTTTCAAAATAGTTCTTGTAGGTAAGGGGGATTTATTATAATTTTTTCCCATTTTGATGTCTTTGTTATCCTTATCACCAGTTCACCCCCTTAATATTTTCATGTCCTTTCCTAAAAATAATTGTTTTCTGTAGGTTTTTTGTGTTCTGGGTGAAGAACATTTTTTGGTAGTCACTAAACAAATTGATACAGTTACTTCTTATCTTCTTTATCCTTAAAATTAAAAACTGAATTTTAAAAACGAGCCTTTCCATCATTTTTTCAGCCTGTGAATAGCAAGGCACCAAAATCCAGTCATTTTCTAACACCCCAACCATATCTGATAGTGGTGAACTTGATCCTGAGACAAGACTTGCACCATCCATCGCTATTTTAAGATAAAGCTTCTATGAGTAATCAGATCCTCTGTAAAATCTACCTTGGGCATTCATGACCCAACAGATCTACCATAAATCCTCAAATAAGCCCCCACACTCGAATAAGCCCCCACACTCGAATAAGCCCCCACCTAAAGAAACATTTTGCAAATAAGCCCCCCTTGAATAAGCCCCCATGGGTGCTTATTCGAGGTAAGCACCCACAGGACAATAGCTATACAAAATATTACTTCCTTTAATTGGAGACCAAAGAGCAAAAAAGCGACTTTTGTGATGATAAAAAATTATAATATTTGTTAGTTCTTTGTTAGAAAAATAATGTCGTTTTTATGTCGATCTTTGGGGAAAATGCTAAACTTTGAAATAAGCCCCCCCCCCAAAAAAATTCATTTTTGCAAATAAGCCCTGGGGGCTTATTCAATGATTTGCAGTATGATATCTCATTCATCTCAGAGTTGGTCTCAGCAAATTAAATTTTCACAAATTCAAGCACAATTTTTGGGATACCATAAACCCAATGTGCCCTACAATGGTATTGATGTTGTGGAACACTTTTTGCTATTCTGCCCTTTCTTTGCAGTACCACATAGATATGTTCTCACTGGAGTTTTTGCTTTATTAACACCAATTCAATATACAAATCTTAAAAGTAATGTTCTAATGCAGTTTTTATTGTATGATGATAACAGCTTTTTGAATGAACTAAATAAAAATATACTCCTGCTAACTCTAGAATTTATCCTAAAAGCTGGTCAGTTTGATTAGAAAATTTAAACACTCTGAATTAAACCACCCAGATGCAACCACCCTGTCCTGTTTAGGTAAAGGTGTTCTTCTTTTGTTTGTATTTATTACTTTTAGATCAAGTATTTAATTTCTAAGTTTTATTTCAATCTTTGTGTCCAAATGGCCCTGGGGTAGCCATAGCCTTCTGTTCTTCAGAGTATTATCAAAGTAGTACTGTATAGTTGTATGTTAATTTGTATTGTAATCTTTTAGTGGATGCATAAAAAAATCCTTGCTGCTGAAATACAAAGTGAGATCATCTGAACTTATGTCTCCCGCTAGCTTGAGGTGCATTTTCAACCAGTACTTCATTCTTCAATCTTTCCTTAGGTGATGCAGAAGTTGGCAAAACATCAATCTTCTTACGGTACACAAAGAATCAATTTGATTACAGCTACCAACCAACAATGACTGTAAACATTGCAAATGTTGTGAAAAAAGTTAACATTCCATATGAAACAATTGTTTCCATTTCAATGTGGGATTTGCCAGGCAGAGAAGAAATGGACTTGAGGAAGAGTTACTACACGGATGTTGATGCTGCGATTGGTACACCAATTAATTCTTAACTTATCCACTTATTGTTGATTTTTTCAGCGAGGGCTTAACTCAATTTGCCTTTATGTAGATTCAAAAAGTGAGCAAGTGTTTTGGTGCTTGGATTCTGGAAGATAATTTTCAAAAATTTCTTTCACTGTAGTTTAACCTTATAGCAAGAACACATGATATGTACATAAATGGAAGTCACATGTTATCCATCCTTGCTATGGTATCAGTTTTTAGTTAATAAATGTCAATTTTTCCTACCTACATATTACTGATTAACAGACCCATTTTTTCCCTGCTTCATACAACAACTACGTTCTAACGGTCATTGATCTCTGCTTCTTTTTCCTAGCTCCTTTTTCTTCCAAAACTCTTCTTGATAAAATTTTGGCTCCTTAGGATCTGTCAATATTGCTGTTTTCTCATTTTCTCACCTTCTCTACTCTCTACTTTATTTATAAACACATTCTACTACTAATAGCTTCACCTCTTATCTTCAGTCACCCTTCACTGGCACCAAGGATCCATTTTAACACTTACGTTCTGACTTCTTTAGCAACGCCAGCTTCGTAATTCTGGAGGCCATGTTTCCTGACCATATTAAGTTACTGATATAATTATAGTTCTGAAAGTTTATTATTTGGGTGTAAACGTATTTTCCAGGCATTTTAAGTTTTCTATTGCCCTTCATCAAGTCAAATTTCATTAGTTTTTTACCCTTTTCTTGCTGCTTTCCACAGCTCCTTTTTTGTTAACGCACACTAATATCTTTCTACCAACGTTTGTTTTAAAGTAACTACGTTCGGTTATGTAATCAATTTTTCCTCCAGTTTGTCCTAAACCTTTTCTGTCATCACAATCCTGCCAGCATATAAAATGTCCAATAGCATTCCTCGTGGTTTCTTCCTGATAACTTCTAGGGCTATGATGAATAGCAATGGACTTAAACTTGACCCTTGGTGGAGGCCAACTAGTACTTCGAACAGACATCTGCACTTCTAAACACTGCACTTGCTCCTTCATGGTGGTAATTATTCTAATGTCCTCTTCTCTTGCCCCTGTGTTGACAAAATAAGGCATTTGCGCTCTCGCTCATTGCTGATTCTTGTCATATTCCTGAGCCACTTGTTATTGAGACCCTACATACGAACTACAGCAACTTGATACACTAGACTAAGTTCTATTTCTTTATTGATTTGGGCTAATGACCCTTCTCACTCCTTTTTGTGCGTATGATGTCCTATAGTCCGTTATTTCTATTTCGTCTTGAGCTTTTATGACGGGTGTTTTGTACTTTAATGGTCTATCCTTTTGAATTGATGGAAGGGCTCTCCTTGTGCTGTAAACAGTGTGAGATTTTATAGCGAAGGAACATTTTGATGGGCCTGTCTTCATGCCGGTGTGATTCTGGCTAGGTTGGACGCACAATTAAAAGATAGAGTGATAAAACAAAACAAAATGTTCCTTCCAGCATAAGAAACAAAACACCCCCCCCTGCTTTTAAGAACTACTGCGGTATAAATATTTCTAAATAAACATTTTCGATCATTTTTCTGACGCTTCATACTCTAAAGAGTTTAATGTTTTCTTTCTTAAAGCAATATTTAAAAATCACAAGTTGTAATCAAGACCAGGAACCGAGACACTGCTCGATAAACATATTATCTTTTTATCTTAAAAACTACCTTCGGGTGATAGGTTGTAGCAAACGGAAATTAACACCAATATCAGCTACTTGCAGTCCCTGTATTTTGCTGTTGATTCACTTGGCATAACTAAGCAATAACTAACTTTTTCATTTGCATGTCAACTTTTTCATTATCAGCAATCTTTTTTAGTGAAATCATATAAATTCTGATAGATGACATCATTTGTATTATTTTGATTTTCTGATTCAATTTGGGGCTGAAAAAATGCAAAAGGCCCAACTATTGTATTTTTGACAATATTTCAGTGGTTGTTGATCTGAGTGACCCTGAGAGCATTGATATGGCTGGCACTTGGCGCCAGGACATCCTAAACAATGTGTACTTGTCAGATGATAGCGAGTTAAGCAGTCAGAGCAGAAATAAAACTGAAATTCAAAAGTCACTGCCCATTTTGCTTGTTGGAAACAAGTTGGACAAGGTACTCAATGTTTAATCATATTCATGAAATAAAATAAATTTGTTTATGTAATATTATGTAAAAGATTTGTTTATGTATTAAATAATATAGATTTGTTTATGTAACTAGTTTCAGTTGCTGCTGAAAGTGTCGTTATCGATCGCATTGCAATCAAACGCATTTGTTGTATTTTTATATATTTTATTCATTTCAAACAAAGTTAGCAAGAAACCTGGAGCTAATTTTAGTGAATATGAATGTGAAAATACCTGCTAATTAAATATTTCTTATATATAATGAAAATTAAATTTATTGCTTGCAAAACGCTTGTTTAGCATTTTTCCATTTTTGTTCTTTTTGAACAATGATCTCGTATGTTTTCATCCAACTTTTCATGACCCCAGAAAAATTTCATGACTATGTTATATAAAAAGCAATGGAGTTCTTCGATATCGATAATTTTTTTAAATATATATATAATAGCTATAAATGAGTTATTGTACTATAGCTTGATATTGCCAAAGCTCATTATGAAAATTCTTGTAAGAGTTTTTTCATGAAAGAGTCTTTAAATCCTCTTCACATTTTTTGGAGGCCCTTGGCTGTAACCCTTTCGGGTTTTTTTAAACAAACGTTATAAGAATAATGTTTAGGGTTATTTTGCTATTTATAAAGGCTACCAAAATTTAGATAGACTAATGGACTTTTAAACCTGTAACAGAAATTAATAGATGAAGATTATTTTTGTTTAACTTTAGATAGAAACAGAAGGTGAATCAGAAAAAGATGAATCATCACCAACAAAAATTTTAGAGGAAACTGCCGAACAGCATAATTTTGTTGGATGGTGAGTGTCTTTTCTTTTGCAACAAGTCTTACAGTTTTTTATTTGTTGCAATCACCGTTTCAGTGATCAAAACCTGATTACGTCAGTTTACAACTGCCTAACAAAAATATAATAGTGTTTCTTTCATGTATACTTTGTAAATGAAATGTATTTATTTCTGACCTTTTTCTGTTCATAGTTGCCATTGTGATTTCAATTTGAATTCTATATTTCTTACTGGCTTAAAAGCGGAGATTTGATAACGCTTTATTTTTCTCATTGGTATCGTAATGCAGACAGGCACTGTATGTTTTAGACTGTGCAAAGCGCCTTTTGCTCGTTGTTTTTCCAGTGGTTTGGTTTTTCAGACACTATGCAATCAATGCTGTGTTCACCATAGCAGTCAATCATGCCCTTACACTCTCTGCTATGTGGGTACCAAATGGTTCTCTTTTCTACAAGACATGAATTATGGTGTCAACACGCGTGAAACGATTATCCCTTGGTATAAGCTTCTGCATCTTAAAATGGTATTTTTGTTAAATTGGCCTTTTTTATGCAAATCGTTAGCGTCAGCGTGGCCGCAAAAGAGAATGACGGTGGGGTTCATGCAGCGATGCAGAGTCTGATAAGGTATTTGCTAGAGAAGAAATACAGTTACAAGATGCCAAAAAAGAAATCTGGAGCAATGAATGTTTTCAGGACGTCTTCAGATGCACTGAATTACGCAAAGACTCTTGGAAGTGCAGAGGATCACACTTTCGTCAAGCTTGAGAGAATCAATATAAAAGAGGTAAAGAATTACTGATTATAAACGACACCAGAGAACATGTTGTTGTTTAGCAAAACTGAAGGTAGAAGCAGCTTCCTAATTTAAGCAGACTTTGGACCATCATTTTCTTTCGTTCTTACGGGGTCCTTGCCAGTGGCTAAAATAGAGCTCTTAGTATGATTGACAAGCACAGTGAATTTCCGCGTTTCTTGTTTGAGCCGCCTTTTCTCTACTTTTTCTATGTCAGAAAATCGGCTTCACAAGGTAAATTTTTAGAGTCGTATTGAAGTAGGGGCAACTCTTCGTATAACCCCAACCCCTTCCATAATTCCTACTGGGCTTTTGGCCTTGCTTGTGTGCACAAAGGCTCACTTAAAGCTGGAACATTCTTACAAAGCTTACTGAGAAACTAGCACGACAATTTCTAAAGGATGATTGTTTGCTAGACGATCTTTGGAAGCAATTCTATCCTGACCCTTGAGTGAATTGATTCGATTATGATTATTATTCCACGCCTCTTTTGATGCAACTTAGCACATAATATACTGTGACCATCAGTGAAACGTTTAATTTCACAATCTCCCTTTGCATCTTTGCAAATTTTCGTATATTTTGCAGTTTGATATCCCGTTTGATTCTGTAAACGGCAGAATCAATTTTGTGGAAAAGGCAAGCCTGGGATTTCTTGTCACAATGAGAAACTTCAAGAAAGCTTGTTGCATTGCTGGTCTTACCGATTCGCAGAAGGCTAGCACCGAGCAATGCATCACAAGCCTGAGAGATCAGGTCAAAAACGAGACTAGGGAAGACTGCCTTCAGGTATGATATTAATGTTAAATAGTGCTGAATAGTCTGTGTTTGAGGCCCAAAGGCCCAACACAAAGCTTTCATCCTTTTTTAGATTTTGTCTCAGTTCAGCAGCACAAAGTCCATTGATATAAAGTTTAGAGCACAATTGCAATTCAGCAGCAAAACTTGAGATAAACGCTTTTATTCATTTTTTTGTTATGACTGAAGCAGCAGCTTCGAGAAGAGGGTTAGGAGGAGGTAGAAATTTGGAGCCCGTTAAAAAAATTATGTGTTATTACCATCGAATTGTTACAAGATCTCTTAGCAACGCTGCAGCCTACTAGTTTCAAATATATTTCCTAGCGTAGAGTTTTTATCAATGTTCTGATGTTTTACGCTCTGAAGATTGTCAGCCGAAAAGCTTAAGTATGTTTCAGAATGAGAAAAGTCCACATGAGCTTGATTCATGAATACGACGATTTAGCATATTTTTTCGCCAGTTAACCAAATCAAGTTTAGCTTCAACCTTGTAGCTTCCAACCATCCTCCCTTTTCGTCTATTTCAATTTGTTCTCTTCGACCAAAATTATGCTTTTCTGTCACTTAGGCCCATGAAGATGGAGGCTTTCTAAAGCTGGTGATGAATGGTACAAATATCAATTTACCAGAGCCTGTTCAGAAAGTCGTTAACATGTTCAACAACGAAGTTAGTGCTTTTGGAATTTCTTCGCATGGACTTTCATTCTATTATTGTTTTCCAGTCGTTTGATATTACTTCCACACACAGCTTGTAAATATAGATTACTTACATAAACATAAGTGATTGCTTTTCTTCTTTGATTAAACAAAAAATGGCTGGCCCTACCGATGGCCTTTGGGGGACCTAACATTGTCGTTCCACTGTTCCAAATGGGAAAATTACATAAACTCTTTTGTGCCAGAAAAGTGAAAAGATTTTCATCCTCTATGTCATATGGCTTTTACTTTATCAAGAAGCTTCCAGGACATTTCTTGGTCTAACCCTCAATCGTTGTCAGCCCTCTAACCGTTTCTCTTTGTAAAAGCAATAATATGTTATACCGCATCTTTTCTACTGTTCCACCAGTTCCCAACTTCCTTGTTTTTTTCTTCCATGAATAATTATTCTATCCAGACTAATTATTTGTATGACTAAAAAATATATTTTCTTCATTAAAATATGGTCTCTTGTAAAACTTAAATAACGGGTTTATTAAATTCATATTTTCAACCATAATCCTCTATCGTACTCTTGTTAGCATTTCAATCTTCTCCATCAGACGTTTGTCTTCCACCTTCCTGTTTTTTTTTGTTTTTCTCAAGGTTTTTGCGACGTTGGCTGTTTAATTCGCTCAATGTTAGTTAAATTGAAGTGTGAAAGCAATTCATCTTTAATAATTTAAGAAATTGTAAAATATTTACTGCCAAACACACTAAAATTGGCAAGAAAAATTCCCAAAGCATGTCAAACGCCTCGAATGGCAATATATATTTCTGTCACAAGCTGTTCTTTAGACTCTAGACTAGGACTAAATGTTTACCTAGCAACGCAGGTGTGCCTACGTTGTTTATGTTTGACCCGACAGCTACAAATGTTTCCACAGGATTTCAGGCGCTTTGCTGTCGCTTAGCAGAGCTTCTTTCTTCAGTGACAATGACTTCAGAACTACAGTGGAAAAAGCTATTTATATTTTTTTATAATATGGGAGTTACATTTTACCCATAGTTATCTTGACAAAAAGTGAATCTCTTTTTTACTAATGAATAGCCTCCTGAATATTTCTTAAAATGTTTTTGGTACAGCAAAATTTGAAGATGGCACGAAATAGCAGTAGAAACGTCGGATAAGGACCGAAAGGAGGCTGAAAATTCATATAAAGATTTGAATCGAAAGTAACGTTCAAGAAATAATGGCGCGTTGGATTGATTCTTTGTTTTTTAACAAGCAGCGACCGCTACCTCTCACCTAGTTGAAGAGTCCTAGAGAGAAAACGAACTCTTCCTGCCTACACAAATCAGGATCTTATTTTCTAGTGTTGTCATCCTTTGTCAGTGTTCTTGGCCTTCTAAAACTTTACTTCAAATTTCATTGAATGCCACTTAAGAACTCAACGCCTTTTAGCTGGTTCCTAGCAAGCTTTTTCTTGCCAGCTGAAACAAACCACGACGCTGGATTGAAGATCGAGCTACCAAATCATGTGGCTGAGTTCTAGGTCCAAGTGTTGTTGTAGCCAAATGAATTTCCACGCCTTTGTCACTCACGCCACTTTCATGTTCACAGTTTTTTATTCAAGGTATGGAAATACAACTTCACATCCTTTTAGAGTTGTTTATGAGACAGACCAGCAATTATTTGTATGTTTTCAGGTAAACCCTGCTTGCAAAGAAGTCATTCGCGTTGTCCACCATGCAAAGTTGCTTTTGAAGATGTGCTGACGAAAATAGCAAGTATAAAAGACAGCACTGTTGAGCTAGGCGCTGCACAAGGTTTGTCGGAGAAGTACTGTCGCCAGGCCCTAGAGAAGATTTCAAACAACGAGCTGCGGATAAAAGAAACGATTAAACTGGGTGCAGAGACAATGAAGATCGTCAATGGGGAATATCAGAAAGTCCGGACTGCTATGATGTGGTAAATCATTTCTCTGTCTTCGTAGTCCTTACCTTTAAACGCTGTTCGAGGGTACTAAGTGCACCCTGAAGCGAAAGGACACGACATATTATGAGGGTCTCCCAGGGGTTTTCGGGAATAAGGGAACAAATGGTACAGGAACATGGGAACAACTTAAATTTTCCACTGGGAACATGAGAAGATTATTACTAGTTTAAGAGAAAAAGGGAACATTTTTTTTATTTTTCAACGGGAAAACCGGAAGATGTGTTGTTTGTTTCAAAGCACGGGAACAAGTACACCCTCTAGGAGACCCATATTAGGGCATAGCAGCTAGGTAGATTAAGTCATATTTTGACTCATTGAAAGAAAAGTTGGAAAAAATGAATTTAGAAAACAGATAATACTTTTCGCTTACTTTTCTGGCAAACACCAGAATCCTTTTTGTTAAAGGTGGTTGATGGGAAGCGGCATAAACTTTGGAGATTTTTAGGTATTGATGTTTCCTATAATTGATACCCTTATAAGTAGCAAACATTGCACCAAAGCGCTTAAAATCAAGAAAAATGGTTTTAAGGTGAAGAAGGGACTTTAGGCAGGAATTTTGGCCTTTGTGGAAGGCCTGCTGTGCGAGTTCATTAATTAAAGATACAAGAATCTTCTAGAGCGGAGTTGTTTTGGTTGTGAAATTAACGAATAATTCTTTAATCATGAATCGAGTAGTGTTAGAGAAAACAAGGTTATAAGTTGACAGTGCCTTCGGCAACCCGTCTTCCAACTGCTTTCCAATGCACTGAGCCCCATCTTAATTTCGTGAACTGTAAATACTGTTCTTTTCTCCGTGCTGTTTTAAAAAGTGACTTTGCCTGGATTTGGGAAACAATTAAATCATGTGGTGTTTGTGTGTACATATACTGGCTGAGCTGGTGGTGGTATTATCATATCTGCTACAATTGAAAAGCTTGTTTGCTGTTTGCTTTCAAACAGCAATAAAATGATGACTCGTGTGATTATGGTTGTTTCAAGGTTGTTTCCAGTGATTCTCTTATTTAGTGGCGTAGTGGATCTGTTTGGAGGCCTTTAGCCTTTGGTGGCTTAGGTGCCTAACTTCACACAAAAAATTTATGGGATATTGTTGTTAAAACAATTCTTAGAACCTAAGAGTTGAGGCATTTAGCTTTTTGGGACTTTTAGTAGTCTGCCCGGAATGTGACTAGCAGGTGTTACATATCAGCCTTGTAGTTTAACTTCAGCTCATATTTTCATGATGAATTAAAATATAATGATTTATCATGCTTTGAGTGGTTGGAACTGCCTTTCTTCGTGACTTCTACACAATGGAATATAGTAGACCTGTTTGATGCCCTGTGGCAATATTTTTGAGCCGTTTGAACAATGACCATTTATGTAAAAAGCATGGTTGCACATAAGTATGTTGGATAAATTTTAGACAATGTATTTTTGCACTCTTTTCTGTATTGTTTATCACGTTTCCAGTTTGATCTTGATACACTTTATGCAAGGTAATAGCAGATTTTACAAACAAACAAGTACTTGACTGTTAAATTAGTCCCTCAACCCTCCAAATAATTCCATAATGTGGCAAAGTTCAACAAAGTTCCAATTTCTTCAGTTGGAACAAAGTTTTGCTACTTTAGTACAATCTTGAAATAAAAAAGGTATCTGGTTATATCTTAAGGCAAAGATAAGAGGATAAGAGACATTAACCTTCAACAAGTATAGTAAATTTCCTTGCTACCTCTCTAGCTAGAATGTTTGGTCAGATCAAGTAAGCTCAATTCCGTTTAAAAGTCTTTTTGTCCTGATTTTAGAAAGCTAGTTATATTTGCTTTGGTCAAGTTAGAAATTTTAGCTGAATTTTAACCTTGAAATTTTGTTTATTTTATGGCAAAGTCAATTTTCCCTGAGACCATTAATTTATCTGCAGCTTAAGAAAACATATGAGATACTTTGGAAGCTAGTGCCAATGCCGTGATGCACATCAATCTAAATTATCAATTTTGTATTTATTTTAAAGATTGTATAGATTTGCAGATCTATTGTATATATTTTGAGCAAGTGTGTATTTTGACTATAGTACTGAGTGATGAAGAGCAATGTTTTATTTGTTGGCATTTAGTGACATTGTATACTATTTTAACAAAAATAATTGAGCAAATGTGCAAAATTCTTCCTGAATACCTTCTTAAGCTATTATTTTAAAAGGGCAGCCTGGAGTTGCCCTTGGTATATGGATGAATTTGCAGTCTGTGTGATTAAGTTTTGGATCCTATGGACTCAAAAATTAAAACTTTTGATGTTACTTTTTCAACCTATACAGAAAACAAAAAAATTATCTAATGAAAATTTGTGCAAAAATTTCAATTAAAAGATATTGTGTTGTTTCTTATCTCAAATTCCCACTAACAAAAATATGTAATGACCAATAACATTTGTCATGTCACAAGTTCTTCTAGAGCAACTGTTATCAAGCTGGCATTGGCTGCTGTGTCAAACATATGAATCATAATTTATTTTGATCATCATCATATGCAGTCAATGCGGACCATTTTGTGGCAACACCAACAAACACCCTCAATTCATCCCTGCCTGATGCCATATCCTCTTGAGATATATTCAGATATTGTAGAAAAACTACAATTTTAAGACAACAAACACAAAAAAGAATGCATTACTTCAGCCACCAAAATAAAAAATACAAATATTTCATATCTACCTTACTTACAATACTGAAAATTTGATAAGAACAAAATAAAATATTTCCAAAAGCCATTTCCACATACTGATGAGTAGATGTATTCATTAATAAATGATATTCTGCAAATGCTACACTTGCTGAACATTTACACGGGAGCTTATGTTGTAACAAAAGTGTTTGTTGTTATATAAGCTAAAATTGGGGCCCACTTTTCAACAGTATGTCCTTACATCTATTTAATGGAATTACATCAGATATCCCTGTGAATATGACCAATACCTATTCATGTCAAAATTTATAGCTAAAATAGCTAAAATGCACAGTTTTTCATCTGTAGTGAAGATTCAGTAAGGTTGTGGAAAATGATTATAATAATTGTCCCAGGTGCATTTCTGTGGTTGCTTTTGGCAGAAACAGTATTGTTTTGCATTGAACATCATTTGATAAGTCCATTCAAGTGCCGAAACAACCTCACAAAAATACTCCAGGAATTCTTTGTCTCCACCGTCTTTGTTATGGAAGATATGTCACAATGTCCAGAATAGTGTTCAGGTTACAGACAGTATTGTGACTAAATTCAGTTTTACCATTGTATGTACATAATGTATAGCATAACACCCTTGGCATTAAAAACAATCAGTTCAGTAAGCATGATTCATAGGTAGGAATCATGTACTTAATGTTAATGAATGCATCATTTCCGCCATACCTCTCTAGGATCTCTAAAGTCTCGTATATCAAATCTCCCACATTCTCGTTTTTCTGTTGACTGTAATCAATTTTGTCACCACAGTTCAAATTTTTATTCTTGAAAATGTTCAGAACTGGTAACAGTTGCCTGTAGTATGGGACAAGTGCTTCACCAACCATCTCACAAGACAGAACTAAATGCTGCATGATCTTTAAAGTGGTACAAAGAATCTGTGGGTTTCGAGTATCTAGTGCATCCCGCAATGGGACAATCAGCTGTGGCACAACTGGCAAAATTTTGCTGCCACCATGTTCAAGAAGATCATGGCAGCCTTGTCGCGCAAAAAATTCATATGGGTGCTTAACCTCTTTCAAACCATCAAAGAATAGAGGAAGATAATGGTGGTAGTCGAGTTTCTCTATCTCAACTTTCCAGGCAATTTTATTTCCCCTTGTGTCATGTTCCAAGGCAATAGGAAGGTCTCCTCGCTCGTAGAACTTACGAAATAATGTTTCCTTGACATCAGGTCGACTTCTATGTGCGCCTGCGGCAGGAGGACCAATTATCTGTTAAGAAATTAAAGAAAACTCTTCAATCAGAAGGACCTTTTAATCATGCAAAATAAAATCTTGATAGAAAAGAGCAAGAGAGAACGACATGAGGGTATAAAACAGGCATAAACGAGCCTGCAACGTTTATCAACCATTGTCAAAATTTCAGTTGGTTGTCAGCAAACGATGCAAGCCGAGACCAAAGTTCTCAATATAAGGCCGAACTTGGGAAGGTTCAAAATTTGCTAAATATGGGTACACTTGGAACCACCCCTAATGGCATTCCTGTTGGAAATTTTCTTGTGACTCAAAGAAGCATGAAGTTTGATCTTTCGGCGATTAGCGTAGAAGCTAGGCCAGATTTATTTCAAATAAAATGAACAGAAGCCGCAAACCCTTACCTTCGCATTTTCATTCCTGGACATTGTTGTAAACCCCTGCGTGAAGAGTAGCGACTTGTCGGGGTCGCTTTTCTTGAAATCCTGCTGAACTGACGTTGCCATCGAGCTACTGCCGGAAATAAGCTATAATCGAAATGAATTTGACCACACTCTAAATGAGTTTTGCTGGTTTTTGCCTGTCGTTTGTGATCGTCGCTCTATGATGTTGAGGTTGTTGCTATGAAACCACCTTGCAATTTGAAAGCATCATAGAAACGGAGATTACGAAAACGAGGTTGGAATATTGGCTTCGAAGATTTTGTTATTCGGCAGTAACTATAGAAACGAAGCCCTGGTTGTGTTTTGGATATTCTAAAAATGTCTGATTGAATAACAAAAATCTTGATGTAGTGTTGAAGCATCATGGCCTGGCCTGCAAATCAATACATGAAATTAACCCATTCACATACGATTTAATTTCAAAATGCTTACTGTTGTTATATACTTGTGGTAAATGTTCAAAATAGAACGTGTGGTATGTTCTTTAAAGTAAGACACTCTTTACCTATTGATGTTCTCGTTTGTCTTTACCATTTTGTATTTTTAACTTTCCTGAAGTACGGGATTTTAGTTTGGGGTCTCACTCATGAAACTTATATTAATTCAGTGTTTTTGCTACAGAAGAAGTCTACAAGGGCAATCTCTTTTGAACACTATTGTACTTCACACTCTACTCCTATCTTTTCTGACCTTAAAATCCTAAAGCCCCATGATTTTTTCAACTAAAATTGCTAAGCTTTGTTTATGAATCTGTTTTTAAAATCTCCTCTGTTTGTTTTCATAATTCCTTCAAATCTCTAAATCTGTTCATCAATATTGTACACTAGGGTATCAAAAGTATTGCACCACCTCGTTCAAGATGGCGGCACTTTTTGTAAACTTTTTGGCAGTACAAAACATCTGAATGCAAGAACTGGGTGAAATAGGCGTATTCTGTAGCAAATTTCGGCGGGAAAAAGTTGCAAATTTTGCTGACGCCATGGAAAACTTAGTTAGAAATGTTTAAATTACGCAAATACATTTTGGTTTGTAAAAATGTAGACCATGCCTAAGGAAGAAAAATTGTCAAATGAGAGGCGAGTCGCTATGAAATATTTACGGGGAAGTGGTCTTCAATGTTCAAAAAAATGTTGACCAAGATAGATGCACCCACACAACAGCGGCGGGAAATTAAAAAAGATTCCTCGAGAGTGTTACAGTAGTAAAGAAACCAAGAAGTGGGCGACCAAAAATAAATTGATCTTAGAGGGTAACGAACTTATCGGTTTTATTTCACTGCGTTTACACCTAGGGGCAGTAAAAGAAATGAAACTCGATACTGGGCAAGGCTTTGCAGCTCAAAATCCGTCCACAGAAAATATAATGGGTGTTTTGAACAAATACAAAAGAACAATTTACCTGAGTAAAGGGAAACCATTTTTACAAAGAATTATTTCCAAACATAAGAAATTAAAGCTTTGACACAGTCTGAGTAGAGTCCAATTTTAAAAAGTTTGACTTCTCATGAAAAAGGTTACAAACCATGATCCAACTGGTGGTCCAAAAACCAGAGAATCATTAATTCTAAGAGGTTTCCAGGCCTAATAAGAAATTCCACAAGAATACGTTTCCCAAATATATGGGTCCATTTCAAGGAGGCCTTTTTGCGGTTTCAAAAGTTTGTTGCTACCCGTCAAAATATTGAAATTTGAGACTGTTAAAAGACGTTTGCCACTATTATCTTTTGAAAAAATGCTCTAAATAGATTGACGTTTTGATTGGTTGTTGTTTTGCTTTTAACCAATTGTCATTCGCCACTTAAAAACAGAATTAATTTGCATAACAGTAGCTTTCGATCATTCTTGCGCCATTTTTCCTCCTTAGAGGTGGTGCAATACTTTTGATACCATAGTGTACTAGACAGGACTCAGCTGGAAAGAATGACAATTTTCTACCTCAGAAAAATACTAGTCAATATGGTCTCAAGTCAATACGGTACTACAGGGCCGCAGGACGCAGTTTTGAACAGGGGGGGGGGGGCATAACGAATAAAAAGGGCACAAATATTTTTTCCCGAAACATTAGTAAGTGCCAAAAATGGTACAGATTTCACTGTAATTTAGACAATTATAAAAATTATGACACACGTTGGACATAATAATGATATTAATTTTCTTACTTTCATATTTAAAAATTTCGTCCCCCTTGGTATTCGCACCATCCCCACTTAAACACAAATTCGTTCGCCTCCATGGATTTTTTTCTTAAAAGCTAAAAAATTTCATAGGTAAGCCATTTTCACCCAATCGGCTGAAGGTGCGGGGACATTCTTCACTGTCATAGCAAATTTAATTTGCAACATTGATTAGGTTTATCTCTTCAGTCTTATGAACGAAACAAGTTTTTAACTCTCCTTAAACTTGATCCCGGGGGGCTCAGTCTGTTGGTAAAACGTATTACATGTGAGTTCCGAAAAACTCAAAAAAAGCTAGAATTCTGGGACATAGAATCTTGAAAACTGGGTTGCATTCTTAATCAGTCAGAGGAAACACAAAAAAGGGCAGGAATTCAATGATATAATGTTGCAGATAACTTTCTAGATAAATCAATGGCATATTGAAGTACAACAAATTTTGCAGTACGTCTAGTCTTGTATAGTGTTCTAATCCTAGATAAGAAATTTAAGTCTTTGTTAGCATGTACTCATTGCAGGGACACAACTTTTTCATTTCTTCATAAAAAGCATTGAACACAATGTTGTGAAGCAAGCAATATGTTGCAGTTATAGTTTTGCAGATGTCTGATTTTGTTAATATATATGTCAAGAACCACAAGGGATTGTTGTTGAAATCAAATTTAGTAAACTCTGTTTTTTAACTTGCCTAGTCATAAGTTTAAGATGGTTCTTACATGAATTGGTATCAGAAATTCCTGCTCAAGATTGAATATTCTCAGTGAAAAGAGTTTCACAATTTTGGCAAAGTCACAGAATAGGGTACATTTTACGCATCCCAGAATCAGAGATAGGGCTCCAGTTTCTACTTTCAAAAACACACACGATATACGCTGACTGTAAACATTTAAGGAATTTTCAATTAATGGTCCTCCAAACACGCCCAGAGTTATGTTATTTTACTTTGTTTCTAAAGACAGCATATCTAGCATTGAAAAAATGCGTGTACGCAATATATTTTTCAAAAAGGGGCACTTTTTTATACTTTTTGCATTACACCTGCTTTTCTCTAGCCTGTTTATTTCTTTTCCCCTTAATTTATTGCTTCCTTTGAGTTTTTAGCCCCTGTATTTTTGTCGTTTGGTTGCTTTGCCCTTTCAAAAGTTTTGTCCCTTCTATTGCTGTGCCCACTCGATGCAAACGGCTTGCCAACAACCCCAATGATGCATTCAAGGATATGAGAATATAAGACAACAACATGTTCCATTAATGAAAAGTAACAATAAAAGCGACATACATTTAAAATCTGTTTTACAATGAATTAATAAAAAATTTATAAAACTAATAATTAAGCTTTTAATCCTTCGATCTACTGAACTACTGCTGCTTAAAATACGTTAGCTAATGCAGCATAAAGAACCTTTTATATCAAAGCATTTGAAATGATTAAAAAGCCACGGAGTTAATTTACTACATTTTCAAGAAATTCTAACAAAAGTACGTGAAAATGTAAATTCAATTGTTCATCTTTCGTGAAAAGTTTATAAAAATGCCAGGAAGACCGATACTGTTAATCAGAGTTGTTCCAAGAGATGGACGACATCACTTCAAATTTTTTAAATCATTTATTCACTACTGCAGTTTCTATCATCCAACGTACCATCTGTCAATTAGTTATATAGTATTATTATTATTATTATTATTGAGATACCGTAAATCATGGAGTTGACCTACTGGGAGCTTATTATTTTGAGACGTATTTAGATGGGGCTTAATCAAGGTTAGGGGCTTCAACCTCAATGTCTTTGAGTGTTACTTGGACATTTCCAAAGCAAACAAGTATGCAGATGATAGACATGTACAATAATCGCATCTAATGACATAAAAGGGCTCAAATGCACGACAATGAAAGAGTGGTTAAATATCAGTAACTTGTCAAGGGCGAATAAACTGAGTGTGAACCCCAAGAAAACTGAATTTAAGATTATTGGTCATCAACGAAGAATAAATGAAATTGATGACTCCCCTGTGAACCTTAATGATTCTGAAATCATCATCGATTAAGGGTTGAAAAAGAAGTACCATCATCGATGAGGGGTTGAAAAAGAAATACCAATTTGAATCACTGACAGGAAAATTGGCAGGTGGTTTATTATCTTTAAAAGAACTTACAGACGTTCTTCCCCAGTCAAAGTTACGCGCCATATATCATGCTCTCAGTAGGAAAACTTGTAGCTCTTCAACTCGAGCAAATATAAGCCGCTACTTTAAAGAAATTTTTGCTACCAGGCACAGATTTCGTTATGTCTTCTATCTATCTGCTACAGAATAGGGATTTGGGGCATACAGCCCTACATTAAACCACCACTGAATAGGGATTTGAGGCCTAGAGCCCGGAAACAAACCACGGCTTGATGGCTTAATGGTACACAGGGGAAGCGTTGCATTACTTTTTTCTGGTATGCTTGCTATTCTGAGAGTGTAGTATTAGTCGTCTTTGCAGATACAGGGGAGGAAGCATAAAAAGCAGAAGAAGACACCACAGGCTATAGAAACAGACAAAGTTATTCCTCTGGTGAAGTCTATGAATGTCTGAGGACAGTTTGAAGTTCCATTATTTTCCTCATACACTGACTTCAAACTTTCCCCAGAATAATGCGTAGACCCTCCCCAACTAGCGCCCTCCAGAATGAGAAGGCAAAGAAAAGCCATTATACCTCCGAACCCACAGCAACATTTGATAACATTGTTCATTTTATTATGAAGTTTCTCCGTGATAACAATTTTACAAATCACGCACAGCGAACCATATGCGCCAAGGTACAGAACGATTGCAGGCATCATAATTGGACAAACGTAAAGGTACTTTGAACCTGTTGATGAGCAAATTTTTGATTTTACAATGATATTCTTTTTCAATTTAAGAAACGCTGTAACATTGATCTTTACTTTACTATATATGGGGATAATTATCTGTAGACTTCATCAAAGAACATCCACACAGGGGCGTCTCCAAAGGGGGTGGGTACAGGGGGCGCCGTAGCCCCCAAACACTTGGCTCATCGGCAAATGAGGTGTTTTTGCCTGGCAAAAGAAGAAATTTTTTCTCACCCTGGAACCTTTTTGCAACAATTCTAACGTCTTAACATTTCTGTAGTAGTTGAAATTTCAAGTATGGCACTATAATTTCAAAAAAATTTATAGAAACCCATGAGAGCAGCATCTACAATTATTTATCTTGTGGCCACACCCTTAAAGAGCTAGACACGCCCTTTTTAACACAGATAATTTTTGTACTCCGATAAAAGCGAGCTATTCATATTATTGTTCATTAGGCATTAGAATGTTGAAGAAAACACACGCTTTGATTAATATTTTTAAAAGGAAGTAGATATTATAAACTAAAAGTAGGTATCTTATCAACTTGCACTTGCCAATTAAGACAGTAACGTTGAAAAGAAGAGGCTCACAGATTGTAGTCAGGACAATAAAGGGAAGTTTAGCCAGATTCGAGAATCAAATCTCTTACGTTCAGAAAATGTGAGATCATATACACACTTCCTTTTTATTAGAATAACTAATTTTTTGCTGAGCCTCATAATTCTTAATTTTTTTTTATTTCGAGCCTAAGAAGATTATTGGTAAACTTTTCTAAGGGACACAAGAATATGAAACTCACATTTGTTTTGTTTTCCAAAGAACTCAAATAAACAAAAAAATTAATTCTTGTTTGAGCTTGAGCCTTGCGTTATTCTTAAATTATTTCGGCGATCTTGAGCCTTTATATTTTTATAGACTATATTCTTCTATAAGTGTGTAATTGGTTTGAAGTTAGTTTGAAAACGCTCTGGGGTTTGTCAGACGGCCTTGACCAACTGCCTATCCAATGCCAAATTCAACACCGCATTAAGAATATTGGGTCCCTGAGCACAGAATATAATTGGCCCTTATGTGAAGTACGAAACTGATGATGTGATGATGGCTGCACATGAGCCTGAACTAAAATATTATTTATTAAATTTGATTTTGCTCATGTGTTTTAGATACCTTTCCGATAAAACCTGGCGATGCCAGAAAATTTAGGGCCCATCTAACGCTAGGGGCCCATCTAGAGCTAGGGGCCCTGGTCACGGTGCCCAGTGTGCCCTGTGGTTGTTGCGGCACTGGTGCAATTCCAACTATATGCCGCTCTTCTTAGTGTACTCTCCAACCCCACTGAATTTCCATATCTTTAATAAATAGACTTGCTATTGCTAACCTCTTTATGTAACTAAGTGCTTGCCTCCTCAGTCAATTTCTTTTCGAAAAGGCTATGTTAAAAAGAATGTGCAAGTCTTTTCTTAAATATTAAATGTTCAAAAAGTTTTCACCTACCCAAAGAGTTGCCAAACCATGAGCGTTTACATTGAATTATCAAATACTCGGAAATTAAGAGCGAATTCTAAAAACGATGTTTTGAGCATAACCCACAGTTGAATTGATAATAGGCCATGCTTGAAACGTCGTTTTTAGAATTGCTCCCATTTTTTAGTACAATATTACCCGAGTTTTGAGTCATATTGTCGCATTTTATTGTACGACACACAAGCTAGTATAATTATGGGATCGTAAGTTGATGCCTATAAACTCACCCATGTAAATGAATGTTGCTGACAGCAAAAATATGAATATCAAGGCAACTGCTTTAACTAAAAAACAAAAGCTTTGATCTTAGGGTATTATTAAAAAATAAGATGTCACAGAACATACATTTTCTAAAAATATACAAGTATGATATATTATTAGATGCTTCTTGTGATGGAAGGCCAAAGTACTGTGTACTGGCCATCATGTGTCATGGCACTTACAACACTATAACAGGAGGGGGTCTATTAGGGGTTCTCAGCTTCACAGCCCCGGCCTTTGGCAAAGGTTTTTCTGCGCATTGCGGCTGCCGCTTTTGGCTTATTCTTACACGGTTTTGCGGCTTTTGAACCCCCAAAATAGGCCCCCAAGATAAGTGAAACTTCTTGTATTAATTATAAATTGCACATTATGCACACAAGGTGATTTTTATGAAAATCAATGCCATTTTCGTTTTCCAAAGTGGTAATGGAACTCCGATCTTCTTAACTTGGTGACTTAGAATTATATTTAAAAATGAATATTGATGAAATAGTTACCAGTCTCTAACGTTCTGCGATTTGCATGATCTGTAATGTAAGAGAACAATTTTGAAAGAAAGCTACACTTAGATTCACAAACTTAAGAAAGTTCAAAAATCAGTGCAAAATATTGTAAACCAAAGGAGATCATATAAAGATCATATAACACGAAGACTTCTAAAATTGCTTTTTGTATATGTTGGGCAAGCGAAAGACGCTCACTAACAATCTCGTGTGATCTTTGTGTGACCCATAATGCCAAACAGCAGAACTGTTCGAAGTTCTTAGGACTAAATGTCTTTGCTACAGTTTATCCAAATATTGCGTACTAAGGACCCTCTACTGCTCTGCTACAATTTTGAGCAAAAAGTTTAAGGGGACACGTAAAACTTGAGTTGTGTTAGAATTTTTCATTTCCGAACATGTTTTCCTGGTAAAAACCAAGGAAGCAAGATTTTGAACTTTCTTTCTCGATTCTTTCCAAATCTACATGCATGAAATATTTGAATACTGTTTATTATTTTTTATAAATTTGCTTACAGCTGAAAATTCTGCAAGATGCTGTTATTTAAGCTGCTGTTCGAAGTACCAACTCTCACCGGCTTACCTGAAGTTTCTACCTCAACAGCAAGAGACGAATTCTGACCTTCGTGGTCAGTAGTTGCAGCTTGCATGTCTCTGGCATTTTCGTTACTGAGAGTCGAGGCATTCTGCGTGTCTCTGCTGGCGCAAAAGTCATCAATTGTAAAGATTGTTTGGCTCATTGCTTCCTGGTAGCTCGGAGGTAGTGGAAGCTCAATTTCTTCTAAATGCTCACATCTTAATTCTAACTGTACTTCGCGACTTAATGTTCCCATCATCCACTCCTAAAAATAAACAAAAGTTTCTTAGCTTTTCTTTGCCGGACTCGTAATTGTCCTAAATTTCGCTGAAATTGTTTTACCGATTCTACATGCGAGAATAAAATCAAAATCTAAAATCCCTTAAACATTACGAAAGTAACAGTTATTGCAAATTAAGTTTATCATACCAAGTTTATCTCTACGAAGCTATTTTTAAATGTAGAGACAGCATAATGATCCGTATTCAATAGTTAAGTCCTTCCAAAAGAATTTGTTTTGCTGTGCTATGTTTGAAGCGAACGTAATGATAAAAGAGACTTTACGCAGCCAGAACGATAACAATAACGATAACGTTACGGGTCACGAGGTCAGACAGCTAGCGTTTCCGTTCCCGTTGTGAGACAAACTCGATTAAGCAAAATCGCGTGTGCTAGCCAGCCACAGGGGCATGAAGTTTTAACTTTGGCCGGGAAAATTTATTTCTTTAGGAATTTCAGCCCGATCGATACTTTCTATTCTGTTTTGTCAAAAAACAACGATGCCAAAAAATCAGGACGTAGTAAATGCCTTACTATTCGCGCATAATTTCGGATATATCGATGATGTAGAATTCGCATTGCTTTATGATGTAAATAGGCCTAGAAATTTGGAAATCCCCTACTGGCAGTATGATCAATTCGACCTGGAAAACTTATGAAATGACGAATGCAAAGCTGAATTCAGGTTTTTAAAGGAAGACATTTATAGATTAATAAACGTACTTCAATTGCCTCGAGAGCTTACTATGTACAATAGACTCAAAGTAGATGCAGAAGAGGGCTTGTGTTTATTGCTGAAAAGGTTTGCATATCCATGCAGATACTTGGACATGGTTCCCCGTTTTGCCAGACCAATACCGGAGATGTGCATCATATTCAATCACATGATGAAGCTTATAAACGATAGATGGGGGTTTCTTCTTACCCGCTTTAACCAGCCTCATTTGTCCTCTGCCAACCTAATAAAGTTTGCAGCTGCCATTCACGCGAAGGGCGCTCCTTTAACAAATTGTTGGGGATTTATTGATGGTACCGTGCGACCCATTTCAAGACCTGGAAACAACCAGAGAATTGTTTATAACGGACACAAAAGGGTCCATGCAATAAAATTCCAGTCGGTTGCGACCCCGGATGGAATAGTTTCTTTGCTTTCTGGGCCTTACGAAGGGAGGATCCACGACAGTGGTATGCTGAGAAACTCAGGACTCCTCCCCCTCCTTGAGCAGTTTTCTGTTTCTCCAGAAGGGCAAGTAATGTGCCTATATGGGGATCCTGCATATCCGCTGCGGCCCCAATTACAAGCCCCATTTAAAGGGGCACAACTAACAGCAGAGCAGCAGCTGTGGAATGCGAGAATGAGCTCAGTAAGAGTAAGCGTCGAATGGCTCTTTGGAGACATCATAAACTATTTTCGTTTTGTTGACTTTAAAAAGAATTTAAAAATACAATTAAGTGCTGTTGGCAAATGTACAGAGTATGTACACTGCTTAAAAATGCAAGATGCTGCTTATATGGAAGCATGACATCTGAGTATTTTGTTTTAGATCCGCCTCAAATCCAGGACTACTTTGCTATTCCTTGAAAAACAGATAAAATTTTCACAGACAACGATATTTTTTATGACAGAATCTAGTTAAATTTTAAAGAATCATGGCAAAGGAAAGTATGACATTGAAACTGAATGCAGAATATGATATGAATATAAAAACTTTTGATTAACAACTGTAGATAACTGAAAATGACATACAAACATTTTGTGAAGGTTGAGGAAATAATGACAAACGCGACAAAATGATTATAATTATAAGCATTATCTTATTGATATCTTAATTTTTTTGAAATGTTGACACGTTTAATTTGTATATTTAGCAGCAAAATGGCTTTTAGTTTAGCGCGTAGAATTTACAGTAGTAATCATTTGTCTAATTATTTTTCTCAAGCCTTCTCAAAATGTCTGTTAGCATTTGACTTTGATGTTGCTGATTTTGCAGCATCTGCAACATAATCTGATTTTGCTGCTGCAAATGCTGCTCAATCAAATCCAACCTCCTTTCCAAATTTCTCCCACCTAAGCCCTCCCAATCCCTCCTTCTCTGCTCCTCTATAATTGACTTCCTTTGCCTTGCATTTTCCTCGATCTCTTTTTTTCAATTCCAGCTCCTCTCTTTTTATCTCTGCATCCTCTCGCATTTTTTTCTCTAGAAATGCAAAGGTGTCATTGCCAATCGACTTCGTGTTTCTAACTTTTTTTGTTTGCCATCTCCTGCTTCCTCTTTTCTTCTTTTACGGGTCTCCCCCAATGTTTCCAATGACTGCTGTCGTAGTTCTTTTGCCTTCTCCACATCTTCTACTCTCTTATCTACCTTTTCCTTCTCTGCTGCCTGTTGATCAAATGCAGCTGACGAAAACACTTCAAGAAGCTCATCTAGCAAAATGTCAACTTCTGTTATTTCTGGCGAAATACCGCTAGCTCGCTCTTCTTCCCGGTTTACCACCTTTCTTTTCTCTATTAGGGTCTGAAAATGCTCCCTAACCGACCGTGCTGTGCATTCAAAGTTGGGAGACTCAATCTTATTCAGCCTGTCAGCTATTTGCTTCCAACCATCTCCTCTTTCCATACTCCCTGGCTTTGTCATCCAAATTTCAGAAGCGTTTACATCTCGAAACATCAAAATGTCATGCTCCTTCGACCATTTGAATCTTTTGCTAAAAATCCAACTATTTTTTAGGGCAGTCAAGCTGAATAAGGATGATTGAGAAAAAAATTCTTGGCAAAAACCTAGCTTTAGAGAAAGAACAAATGTTCCCCCCTCCCCCAATAAATCGTTTCTTGTCAACATGATTCCACTCTTTTTTTATAAGAACCAGTAAATATGAGTTCAAGTTGATTGTTCTCAATTTTTTCGAAAATCTGAGACTGGATTGTTCTTAATTTATTCTTGAATTTATATGGTATAAGCAGTGCGATTTATAGCTTTTCGTTCTGGGGTGGTGTTCAAGCCTCTTTTGCCAACAAAGTGCGTGAGACAACCTTCATTTGCCGCCGTGTTTGAATATTCACCGAAAAAGCACCAAAATATGGCTAAAAATCTCGTTTTTGAGATAAAACGTTGTTCAAAATTTCATTTTACAGTAGCTCAGTCACAGGTTGATCTTAAATTGTTCTTAACTTTTGACCTATTTTGATGCTCGTGTTCTTATAAAATTGCTCTTTAAAAGAAGACTGTAATAGGGCCCAGTTTACAAAATTCAACATTATTTTGTTGCTAGAAATCCCTAAATCCTTTTAATCTAGACCAAGTTGAAAAGGGGGCTTTTTTGTTTTGAAATGTAAAGATTGATAGCAAAGAAAGTGGTATGGCCCTTACTGCTCGATCAAAGAGAAAGAATTTCGTAAACTTGAAGAATCATACCTTTGTGTCTTGACAGCAGCTGATATAGACGCCATTTTTAACGAAAAGTTGGAGAAAAATTGAACAAACGAAAAATTACTAGACAAATTTTCTAACGTTTTGCCAGAACGCTAACCAGGGTGAACTAAGGTTGTAGGAACAATCTCCCCGCGAAAAAATGCCAAATATGCAAAAGCGTAGGCGTCCCTCCAAAAACAATAGGGCGATGACGCACTAAGGTTATCGTTACCGTTACCGTTATCGGTCTGGCTGCGTCCCTAATTTCAAAATAGCCCCTTATATGTTATGTTGATCGCCATCACAGGGGAATCCTATTCAATTCGTTTCTTGCTAGAAGTTTACTGCGTACGGTTGTGTCATGTGATGGCGCACGTTTCCTCATGATTGCCGCCGCTGTGTTTCGTTGAGAACTTTTATTCCTGGTGCAAGCATCCGTATCAAAGTTTGATCACAGATTCTGTGGTTTGATTTGATTATTTTGTCTAACAGACATATATGTTTTTATACTTTTTCCTTGCAATATTAATATATTTTCGTAGCAGCAAAAACAAAATTAAACCGATCATAGAAGCTCGAGCGAGAAATGTGGCTCTGGTAACAGGGTAGGACGGGGAACTGAAAAATACAAAAACGTATTAGAAAGGTTTGTAATGTAGTTTGATAACTGGATATTTGTCTGATTTTGTGTTTTAGCATAAAGAATCAAATGATAAATAAATCTAATTAAGCCTTCTCAAAATTACAGAATTATTTTGCCATGCAAATGCAAAGTTTGAAATTCAATGGTTAATTCAAGTAACTCACTGGTCACATTCTTGCTTCTTTTTGCTTCTCGTCTTTCTTAGAATAGTTTCCATTTACAAATCTTTATTTCACGCGGCAATCATATTCTTTCTTACATCAAAAAATGGTTTGGCCATCCACGAGGAAGCGTCTTGTGTTTACATCAATTCAGGCTTTGTCTTCGGTGCTAGCAGACGATAAAATGAAGTTTTCAACAGAAACAGGAATTAGTCTTCAACAGCCAGACCTTTTTTCCGTGGGTATGAGCATGGATATTGAAGGTAGAAAAAGAGAGAGCGTCTCTTCTAGCTTCCCTTTCCGCGCTCGAATTTACGTGCTCTTACTCAGGGTTTCGAGGTTTCAAATTTAATCGTGTCTCATATGTATAAAACCGTCCTTCTTGCAAGCATGAGTAAATATTGAAGGTATCAGGGCCGTCGATAACGGGGTGGGAGGATGAAGCCCCAATAATTGTCAAACTGTAGCATATTTACTCATTGATTCTTAATTTTTTCCGAAAAAGGGGATGTTTTCACCTCGATTAGCTTAGCTACTTAGAGAATTTCTCCTTGAGAATCCCCCCTCATACAAACCCTTTAATATCGCATCTTTTTATCTTTTTGTGTATTGTTGTGTTATTAATTATTAATCTGTAGTTTCTTCTGATATAAGGTGTTTAACATTAGAGTGTTTTGCATGTAGTGGAGTTTGAAATGGATCTTTCGGGGTCTTTCAGAAAATATTTTAGCCCTAAAGTCTCTTAAAGATGGCTTCTTATTTAAAAAGGCATTTGTCTACTTACTGTACGTTGTGACTTACTGTTCGTTGACATTTGTCTACCACCTGCTATACTTAATCATAAATAACATAAAAAGTACTAAATGTGAATGATAAAATATTTATAAAAGCTTTATCATAAGTGCAATTTGTGTCGCTTACAAATAGGCAATTTGCAAATCCCCTGTATATTTCTTTATATAAACGTTCGTATGATGTCTTCATTCATAAATTGATTTGTCTACTTACTGTAGTCATTCATCTATACTAGTAGTAAGTAGTAAGTCTCAAAGCGGAGACATCCAAATAAACATAAGCCTTAATTTCTTACATACATACTCAAACTTTTAACATTTCTCCTTTCGGTCCTATGGAAAATTTTTTGAAATAACACCCAAATGACAAGGCATTCTGAAGCGACATCGGAAAGAACAGAAAATCAATAGTACTGAAATTTTCCCTTCTCTAACCAAAGGGAACATCATGGACGCAACCACAGGCCCTGGAAGCTTCATGATGCGGCGGGGTAGGAATCGCAGAAAGGGCATCGTGGAGTGACGAAACTCTGCCCTGGGTTAAGTGCTTATGCCAAAACGTTTATGCGAGTATCAATTGCGTTTTACTATATAGGTTGCAAGGCAAAATACATAATTTGCCCTTTAAATTGTTTTGCGCCTTTAGTCAATGACCAAGTATCATGTTTACCTTAGCACTTTGTGTAAAAAAATGATTTCCTTAGTTTCCACAGGCCACAGTGCAAATTGGCCGTTTGCTGAATTAAACTGCATCAAATATAGCATTTCTTTGTTACAGGTGTCACTTCGATTTTTTTATTTGCCAAAACCACAAGCGTCAAGGCAGCTTTGAAGACCTCTGAGATTAGGGCAGATTTGAAATGAAAAACATGACTGATCGCGATTCTGCATGGGCTGTGATGCACTGTGAGAATCCAAGTGGTAAGAAAGAATAAAGGTTGGACCGTCGATTTAAAATGATGGAAAATGGATGACCTTAGTGATAAGAATTCAAAACAGCATGCTAAAACATGTAAAACACAGTTTAAGTCTAGTAGAAAGAATGGAATTGTTCCGACTACAGGTTGTGGCGATTCTGCAAGATGGTCTCTGGCTAAAACTAGCGATGATAAAAAATGGGAAACTTCTTGTTGCCAGTTAAACTATAGAAGATTTTCGGCACCAGCCAAGGGTTACCGCGAAGCGACAAAAGGTGTAGCAAAAAATCGTTTGCTAAACGGTCGGGCTAGGGTTGGAGAGGGTGTCGATAAGAACACAAAGGAGGGAAAAGAAAGAATTCGACAAAATTCCGTACCAGAAATGGGCTGTATCGCTGAGGAACAAGGAAATAATCGGCTACATAAAGACTTGAAACTTTGTAAAAGACATGCATCGAAAGAGTACCTTCTTGTTGACGCTATGTATACAAAAGAGCTAGATGGAGAAGTTGAATCAGTCTCAAAGATTGAATCCGTCACGAGGAAGAATGGCGTCGTTAACCCGCCTATCGCAAATCTTCTCTTGCGTAGGAAATCACTGTCCTTAGCCTTATCATCAAGAAATTCATCGAAAATATCACTTGAATTGGAGACAAAGAAAGAAAACTGTACCAGTGCAAAATCACTAAGGAGAAGACAATCTCTAGCAGGCGCGAACAGCTTTACTTCTGTTTCAAAGAGGAAAGACAGTGGTGCGATTTCAAGAACTAGAATCAGCCTTCAAGAAGAATTATTCTCCAAATGTATCTCCCAGAGATATAACATAAACTCAAAAAGCAAGGAAGCTTGATAACTCGAATGAATATCGAGGTTATTTTAGATTCTCTCATCGTTAGATGCTTTGTTCTTAATTTGAAAGTCTCGATGCCATTCTCCAATGAAAGACTTGTTACAGTTATTGGTAAACAAATATCATTGGTTTGCTTCCCGTAGAAAATCGCTCTAATAGAAACTTCCAAAGCATTTTAGGGTAGATAATTCTTTCACCTGCAACAAAGATGCTTTCTATAAGTCAATTTTTGCTCTTTTGAAATTGATCAACCTCTGAAACGTCTGTTACCAGCACATTAAATAATGTAATAAACTCTTTGGATAAGTTTTTTTTGAAAAACCATCTATAATAATTTGAAAATTTATGTTGCAATAGTTGCTAGTTTCTGAGAGCGAATGGACACGTCCTTTCAAAAGTGTCTTTATGATTATCTAAATTAAGATTGTATTCTGAAATCCTAAAGTAGTTGGCTTGTATTTTATAAAGCGATGGCTGTTTGGAATCTGAATTTGTTGTTAAGTTTCTAAAGATCTGCAGATAAGTCTTTAAAAATAATGTCAATTTGTGTTGGAAAGAAATAATGCTTTCGGAAAGGTATCCTCGTTTGCCTTCTCTTGATTTCAATCTTATAATCAACGCCTTTCAAATAGTAGCAGCGATGCTATGCTGACACACATAAGAAAAAATATACTTGTTATTTGCTCTCAAACATTGTTCTCAAACAATATTGCATCCATCTTACGATTGATCATAAATAAATTTCCTCTCTTTGAATAAAAGTTTACAGATCTAGAATATTAGAATATATTTGAAAAAAGCAAATATTTTAGAACATACTTAAACTTTTCGTCTGACACTCTTCAGAGAAGAAAACTTCAGAACATAGATCGAAAACTCTACGCTAGGAATTATTAATATCCAGTTGTGGATCGAAATAGGCCAATCAGAGACGCAAGCACATGACTGTCGAGGTTGCCCGATCAGTGCCGCTTTGCTTGCCTATTGAAAATGTTACCAATGGAGTTCTGAGGTGGAAGCAAAATCTTTCTGTCTACCATTTTTAGATTTTGTACCACAAAAAGATTATTTACAAAAATCCTGAATACAAATCTATTTTTTATGATAGTTTTAGATGCAAAAGGTAACTGATTTATAAAATTGATATGCAGTCGGGTGGAATCTTTATCTTTGCTGTCAACTATGTTCCTCCATATTAGATAGTCTCTTTGGAAGTTATGCCTTTTCTTTGGATTCGTTTTTTGTCAAATTGCATCGCATTCAAAGTTCTAACCAAAGCTCCATAATAAATCATACCCAGAAAGGTTAGACATCTAGTCTACAGGATGCCAGGTTACTTTCTCAATAACCTCTTCATTTGTCAGTAGTCTATTTTCGACCTTTTGTATGAGATTTGCAGTAATGCTATGTTGTCTGTCCATAGCACTCATGATGACATCCAAAAGTTTGTGTCCCAAAAAAGAAATCCAGAATGTCATGAAACTAAACGCAAATTCGAAACATATCTACTCTTGAGCTTCGTTAGTACATACCTCAGTTTTCTCGTGACGGGCTCATTCAGTCTAATATCAATTTTTTTGCTAGTTTTGTAAGATGACTTTGCTAGTTTACTTTGCTAGTTTACTGTAGGTTGACTTTGGTAGGTAACATATTTATTGTCGTATATCAAACACAATGAAAAACACAAGGGCTAAATGAAACCCTTGTGGACCTCCAAATTTCGCCCCAAATTCCGCGTTCCTCAACCAGGGGCATAGGTAGAGGGGGTTTAGCCGTCATTATTTGCCAATAAGTTTGCAAATTTGCCGACTAAGTACCCCTACATGGCAAAAAACTTCTCGTTCTCGCAATATACTTTTTTCAAAGGGGGTGTCTGTCACACCCCCATACGCCTCCTTTTTACGACTGGCCTGACCACAATCATCAAATATACAGTGGAAATTTTATCATAGCTTTGAAGTGGGAATTCAGTAGTTCTGATTTTTCGATATAATCAGTTATCAAACATTTGTCTTCACTTATAAAAAGATGAATCTTTCCATTTTTACTTTAGCTTCCTACTTTCCGAAAACCAGCGCAAGTAGCTGCATTGTAGAATTGTTCTTTCCTTTATTTTCCTATCCTTTTCTTTATTTCCTTTTTTAACTATGTTGTGACCAGGACAAGGCATACATACAATTCGGTGACCGCAAACCGCAAACTGGAGCCAAGCTGAACTGTATCGATGGATCGACAATATGAAGAAGGTGGAAACTATAATCACTGCCAAAAGTCTTGGAACACTAACGTCAGTTACGTCAGTAACGTTCAGCCACCCCCCTCTCCACCTAAGAACGATGTTAGTTTCCTTTTCCCGTTATTAATTTAGTAGATTTTTTAATTTGTAAAGTTTTTGGCACGGCCCCCTGAAAATCAGTCATGACTGACGGGGCTACCGTGCATAAATAATTTTAAAATAAAAAAAAATGATTCACTATAGAAAAAAGAAGGGGTTGTGGATTACGCTTTTTCGTGTCCTTGTATCATATTTTTCTATACTTTCATGTGATTGTAAACAACTCCGTGCGACACCTGCATGAGCCCTTTGTTTTCAGCCTCGATTTTGTTCAGAGGCCAGTTTTAAAAAGCAAAATAGAAAAGATTCTTTTTATATTTGTATGGTTAATAACTTCACACGAAAACTGTTTATAATAGTTTTACCTTAAAAGAATTATCTGGAATTTATCAAGATCGTAAATGACATACCGGGACAAGGCTCATTTAGGGATTATTTGGTTCTTTGTGAGCTGAATTTCAAATGAGACTGACATAGGCCCAAAGGTTGACAAGGCCAGAATTGTTCCACAAGGTTGTCAAGGATGATTCCAACCATTGGCATAGTATTTGTCATCGTATTTTGGTTAATTGTCTTCTTGACTGACAGGATACTTTCGGTAAGTTATTTCTAAGACAAGTTTCGTCAACTCAACCCAAGTTGGCAATTGGCATTGAAAGACGTAGACAATACTTGGTAATTATCGGTTGCTAGGTTTAAATAGAAAGAAACTTAGTGTCAAATAAGTAGAAATTCTTATTGCTAACATTTCATTGTAAAGGCCTAACATGCAAAGTCAATCCAGTACCTCTACACAGGCCCCCAAAAAATGTTGCCTTGCCCTTATTAGAAAATGTAAGCAATTGCAATACTTTCTTACCAATATATGGTCCCACTGAAGAAGTAATCTTGAAGTAACAAAGCAATCAAGGGAAGACCAACAAACTACTTTGGCAACAAACTCATTTTTTTAGCAAGAAGTCATAAAAAATTTGCTGGCCAGCCCAAGTGGTAATTTTTTTCGTAATCTACTTTTGCTTTTTGGGATTATAAAGTGACTTTTCATAAAACTATTATATTAAGCTCTGATTTCTTTATTTTGAATTCATTTTATTTTAGTCCAGAAGATTTGTGGCTCAGTACAGAAAGTTACTGGAGAAGACTGGTATTACTGTATCATTTCTTCAAATTAAATCATACACAAAATATTTCAATAAATGGTTCCAACAAATTGGCAAAATCCACGGACCTTTAATGCAGTTATGGTTCAATGGAGGTGTGATATTTGGTGGCTTTGCTATGGTATTCTCAGTGTATATTCTTAGTAAGATGCTTTATAAAAACATGACAGAAGAAAAACCAGAACAGATGCTGACACCTGTTGTAAGTATTTTTCATTCAATAACTTATGTAGATATTATCAGTGCTTTTAAGTTATTTTGTAGTTGATGGTATTAAGAAGCTATGTTTTAAAAAGCATTTTCAAGAACGCTACTTCCTCTAAAAGGGCCATGGGTGCACAAGTCTTTGATAAAGGTAGACACTTTCAAAATTTTTACCTCATTTCACTCAGTTAGTTTGTCATCAAAAATGACTATTTGCAAATCAAATAGAAAAAATTGAAATGGCTTTGAAAAATGGAAGGCTTTGCCTGTCTCTCTACAAGCTAGTCTCATTGTTCAAGGAAAGGTTCATGCCATGAAGATGGATGCTAGACAAGCAAAAGTTTTAAAGGATGAGCTAACAAGCTTAAAAAGTTCCCATTTTGAACTTACATTTAAAAGAAAGTTATGACAAAAGTTTGATATTTTTCCTCTACTGTTTATTAACAGTCAAGATTTAAGATTTTTTAAAGATTTAAGTATTCTTTTTCGGAAGGGCACATTTTTAGGGTAGGCACTCTTTTAAGATATTGATGGTTTCAGGGTGGGAGGGGGGAGGGGTGGTGCTTTAGAAAGTGGGTGCTTTCAGAGGAAATATGGTATGCAAATAAAATGTGTGTAAATAGAATGAGACTTTAAGTATTTTGAAATCTTTTACAAGGAAGCAATGTCAAAGTAACAATGATTAATATGTAAGAAAAAGATTTGAAATCGATATGACTATATTTCTTATTCAGTCACAAAATTGCCAACATCTACCATCTAGTAACAAATTTTCCTTGATTTTGTAGATACCTGGAGTCAATATTCCATGGCAACATTTAATTTACTACTTTCTAACCCTGGCTGTTGGGGGAACACTGCATGAAATGGGCCATGCTATTGCAGCTGCAAGGTTTGCAATCTTTAAATCATCAATTAAAAAAGCCTTTCTTCCAATTTTCTGTGGACATTTTCTCTAATATCAGTAAATCATAGTTTCTTTATTGCTGTTTTCTGTTTTTTGTTAAGCTAAACTCACATTTTAATTATAGTTTTATTATGATACACAAAAAAGGAGGTATTGAGGAACCCTCAAACTTAAGACCTGTCATTCTCCAAATGGTCCCTCTAAAAATCTCTTGACTTTGAGGTTTTTTATTTGATTTCCACAAACATAATGGTATCATCGAGCATCAAATTCAAAAGGGTTTCACCCATCAAATGTCAGGTACACTAGAATACAGTGTAATGATGAGCCATATAATCGATAAAGCTTGTGAATAAAAGAACGGCCTCATCACATTGTTTAATGTAAAATATGCCTTTTGATAAGTTCATCATAATCCAATCAAGTCTGCTCTGTCTTATCACCACGTGCAAGAGAATATCCAATCTCTAATTCAAAGTCCTTGCATAAATTTCAGAACCTCTATTATCACAAATAAATTTGTTACTCCTGCTATTTGTGTTAAACGTGGAGTATTCAAGGTGATTGCCTCAGCCCCCTTTGATTTAATTTGGGATTTGAAACCTTTATTCATTGCATAGAGGAGTAGACAAACGCACAACCTTTGGTATTAAAAATTCCTCAACACTAGACATTCTCTATAATTCAGCCAAAGCACTTCATCAATAATGAAATGGCCCCTCTTGTCATAAATGGATAGTCTTTTTAGTATCTCGGGCATCATTTTGACTTTCATGTTTGTTAATCTTTCTATCAGTTCCCTAGGTATCTGTGGTCTCTCCTGCTCCTATTCCGAACCATCTCCGCTTCATGATCTCCAAACTATCCAACTTAGCTATATATACTACCTATTACATTTTCTGCCGCAGGAACACTTCTTGGAATAATCCTGAACTTCTTCAGTTCTAATGATCTCTGCTACTGACAACTTCTTAAACAAACAAAGACGAATATACTTTTTTCTTTTTTGTCTTTCTTATTTCATTTTGTTTGTACTTGTAATAATTTTTTTCTTTTCAAAGCCAGGCTAGCCAATTGCAAATTACCTTTGTTATGGAGAGATTTGTAATGTATTTAAATTGAAACTTTGAAGTTGGCAGATCAAACCCAGTTGCATAGCTGAAAATATTTGAATCTGAAATCACTAAGAGAATTATGTTTCATCATTTATGATGATTCCTGTTTACAGTGTGCTCATTTACAATTTTTCTTTTCCAGGGAAAATGTCCGTGTTCTTGGCTTTGGTTGGTTCATTTTGCCAATTTTTTGTGGGGCATATGTTGAACTCCAGACTGACCATCTACAAGTGATTTCAGCCTTTCGCCAACTGAGGATTTACTGTGCTGGCGTCTGGCACAACTGCATCTCTGCGTTGATTGCCGCAGGCCTTTTTTTCGTACTACCATCCATCTATTTGCTGTTTTATTCAACTGAAGGTGGAGTTGTTGTATCGGATGTTTACAAGGTTTGTATAAAGTTTGTTGTTTTTAAAATTGTGTTGAGTACTTTTTTGGAATTGAGATTTGCACAATGGCTTTCTCTGATTCTAGTGGAAAGTATCAAGGACAGGATTTTCTTTCTCGCCTTCTTATTAGTCTCATGTATCTCATTTGCTATCAGGATGTAATTATTCTGATTTTTCATCCACTTGGAAATGGCAGAAACCTTCAAAGTAGGACCAGGGGCACAGGGGACATGTGCCCCCCATTTTGCAGAAACAGTTGTAAATTGCCTATTTGCAGTCCACAGAAATGCCCCTGTTTGCTTATACGTAGCCCCACTTTTAAATGTATTTTACATCTTTGGCAGAAATATAAGATCTCCATGCAAGTTCCACCCTTTCCATGCCTTGTCCCCAGAGCCTGAAAGTATGGTGGTTTTGTAATCAAAGACCATAAATTTGGTTAACGAAAGAAGTTCAAGAACGATGCGCAAGCACAACATTTTTTCTTAAAAAGACTGAAAGGAATAAAATGTTTAGGAATAAAATGTTTAGGAATTAAATGTTGAACTGAAAGGAATAAAATGCGGACATATTGTGATCTTTCTTGGAGCTTTTCATCATCTTGAAATTAGTTTTTTGTTTTACGAGATTCTGATTATTGATATGCAGATACTTTAGTGCTTTTGCTCTCAATTTGCTCTGTTTTTCACTTGTCTGAGGTTCGCAACACGTGCCCAAAATACCACTTGAATGACTGTGTTGCCTAGAAACCGCTCCTTGTTTTGGTTTGCTTCTATGCTGTATTATATACTAATCGAAGTTATATAAAGCAGTTTAACTTACTAGTCATGAAATCGTTTACTTCAAAACTCTTGTTTGCCAGGAATCTGTTGTTTTTGAAACATTACCTCGTGGCAGCGTCATCACTACAATCAACAGCTGCTTGGTGAAAACAGTGCCTAGTTTTGTTACCTGCGTCAATGATGCTTCGCAGAAAGGAAATATCGGATATTGCCATTCGATGAATGCCATTATCAGGAGAAACACATCAACCCAGCGTAAGGGCTTCTGTATTTAAGTGATTATTGGTTTTGTTAAGCATGGCTAAGAGAAACCTTTAAGGATTGCTTGAGAGACAAACATTGATGTTGCCGAAGTTTCTAGAGAGGGAATTTCGGGCACAGTAACGTAGATCAGAAAATTCACAGGAGGGGCAAGATATTTAGGTTTTCTGTTGAAAATCCAATAAGTATTTCATTTTTCATAAACGCTGAACATAGCATAACGACATTAGAACTGAAAAAAAAAACAGAATGTGAAATCTTATCATTTTTATTTTTTTGTCAAAGGTGCTCTTAATTAAACTATTTGAAGATTTTCTGCTCTTCTTCTCAAAAAAGGCATTTTTAAGTAGCATGACCTTATTGAAAGAGACTGACAATTTGATTCAGAACGACGGAAAGAAATCTTTATTTTCAGCTTGAAAATATTTCCTCTTACAATGTAGCCGACAAGATCAGAAGTTTCTAACAAAATAACTGTTTAGTTTATCATTTTGTGATAAAGACTCTAATCTTAGTAAATGTAGTTAGCCATTTTGTTGATAGAAAACCCAATTTTCTGCCATACCAAGAAAATTTTAACCTTCTCGGGTTGCTATGTAGATTGAGGGAATGTTCTTATGCGCATGTTTTTAGTGTCACATCTTTGTTGTAGATTTATCTTGGAATGGACACGAGCCCGAATGCTGTGGAAAAGATTCCCCTTCAAAATTTTGTTTTTCTCACACAATCGATTCTGTCCTGGTAAGATCCAGTTTGTTTTATAATGCAAGCTATAAATGGCATGTTTCTTCTAATTGGTCAATCATATTGTTTCTTTTATCAACATGATCAGAAGCTGTAGGAAGGGGGTATACGTAGGCAACAAGCGCTAGTGTTGATTCGAATGCGTTGATTGGCTATAGCCAAAGCTAAAGCTGTATATACTATTGCTAATTATATGTACATTCATGGACGCCGAGAGCTACACCAGGCCCAGGGGCACGCCCAGTGCTTGGGCTCCTTCATATCCAAAGCAATAAATCTAAATTAAGTTTAATATGGATTTAAAATACAAAGAACTTTCTTTATTAACTTTCAATTTATGTAAAATAAATTGCCATATGTCGTAAATAGAGACAGTTTATTTACCAGTGGGCCCCTCTTTGCTTACGTACCCAGGACAATTGCCCCCTTTCCCCCTTGCCCCCTCTCTCGGTGGGCCTGTGCAAATTAGTGACGTTGAACTTTTCAGAACTCTTTGTAATGCGCCACTGAGAATGACAAAGCATGCTGCTGAAGAGCTGTGTAAGCCACTGTGCTAGTCAACTTAAGTCTTCAAACATCACTGTTCACAACTGTAGTAGAGAAATCTGGCAAAGTAACACCAATCTTTAAATCAGGAGACCCCTCAAATTTAGATAATTACAGACCTATAACAGTTACCCCCGTTTTATCCAAAACCCTGGAAAAGGTCGTCTTTGACCAGCTGTCAAATTACCTTGAGTCAAATAAGCTATTATGCCCACATCAGTTTGGGTTTCGTCAAGGAAGATCATTGCAGTACGCAGTAACTCTGCTAACAGAGGAGATAAGACAAAACATTGACAAAGAGCTCTGCACCAGTGTAGTATGCATCAATTTTCTCTGCATCATGCAAGACCTTTGACTCTGTATGCCACGCGACACTACTTCAGAAGTTACCACATTATGGTATCCGAGGCGATGAACTTGACTGGATATCTGACTATTTTTACAATAGAAAGCAGTTTGTTTCTTACGAGAATGTCAATTTTATGGCGAAAATATAGATTGTGGTGTACCACAAGGATCAATTCTAGGTCCACTCCTCTTTGAGTTAATGATAAATGATTTTGATCAGGTGCTCCTCAAGACCACACAATCTTGTACGTAGGTGGTACTGTTGTATATTGTGTTGCAAAGAACTCAAAGGAAACTCCTAAATCATGATCTGAGGAATTTAAAAGACTGTCTTGATCGCAATAATCTTTTTATAAGTCAGAAATAGGGCAAAACTGAATATTGAATGTTTTTCAAAAACTATAATAATTGGCTTATTGTGATCTAAAGTTTTATCCATTTGAACATCCGGCTTATTGTGGTCTAAAGTTTTATCCATTTCAACGTTAAGTCCCATAGTAAACGTAACATTAACTTTAGTCCAACAGTAACTATATGAGACTGCCCTTCTCACTGCGAATAGACTAATCGCAGTGAGACATGCTTGCGATAAACAGTTTCAATACCAAAAAGAAAAATGGCCATTTTGGTCTCTTTTACTATTAATGGTGGAGTTCGTATAGTAAGTAGGTAAGTATCGCAATGATGTATAAAACCCGAGCTTTGCCTCTATTTCAGACTTTGCTTTGGTTTCATTTTAGACTCACTCGTGTTTGCCCGCCAGAAAATTTGTTGTCAACGACTCCCCCTGCTACAAAAACAGTGACTGCAGTGACCCAAAGGCTGGGATTTGCGTTGTACCCTTCACCAGCAAAGAAAATAGGTTTTTAAAGTTAACACACACACTGGGACAGGATGTGCTTTTCGTTGGAAACCCCTACGAACTATTAGCACATGGTATGTTTTTTGAGAATCTCCTGTCCTTCTTTGCCTATTGTCCATCCAGGTGTTAGAAATCTGCTTTATATCAATTTTACAATTTACAGTCTTCGTGAATGTTTCGTAGTTAAAGCTACAAACATCTATAGTTTTATTTTTAGGTGTTGGAAATTCTAACTGAGAAAACGAGCTGTTTTTTTCTGCGATTGATCAGGTCCTCCGTCGCAGTGCAAAGGACTCGGAAATAAATTTATCAAAATATGACCTTATTAGGCCAGTTATAGGAAATGGAATTGACAATGAAATCCACATCCATCTGTTTCCCAATGTATGCAGGACAGGTGGATGATTGACCAGGGGCTGCCTCTTAGAGTCGAAAAAATTCGTTGGATCTTAACATCAAACAAAAGTTTTGGTACCAGGAAATTCAATCGTTTGTCGCTATGCACGAGTTGGCCATATCTTGGTACACCAATATATGCTTTCATTTGTCATATTTGAAATTAACGTAATCTTAGATACTTTGGTTATACGTTTCGTAAATGGAAAATTCCACCTCATGACAACTTATGATAGTCCTCGATAAAACATTTGATATTTTGCATTCTATGATAAAGAAAAAGAATTTAATGTAGAAAAAAGTTGAAACTTATGGTCATTGCTACTGTGAAAAGTGAATCCCGAGCTTACCCTAGTTGCTGATCTTGTTCTTCTTCATATTTCTTTTTAGTTTCTGTGAGTGACTACGTACCAAAGTCCAGTTTCATCCCCTTGGACATTCCAGATTACATTCAAACACTACTTGTGTATCCTTTTCTTGGAGTGTGTTTCTGTTTCTACAAGTCCTTGATTGTTAAATAGATTGCTTTTCATGTTCAAGCATTTCCTAAAGTAACAAAACTGTAAAATATTTCAGGGAAAAATTTACTGTAATTAATAGAAATGATTTACATTGGGGCTGCGGTCACTGCACAGTTCCCACTCTCTTCAACAATGCAGGGTTTAGAAAAGGCTTATTATTGTCACCCCAAACCTACTTTTATACTCCAATAGGCAGGGTCAAGGAGCTCAAAGCTACACCACTGAGGGTTGGGGGGTTTGTACATGGCATCGAATGGCATCGCATCGCATCGAATTGGTGATTTTTGCCTCATGATTCCCGACATGTTACGTAGATTTCCGAATTCCACCGATGAGTATAACACTTAGAATGTGTCCACTCTGTCCAATATTCTAGATTTTGTATAAGATAATTTTCTCATATAAGAAGTCCCTGTATACAAGGTTGGTTGTGTACCGTACTTGGATCTGATTTTCTGCTTCGGTTTATGTCTCATGTTCCCTCCTTAATAACGTATCCAGATATTTCGCTTCACTATCCGGTGCCTTGGCCATACTCAATATGATACCTTGTTACTGCTTAGATGGTCAGTGGACTTTGCTGGCGTTCATGGAATATTTTCTAAAAAGATTAGTAAAAAGTGAAGTTGTCAGGATAGCAATGTACCACGTGACTTTACTTCTTGGAACGGGTTTGTTACTTTTGAATCTCGTGTTTGGTCTCTGGAATTTAAGGGGTCAAGGAATTTTATCTTCGGTGCCACAAAGTGGCGATAGTAGCTCGTAGATCATATTTTTACCTCATAACTGTACATAGATCATTTGTATTATTTCATTGCATTAAATACAAACTTTGCATCCATTTTTTCTGTGTTCTTTTCAAGTTGATTTTAATTGCCTTATGCTGCAAATGCAGGGACCGATGAAAACAGGTCGTTCAGTCTTCGGTCTTTCATGTTTTGTATACTATAGTGAGACCAGATATCCCGGAACCCGAACTGCATATCATCTTCAGTCGCCTTAAATGGTGGGCCTACGTTACTTATTGTACGTTACATAATAAGAGAGATCCTGTGTTGCCCTCCGAACCCATTACTGTTTTTACCTTGCTCGTTAATTTATCAAGCTCCGGTTCAGATCCTGTGCAAACGGTTGTTCTGGATGTGATCGGATACATAAAACTGGTCGGACCATTCGACAACCCTCCAGTTGTTTTACAGCGGTTCCCTGACTCTGTCGCCCACCCAAGGCACTTTACCAAGATGTAACCAATACATATTACCATTCAAAAAAAGCTTTTTGAAGCGACCCTTCAATGTTAATTGTTAAGCTCTTATAATTTTCAAAGCAAAACTATACTAAAAAACGATGAAAACGAGAATTTTTTGAAAAACTATTTAGAGAGGATATCATCTCATACAAAAATCTCTCAGCTTTTCACCTTCGGAAAAACCATTGTGCACGTTGGCTTTTCCAGGGCAAGCTGGTTACATTACACAGGTACTATGTAGCCAGATCACTGAGGTGACGAGAGGATCGCCCTTTTTACCTGTGTTAGGCAAAGTTTTAAGTTAAATTTAGGAATTAATTTTGGTTGAAGCCCTCTCAGTTCCCCTACGTTTTCTTTTGGGATGTTGCTGCCCAAGGCACCAGAGCTGTCTGTGGAATAAAAACCTAGCTGCATATGAAACACGAGGTTAGAAAATGGTGGCTACACAAACAAGATGCAAAGTTTGCACATGCAACAGGCGATTGAATAAACATTTGCTGCCGTCATTATGCTTGCATCATGAATTGAATTTACTACCTACAGTAGTATAGGACGGGTTGCTTTGATGTCAAGAGAACCGTGGCATACACAGCCTTACATCTTTAACGACGCTGATTTCTCAGGAGTAAAGTGCCGGGGGATTTTGCATCTATTGCGATACAATGCAGATATATTTTCCTTACTACATTCCATATGTTTAAGCTTTGGGTAAGGTTATTGTAAAAAAATTAAGGAAATATCCGATAAAGGTTTTTTAAAGCGTGAGACTTTAACACGTTTTAATGGTCAATGGGGATGGCTCCATTTAGACTTAAGTTTCCACGTCTTTCTTTGAAAAAATACACTCTTTTTTTATAAGAACCAGTAAATATAGTTCAGGCTGACTGTTCTCAATTTTTTCGAAAATCTGAGGCTGGATTGTTCTTAATTTGTTCTTAAATTAAGAGGGTGGAAGCAGTGCTATTGCTAGCTTTTTCGCTCTAAGGAGGTGTTCAGGCCTCATTTGCCAACAAAGTGAGTGAGACAGCCTTAATTTGCTGACAAATTTGAATATTCACCGAAAAAGCACCCACACATCGCTAAAAATCCTCGATTAAAGCTTCGAAGACCGTGAAATCCATGCAGACAAAAGCTAACAAGAAAAGTAAATATTATCTTATGAATCAAAATCTGAAAGAAGCATTTACAGGTAAACACATGGAACGTGCAACAGAAATGGAAATATCTTTACAGGTGTCTCGTCATGGAACTGAGGCAACAGATGGCGTCCACTTTGGCCTGGCCTAAGACTGTCAATTCATCAAAAGAAGGTGCAGATTGGTTTAACAACTGCTCACAATGGAATGGATTCTTTCAGCCACAATAATTTTCCTTTGGGTTATGTTCGTTTGGGAGCTACTCCTTGCATTTCGTCAGGTATGTGCCTTTCTTTTTATATCACCTTTTTTCTACCTTATGCCAGCCAGGACATTTATGTTGCGTTTTTCTATTTATTGGACTGGAACTGGTAACTATTATTTGCTATTTTACTTTACTGTTTTGTTCTGCTCATCTTATTGCAGATTTTAACTAAAGTTGACCTGATGCCCTTTTTACTCAACAAAACTAATTCTATTATTGAAAAAATCAAACATGGCTATGAACCTACATACAAAAATGTGCAATTTCCTTGTGGTATTTGTGAAAAAAATGTGAATCAAAACCAAAATTCGGTTTTTTGTGATCAGTGTGATAAGTGGATCCATATTAAATGCAACAATATTTCTAAGGTTGAATATGAAACTCTTCAAAAAAAGCCTGATAATAAACAATGGATTTGTATTAAATGCACCATTACTAATAACTCTTCCTTGTTCCCATTCACCTTGGAATCTGATGAAGTTCTCTTAGGGTTAAATGGTATCTGCCTTCCTTCTCTTGCTGATTCTTTGCCTTCCTTTGAAATCTCATCAACACTTACTAACCTACCCAACCTGTCTGACTATGATACAGATGAAAATTTGAATCTTAATATTAGCTCTCAGTATTGTACTGTCGAAGAAGTTGCCTCTATGGCAGTGCCAGATACAGATCTTTCTCTTTTCCATATGAATATTAGAAGCCTCTCTCTTCATTTTGATGAACTACATACACTTCTAACCTGTCTCAATGTGAACTTCCAAGTCATAGGTTTGTCTGAGATAAAGAGTTCAGTTGGTTCCCAAAACAAAGCAAATAATGAGCTTCCAGGCTACAAATTTCATAAAACCCCTTCACAAAATTCTTATGGTGGTGTAGGAATATATGTTAAAACCAGGGGCGGCTGGGAGTAAATTTTTTTTGGTATTACTTTTTCAAACGTATGGAAAATGCACGAAAAAGGAAAATTAAAAATTTCTTTATGAAGGAATTTTGAACCTCCTCAGCTGGAGGGATATAGGGGTTTTGCAACAGCCCCCCCCCAATTTGGCCCAGCCATACGTTGGGGGAAATATGCATATCTTTAATTGACTATAAACAACAAACAAAAAGTCACTAAAAGGCATAAATTGGTCGGGTATACACATTTTTGTAAGCAGCTAAGAATCTGAGCGAATGCTGAAAGTTTTAAGTTTATTGGCAATTTTAGTGCTGTATCTCCTAGAAAATAAATGCAGATACTTCCTTGCTAGCATATCAAAAAGTAATCTATGAAGAGCCTGATTTCCTGTTGGTCTTTTTAAACAAACTGGAGGGCTGTAACATTTGTCTGAAGGGCTTTCGAGTGGTGATTAGTCGTGAAAAATATTTGGCGGCCCCTTCCTCTGAGCCACCATGTGGGCCCGTTATTAGAATCGCGATTGTAATAACGGAAACCGCTGCGTGAAAGCCCTCTGAATACATTCAAGGTTCAGTTCAGTTCATCATTCATTTCAAATGCCTTTACATAAGCAACTTGCAACATTTTGAATAGCTACAGTTTACAAATGTACAAATAAAATTTGAAAGGATGCAGGCTAAAAATTTATTATAGAAAAATAAATGACGAGATATATCTGGCACGGTCTTTCAGTTCGAGACGTTGCTAGTGAGTTAATTCCACCTGTTTCAAAATAATTAGAGATACAAAATAATAACACTTTGAACACCCAGACGATGGTCATTCACTTGATCTTTCACAACACGATTCATTTTGAAACAGCTAACTTACAAGCAAAATCATAAAACAGCACTGGCAAAAGGTAAATGGCCGCGTTATTAGAATCCCAGCAGTAATAACGGGGCTGCTAGGCTCCTTTATTTCAAGGACCAAGAACAATTGAATTTTACGTCATCGGTGAGTCCCGTGACAAAGACTTTGCTGTTTCCGTTATTAGAAACGCGAAAGTAATAATGAGACCGGGAGCCTCGAACTAGCTTTGAACGATTTGAAATACCATTGAAAAACATAATAGGCTTCCTGTGATTAAGGATTAGCAGGTAATTATCGTCCCCTCCAGATGAATAGAGAACAAATACCATACGTCATTGGTTGTGTCTAGCAGATGAATGCACCAAACTGATAAAGACTTTGGAAAAAGTGTTATTACAGTAATAACGGTAATAACACTGCCCGCCGCCCCTGGTTAAAACTAATCTAACTGCAAACAAGAGAGATGATCTCTGTATCAGTGAAAAAGATTTTGAAACCGTCTGGATTGAGATTGAAAATTCTAAAGCAAAAAATATTCTTTGCTGTTGTGCTTACAGACATCCTAGTTCTGATATCTCAAGATTTAATGATTATTTTCAATTGACACTCAGCAGCCTGGCAAAGGAAAATAAACTGATTGCTGTTATGGGTGATTTTAACATTGATTTGCTCAAATATGACAATCATACCCCCAGTAATGATTTTATCAACATGATGTTCTCATACCATTTCCAGCCATCCATACTGCACCCAACTCGCATTACAGACACCTCCTCAACAATCATTGACAATATTTATGTTAATAATGCCTCTGAAAGTAACATTTTTGCAGGCAACGTTCTATCTCTAATTTCTGACCACCTTCCACAATTTACTATATTGAATGAGAATGCCCCTGACTACAAAACTTCATCTTATTTTGCATATGACTACAAGACCTTTGATGAAGCTAAATTCCTTGCAGATTATAAAGAAATGGATACCTCCTTTCTTGATGATGAAAATCAGGACCTAAATGGAAAATTTGACACCTTTCTTCTTAATCTTCATAATCTTGTAAATAAACATTGTCCTAAGAAAAAGCTGAATAAGCGGGCTTTAAAGCTAAAAAACAAACCTTGGATTAATTTTCGAATTCAAAAAATGATGAAAATCAGAGATAGTTTATTTAAGCAATTTAAATTGACAAAATCTTCTGATGATCTTAAGCCATATAAGAAATTTCGAAACCGCATTGTCAATGAAATAAGAGACAGCAAAAAGAACTACTTTTACCAGTACTTTGATGAACATAAACATAATATGAAAATGCTTTGGAAAGGCATAAAGAATATAATAAGCATTAGACCCGGAAATTCTGATAGCATTAGGTTCTTAAAGGAAGAAAATGGTTCCAAAATCACAGATCCAGTGAAGGTAGCAAATGAATTTAATAACTATTTTACTAATGTTGCCGATAACATCACAAAGAAGATCCCAAGAACACCAAAGTCTCCTTTAGATTACTTGACCAATCCTAATTTGGACTCATTCTTCATATCCCCTTGCACAACAGAAGAAATCTCCTCACGAATTCAATCTTTGAAAAATGGTAAAGCCAGTGGGCCAAACAGTATTCCAGTCAAGCTACTAAAAATTCTTGACCTGCCAATCTCAAAAGATCTTGCTGTTTTAATAAACGAATCCTTTTTGACAGGAACCTTTCCTGTAAAACTAAAAATAGCCAAGGTTATTCCAATCTTTAAAAAAGGACTTGCCACCAGTAAATCAAATTATAGACCAATTTCACTCCTATCTGTTTTCAGCAAACTATTTGAAAAACTAATGCACCAACGCCTGTCCCAATTTCTTGAAGTCTGTGAGGTGTTGTTCTGCATGCAATTTGGTTTCCGCACAGGTCACTCGACTGATCATGCTCTTATTAGTTTAACTGAAACTATAAAAACTTCTTTGGATAAAAACAGATTTGGTTGTGGAATTTTCATTGATCTTCAAAAGGCTTTTGATACAGTTAACCATGATATACTTCTAAAAAAGTTGGAACATTATGGTATCAGGGGCACTGCTCTAAGTTGGTTTCAATCTTACCTTAGTAACCGCAAACAGTTTGTTTCAATTAATGGCCATTCTTCTTCTCTCACAGACATATCTTGTGGTGTTCCCCAAGGATCAGTTCTTGGGCCTCTGCTATTTTTAATCTACATCAATGACCTACCAAATTCATCACAGTTCCTATCTTTTTTCCTTTTTGCTGACGATACCAACATTTACTGTGACTCTGATAACCTTCAATTTCTAACCAAAAAAATCAACAGAGAACTAAAGAAAGTTAAGCTATGGCTTGATTCAAATAAGCTTGCACTAAACATTGGAAAGACAAACTTTGTACTCTTTCACTCCCCAAGGAAGAAATTGTCAGAATTCACCAAGGTCAAAATTGGTAAACAGTATCTTCAAAGGACTAAGCATGTAAAATTTCTAGGAGTTCTCATGGACGAACATCTGACTTGGAAGTACCACACAACTGAGCTTTGTAAAAAACTTTCTAGAACTGCTGGTATTTTCTTCAAAGTGCGGCATTATGCCCCCTTGCCTACTCTTGTCTCTCTCTACAACTCACTTTTCTTGTCCTTCCTCACCTATGGTATATCAGCCTGGGGATTGACTTATGAATCCTACCTTAACCCACTTTTTAAACTTCAAAAGAAAGTTCTTCACAGCATTAAATTTGAACCCTTTCTTTCTCCTAGCACGCCACTTTTTCAGTCACTAGAGACTTTAAAAATTGTGGATATTCTGCACCTGAACATCTTAACCTTTGTTTATAAATCTCTTAATAAGCTATCTCCTTCATGCTTTCATGATTACTTTCAGACAAATTCATCAGTTCATAGAATCGGGACTCGCCAGGCTACAAGAGGCGATCTTTTTAAGTCTATTAAAAATACTACAATGTACGGTCTTCAAACAATTCAGTATTTTGGTTCAAAACTTTGGAACACTCTTCCACTATTTATACGTGTTGCTAGCTCTACTGTGGTTTTTCGCTCAAAATTAAAAAGTTACCTTCTTGATTCATATTCACAAAACTAATCTTTAATTAAACACATATGTTCTATCCCATAAAGGTTCATCTGGTTCTTGGTTAATATGTACTGCCTTTTTTTTAAATAATTGTTTGTTCTTTGTTTTTTTGTTTCTTTATGGGGGGGCTCTCTCTCGATTAGTTTACCTACTTAGAGAGCTCCTCCTCAATCAGTCAATCTTAAATTCAATCATGTAAAGTCATTTGTTCTTAAAATTGTTAGTTTTTAGTTCTTAGTGTTGTAATGTATCTTAGTTGTAGGGTTTTGTGTATGAATTTTATTTGGGATTGATTGATAATGAATGAAATGAAATGAAATGAAATGAAATGAAATCTACCTACCTCAGGTTTAGGGGAACTTGCTTGTAATGAGCACCCTTTCCAGCAGTGCCAACAACCCCTCCGGCGGACGACCCAGCCAAAATTTTCTACGAATGTCGCATAAACACGGGCACTTTTTGTAGACAGTGATCATCCCTCTCTCTTCTAAGGAGTTCTTGTCGTCTCGTCTGTTTTATCAGCATATATCAAATATAACAAGACATTTGACATTTGAAAACTGTGCCATCGAAAACCATCAGCGATCATCCCTGATCATGGCAAAAGTAAAGACCGTTTGACTTTCTCAACGGTTCCTGATGAGCATAGCAAAAATAACAATAGGTCAAGAATATTATGTAATAACTTAGGAAAAGGGAGGCCAGTTTCACTAAAGCAAGGATATTCCACTAATTCGTATGAATCAACGAAAAGGCTGTAAACATTCTGTTAGATTACTGTGCTGCATAATAGCTTGCAGAGAGGTAGAACGTGGATAAGGTTGGCAGTTGTGGAGAAGAAGATTTATAATCTTCTTCATTTGCCAATATAGAAGGGGTGTACACTTTGGATCTCCAGATGTTTTGTTTCAACTGCATGTTGGATTGCTGGAGAACTTAGAAAACCTTTAAAAGGCAGAAATGTTTGATAAACTGAACAATTTGAACCTTCTGGCTAAAATTTTGAAAAAATTTCCCCAGATCCACCCTGATCTCTAATCCACCCTGAGAACTACTGCAAGCCCTTAGAACCCATTGTGTTGCAACGTCCTCTCCCAAAGAGAAAGACATTTGATTGAGCCCATTCATTGATCAAAATGTATTAGATGGTGATGTGATGCAAATTTCCATCTATACAATACATTTCATTGTATGTTTTTGCTTAGCAGAACATGTAGAGCTTTAGTATAATTGACATGGTAAAATTTTAGGGTTTGTTCCTTTCAAAGTTGACATAGTTGCTCTGCTCCCTGGGGGCTGAGCTACCATCATGGCTTTGCCCTTGAACATGAGAGAGGTCCCCAAACCCCTTGCTGAGTATATTTAATGTGTGACTTCATCTTTTTTTCTGCATCCACCTCTGCCCTGACCTGACTATTGGGGGCCATCGCTGAATTCCAGGGAAGTCATAGACCATCAGAGATACTATGCATCAGGGATCATCAAAGATGGATTATGATATATAAAAAACTAGGCTTGAAGATCAATGCTCTTGATTATGCAACTAATAATGATCCTGTACCTCTCTCTTACTAGCTATTGGCTTTAACTTTATGCTTGGACTAGGTATCAAATGTGCCTGGTAACTAACATCTACTATACAATGTGGCCTATCAACTACAGAATCCTTTCAAATTACTCTAACTTCCAGTTTGGCTTCAAACACCTTAAATGTCATGTACTGCAAATGTTTTTCTTCTTTATCTTTTAATCATTTTCTACCTATGTTATAGCTACAATTCTGAGTTTTTGTTTATTGAGTTTTGCATCTAAGCTTGCATTTGTATATTGTTCGGGAAGGTATTTTATCAAATTGTCTTTATTTCCAGTATCAAGTTTACAAGAACACCAAGGAAATTCCGTCAGAACTAAAAGCACATTTGAAAACAGAAACCTTTGAAAAGTCAAGATTATATGAAGTTGATAAGTCAAAGCTTGGCTTCATGTCAAGTACTTATTCTCAAATCGAAGCAACAGTAAGTTGGCATTTTATGATTTAATTTTCTTCCCTTGTAGTGTAAGAGCAGAACACGTTAAGAGGCACTAATGCAAAAATTGTAATCATTGAGTGATATCCCGAATGCTTGGATGTTGGTTTATGTAAAGATTTTGTACTTTGTGGGAACAAAATTTTTGTGTAAAATGAGACAGGGGCAGAAATATGGGGTATGAATTGGATGAAAGCTAAGGTGCAAGAAATTGTGTGAGCATCAGTGGCGGACACTTGGGGGGGCGAGGGGGGGTGACTGCCCCCAATACTTTAGAGGACAATGGTCTTTTGTTCTAGAACAATGGAACATGTGATGTCATCTTATTAAAACAATAGGCTTGCCCCCCCAATATTTGATCAAGTGTCCGCCCCTGGTGAGCATGTGGTAACACAGGAACAAGATTTGCCCATTTATAACGACAACAAAACCGAAGAAGCATCTTTTACTAACACCCCTATTACAACGGGCCATCACATCCTCCATCTTCCTTTACAAGCCAAGGAAAGAAACATTAGCCACCAGTTGAACTAGTCAGGGCAACAAGCCCCAACTGAGAACTGCCAAATGATTTCAAAACCTTTTTTTCTGCGAAGCAGACCAGAAAAGAAGTAGGATATCAAAAATGTATGTCCCAATTTTTAAAATCTCAAAACTTTACTTCCACAGGGGGTACCGGCAAACAAAATATATTTTCGAATACCTTGAGCCCCCAACCTGTGGCTCATTAATTATTGTGGAAATCTTTGGCTGCAAAAATTTGTGTCAGTGCCTCTTTAATCATTGCACGGAGAAAGAGCCCAACAAGTAACAGATTAATACTAATGTATCAAATTTTGCAAGCATTTGATTCAAATGTTTTAATCGAGAAAAGTCAAAGAGATATATGGTTTTTATAAATATCATTATGAAAAGGAAATTTCTGTTTCTTTTGACATCAAATGTTAACAAACAATAGTATTACCTGTTACAACTAGCAATGGAATAGGAAATGGTTGTGCAGGAAAGGAACAACAGATAGCGTATAATAGCAAGAATGATAATTTTTACACAACATTGTCGTACAAAATTTGTGTTACGAATGCGCTCATTTTTTAAAAGAAACACTATAAGAAACGGCAACTGGGCAATCAGAGAAAAATTAAGAAAGTTTCAGAAATAATTCGTTTTTGCCCTCCCATTACCTTTTAAATAACATTGTCCTGCTCTTTTTCTTTTGGAATAAAGATGAGTTTCGTTGAATACTACTCATTATAGCTGTGTTTGTAATTTTAAGGAGTAGTAATGCACACAAAAGAACTGTCTTCTTAAGATAAATCATGTTAACAAGTAGACAAGGTAATATATTTTTTGGCTTATATATACTCAAATATAAAAAGATAAACAACAAATTCTGCAAGGGCTAAATAGGCCATGCAGCCAAACCAGCAGGGGTCTTTCTTAGCCTGCATGCTTTTTATTCCTCGTGAGGCCTGGGTATAAACTGGGTCCTCATGTCTTGTTCATCAGACAAATTATCATACTTTTCTTGCAACTTTTGCAAGTGTCATGTGTGAGAACTTTTTACTCCAACACTATTGTTTGCAATTTGCTTCCCATTTAGTTTCCCTTATAACATTCCAAGTTTTGATTGGTAGTAAACTGGGCTTTTAAAAAATATTCAAAGATGTGTGTATAATATTTTGAGGCAAAAAATATTTATTTAATAATAGACAGGAACAAAGCAAAACAACAATGAGAATCCAATATGTTGTATAGTAGAATTTTAAAGAAGGCGTTGGTACACACCAAGAACTGTGTTTAAGCTTATGCCAGTTTTAAAATTATGTGTTATCTTTTTAACTGATGTGCGGGAAACTAATAGGGCGACGAAAAACCAGAAATTTTTTCTATATTTTTAGCTATTGTTATGTGCTTCACCAGTCTGGTCCACCACAATGGATCACCATTATTATAAAGTGCGAGCCTATCACTCTGAAGATCTGTTGTGAGGACCTTTGTATGCAATAAAACTTGGACCAAATTACCGCAGCATCGGGCTGCCTTTTTTCTAAGCAATATTTTTAAAAAACTTGGGCATAAGGCACAACTCGACCAAGCACACCATAACAAAAGCTGAATATTATCCTTTAGTTGATGAATAATAATCAGAACAAATGGATTTAGAACAATAGAAAGCAGAGGCAGTAAATAAAAAACTTGTCATAAATAAATTACCTACAGCATACTTAAATAATGGGGCATATAAA